ATAATTATAGTGTTTCGCATTTTTGGTGTGCTTTAAATTAATTTGCTTGCACCACTCATTGTGTCCGTCAAAACTTCCATAAAATAAAAATATTTTTCATTTTCCTTTAAACAAATTATCTCCTTTGTGTGTTAATAGTTGCGCCAAGAATTACACCATTTATCTTCGAAGATAACCCTGTTTCTTCTGGACACTCGATTCAAGTGACATGTTTTGTTTCTGATGGTGATCTTCCATTGGAAATAACATGGGCGTTCAATAATAAGCCGCTTAGTGATTTTAATGATATATCTTCTGGGAAAATGGGAAAAAGGGGTTCTTTTCTAACCATAGAACCCGTTTCTTATGAACACGCTGGAAACTATAGCTGTAGGGCGAAAAATTTAGCAGGCGAAGATGTTCATGTTACCCATTTAAACGTAAACGGTCAATGAAATTTCTGCTTTTTATTAATTTTACATAATTGTAGTTTATAGAATCTTAGTTGCAAAAGTAGTAAAAAAATTTAACGTTATTTTCTTAGTTCCTCCCAAAGTCTCTCCTTTTGAATTCGATGATAATCCTGCATCATCCGGACAAACAATTCAAGTGGCTTGTTTTGTATCGGAAGGTGATTTGCCATTAAACATTCATTGGACTCTTAATGGAAAATTACTTAGTGATTCTAGTACTATTTCTATTGGAAAAATCGGAAAGAAGAACTCTATTCTAGCTATTGATAACGTTTCTTACGAGAATAGTGGAAATTATAGTTGTACAGCAACCAACAAAGCTGGATCAGCTACTTATACAACAGCTCTTATGGTTTATGGTTAGAATTTTTGAAATGATTTGTTTTAGATTTTTTACTAATTTATCCTTGATCCTTAATTGACCTTTATCAATTTCTTTCATGGTGAATCTGTTTTTTAGTGCCTCCTCGAATAACACCATTTGTTTTCGAAGATAATCCTGTATCTGCAGGACAACCAGTTCAAATATCTTGTTTCGTGCCAATTGGCGATTTGCCCATTGATATACAATGGACGTTAAACGGCGTTGATCTCAACGGATTTCCCGAAATTTACACTGGAAAAATTGGTCATAGAAATTCCATGTTAACCATCGACTCAGTCTCTTATACTAACGCAGGAAACTTCACTTGCACAGCCAAAAATTCCGCCGGAATCAGTAGTCACGTTGCCAAACTCTTAATAAACGGTTAACAAGTTATTAAAGTCAATAATTAAATTTAGTGTAGTATTAAAATTAATTTCTCCATTCACTTTCCCCACGCAGTCCCTCCAAAGATCTCACCTTTCGAATTTGATGACAATCCTGCATCATCGGGTCAAACGATACAAGTGGCTTGTTTAATATCTGAAGGAGATTTACCTTTGGAAATAACTTGGAAATTGAATGGAAAACCTTTAATCAAGTCCAATGAAATTTCCATCGATAAAATTGGAAAAAGAAACTCGTTATTAGCCATTGAATCGGTGTCTTATGAGAACACAGGAAATTACAGTTGTATAGCTACGAATAAAGCTGGAAAAGCCATTCACACCACACCATTAATGGTTAATGGTTAGAATAAAATAATTATTTCCATCAATTTTAGTCATTACCAAGTTTAGTTAGTTTAACATTTTCTTTTAATCTATTTGAATCCTATTTTTATTCCTAATTAGTTCCTCCCAGAATTACCGCATTTGAATTCGAGGATAATCCACTGCATTCTGGACAATTTATTCAGGTGATGTGTTTAATAACAGAAGGCGATTTACCAATTCAGTTTAAATGGGATTTGAACGGAGAAAATCTTGATTTATTTCCCGAAGTTAGTATCAACAATGTTGGAAAAAGAACTTCACTTTTATCTATTGAATCCGTCAGTTATATTAATGCAGGAAATTATACTTGTACAGCAAGTAACAAAGCGGGACACTTTAAACATACAGCACAACTTCTAGTTACTGGTTATTAAGTTTTATTAATTTTCTTGGCTATTAGAAAGTACATATTTATTATGTTTTTTTGTAGTAATAAGTAATAATTATGTAATTTCTTCATTTTCCATTAATTTTTTTTTAATTAGTCCTACCAAGAATTGCTCCATTTTTCTTCGAAGAAAATCCTACAGAATTAGGACAATATGCTTCAATCACATGCGCAGTTTCTCACGGTGATTTACCATTAATAATTTCTTGGTATTTTAACGCAAGTAAAATTGACCAAAGTTACGGTGTGGTGATAACACCTTTAGGCAAACGAAGCAGTTCTTTGATAATTGATTCCGTGGGAATTGAACACGCTGGAAATTATACATGCCGCGCAGGAAACAAAGCGGGATTTACCGAGTATAGCGTAGAATTAGAAGTGAAGGGTTAGTCGCGTTAAAAAATACAATGAGTTTTTTGTAACATTTTAACCGATCCATAATTTTATCCTTTAATTTTTTTCTATTTTTCATTTATCTTTTCTATTTATTTTTTAGTACCTCCAAAAATTGTACCATTTGATTTCGAAGGTAGCCCATTACATGCAGGGGATTATGCTCAAGTAACTTGTTTGATTTCTAACGGTGATTTACCGGTTAGTTTTGAATGGAATTTAAATGGACGTAGTTTAAAAAATTTTCCTGAAGTTGGGATTAATAGTATGGGGAAAAGGAGCTCTATTCTTTCGATAGAATCGGTTACTTATACTAATTCAGGAAATTACACTTGCATTGCTAAGAATAAAGCAGGAGAATTTAAACATACAACGGAACTTTTAGTAAACGGTTAATTTATTAGTAATTGTTTGAGTTTGTGCTATTAACTTAATTCATTTTTGTTATCTAATTTATGAATCCGATTTTTCTTAGTTCCTCCTAAAATTACACCATTCCTATTCGAAGGGAGTCCTTTACATGCTGGGCAATACGTTCAAGTAGCTTGTTTGATTTCTGATGGTGATGTACCGGTTAGTTTTGAATGGGATTTAAACGGAAATAATTTGAAGAATTTTCCTGAAATTGATATCCACGCTATGGGAAGAAGAAGTTCTATTCTATCAATTGAATCAGTTTCTTACACGAATTCAGGAAATTATAGTTGTACCGCTAAGAATAAAGCAGGGGAATTTAAATTTACGGCGGAGCTTTTAGTAAACGGTTAATTTCTTTTATTGCTAGTTATTTGTATAATTTTTATTCTTCAATTTTCATCCTTATTTCTTTTAAATTATTTATTTACTAAAATCCATATTAATCCCTCCAAAAAGGAAACATACACAGTTTTTTTTTCTATAATATCTGTCAAATGTTTAGGGTTTCTGTTGGTATTACTTAAATCTTAGAAAATTTTTTTGTTATTTAGTAACATTTTCAGTAAGTAAATAGTTGCGGTTAAGAAATTTTGATTTTATTTTATTTCAATTATTTATGTATAAAAATAAATCCCAAAAACTGAATTTTTTTCAATGAAATGTCAGTTTGACACACATCGATTTCAAAACATAAAGTAATAAAATTCCCTGTTAATCATACCAACAGAAATTTGACTGGTAATATAGACAAAAAATACTTCACGAACCATTCGCAACACAGGAGGTCTTATAAATGCGGTAGAACAAGAAAAATGTGGATAACATATAAATTCTTGCTGGCCTCAACGCTAGAAAAGGAGGAAGTGGCTCTGCTGAAAAAGACAAACACTTAAAACCTTTTTAAGTGAAATTGTTGGTGGCTATAAAGTAGCTTAGAATTAAGATTCACTTCAAGATATGTAATGCTGGAAACACGAGTTAAGCCTTCACTAGCAATACTTAATCATAATGTACTCCTCCTTGGAAAAGAAATAACATTAATGGAAATAAAACCTCTGCTACCAACTTCTCTACTTTTTCTCCACCTTTTTTCCTACCAAATCCACTTCCTGTCTCTACGGTCTCTTTTCTGATAAGTATTTTTCTTCTTATAGTAGTATTCTTTCATTATCATTTTTCCATTACACATCTTTTTCCAACTTTATCTATTTCTTTTCTTAGTTTTCCAATTTCTCCCTTGCTCCTTTTTTTTTTATCTATGCCTTATTTTGCATTTCCAAAACCTTATTAAAGAACCTCACTTGTCTTTTATTGAAAAATAAATTGGACAATTCTTCCCATTACCTATTATAAACGATTTTTTCAAAATATTGCCAAATATAGTTGAATACATATAGTAGATACCAACAGTGTCAAGGTCTGCAAGCCTAGACTGAATAATAGAAAAGAAGGGGCCACCTTAATAAGAGTTCCACGGGACATTTGAATGATCAGGTCTTGTTCTGATAGTAACAATATAGCAGAAAATACATGTAGATATCATTAGAACAACTTTAGAACTGATTACAATGGCACGATAATCCGAATCTCTTTGCAATGCATTTCTTTGGACATGTTTCTAAAGATTTTTGTTAATGAAGATGCAATTTGAGATTCCAGCAACATTCTGTGCGGAACTTGTCTCTTTAATTTGGTTGTTGCAAAAAGTCGAAAGGAGTAGAGTTCTCAGAGTTGTTAAAGATTACGTGTTGTTAGAAACTAGTTAGAAATAGGTTCTTAATCTTACTAATCTTCTTAATTATTCTTCTCATAGTTCCTCCAAAAATTACACCATTTGTATTCGAAGGGAGTCCTTTACATTCTGGACAATACGTTCAAGTAACATGCTCAATTTCCGAAGGAGACATTCCAGTTCAATTTGATTGGGATCTAAACGGCCAAAACATTAAGGAATATCCCGAAATTACTTTAAATAATATTGGAAGAAGAGCTTCGTTTTTATCTATCGAATCCGTTACTTATACCAACTCTGGAAATTATACTTGTACTGCAAGGAATAAGGCTGGATCTTATAAACATTCTGCCGAACTGCTTGTAAATGGTTACTAATTTTGTTATTTCTCGATAAAACTAATTTCTTCTTTGTTTTGTTTTTAAACTATATTAGCAATTTATTTTTTCAAATCCTATCCTTTTTATCATTTATTTAGTTCTTCCCAGAATCGCTCCTTTTGCTTTCGAAGAAAATCCGAGTGAAATTGGACAATACGCTTCGATAACATGTGCTGTTTCACATGGAGATTTACCATTGAAAATAACTTGGAAAGTTAATGGAATAAACGTTGAAGAGCTTTCAGGAATTTTGATCACTCCAATCGGAAAACGAAGCAGTTCTTTAACAGTTGATTCTTTGCTCTATAGCGACGCTGGAAATTATACTTGTCACGCTGAAAATCGAGCCGGTTTTTCCGAATATACTACGATTTTAGAGGTTAACGGTTAGTGCGAAATAAATTGTGATAGAAAATTATTATCTAATAGAAAAAAATCCTTTTCCACTCTATCCTAATATTTTATTATTTTTATATTAGACAAATTGAAAAGTTTTATGTGCACTCTTAATAATATTGAATTTTTAAATTATATACTTTTTTAAATGAACCAATGAGGAAATATTAAATATCTTAATATCTCTGTATAGTAAAAATCTTCTATGACATGATTTCTTTTCAGTAAACCCCAGAATAGTTCCGTTTACTTTCGGGGAATCCCCAGTCCATTCGGGGCAGGATGCTCAAGCGACATGTTTCGTTTCAGAAGGCGACAGTCCTATAGAACTATTTTGGATGTTTTCTGGCGAAAAATTATCGACACAACATAATATAATAGTTAACAATATCGGTTCAAAAATGAGTGTTTTATTAATAACCAGCATAGATGCGTCCAACAGTGGAAACTACACGTGCACTGCGCAGAATCAGGCAGGCATAAATCACTATACGACTTCACTGTTCGTTTATGGTAGTCATAAGTTCGTTCACTTGTTCGTGTGCACTCTCTATTTGTTTGTTTGAGTCTTCCAATTATTTTTTTTGTATGTTTTGTTCTCGTTCTTGTTGGTTGTGGGACATTTGATTTGAATAATAACACAAACTGAATATGATTTTGTGATTTTATTGTCCATGGTTTAGGGTTAATAAGTCATCTTGATAACGCCTCGGCAATTTCCTTCAAATCCTCGTATCCATCCAAATTTTTCCCGAAACGCCGAGGCTAAGTGATTTTTTTCGAAAGGTGTCAGAAATCTTATCCTCAACCTTCGTCCCGTCACAGCACTTTTTCTTTATGTTCCTTTTGTTTCTTTTTTTATGTTACTAACATTTATTATTTTTTTTTTGATTAATGCATGCTGAAAAAAAAATAAATTCACTTTTTTAAGTTAGTTCTTTTTGAGTTGTCACCTTTTTCTCATTGGTTCTTTTGGTTGCAAACTAATAAAAATGCTGCACATAATAAAAATAAATATCTTTCTTAAAAAAATTGATTAATTCAATATTATTTGCTAACAAAAAAGAAAGATGTTTCTTTTTTTATTTGCCAAAAATGTTAATTAATTTAATTTAATCAATCAAATTTTTGCATAAGAACATTTTTGGTAAATAATATGAAAGTGTCTTAAAATAACTTAAATTTCAAAAAAATTTATTAGATTAAAAATAATTTTGCGAACAAATTTCAAGACACTATCAATAAAAATTGTAAGCATTGCTTTTGCATGTAAAATCCACGTAAGTTTTAAAGTTCGTATATCTGACCAAATATTTCACCTTTTAGTACCACCAAGGTGGATTTTGGAACCAACTGATAGAGCTTTTGCTCAAGGTTCTGACGCCGCTATTGAATGTAAAGCCGATGGTTTCCCAAAACCCTCCGTAACATGGAAAAAAGCAACTGGTAATTTTTTTATTTATCTTCTTTTTGGATTAATCAAAAACGATGTTTTATTAGGCGGCCAACCTGGTGATTACACTGATTTTAAGCCGAATAACCCAGATATTCGCGTTGAAGACGGTACTTTAATGATCAATAACATTCAAAAGAAAAATGAAGGATATTATTTATGCGAAGCCGTAAATGGAATTGGATCTGGTTTATCTGCAGTTGTTCTTATTAGCGTTCAAGGTTATTTTAATAGATTCTAATCTTCCGGATTTTTTTCAATATTTATTTCTTAAATAGCCCCACCACAATTTGACGTAAAACTCCGCAACCAAACATCAAGACGAGGTGACCCAGCCGTGCTTCAATGCGAAGCTAAAGGAGAAAAACCAATTGGTATCTTATGGAACATCAACCACAAGCGTTTAGATTCAAAAGGAGACCGAAGATACACGATCCGCGAAGAGATTTTACCAACCGGCGTTTTATCTGATTTAAGCATTAATGGAACCGAAAGATCTGATAGTGCTGTTTTCACTTGTGTAGCCAATAACGCATTTGGAAGTGATGATACAAGCATTAACTTAATTGTACAAGAAGTTCCTGAAGTACCATATGGCTTAAAAGTTCTCGACAAATCTGGTAGATCCGTTCAATTAGCTTGGGCAGCACCATACGATGGAAATTCTCAAATCACCGAATACCAAGTAGAATATAAACCAAGCAAAGCTTCTTGGGATGTCATGGAACGATTATTGGTACCTGGAGATACCACCGAAGCCGGAGTAACCAACTTAAAACCTGCAACTACTTATCATATCAGAATTGTTGCCGAAAACACTTTGGGAAGAAGCGGCCCATCAGACACTGTTACAATTATTACAGCTGAAGAAACGCCCAGTGGTGTACCAACCAACATTCGTGTTGAAGCTAATGACCAACGCTCTTTAAAAATTTTCTGGAAACCACCAGAACGTTCTGAATGGAATGGTGACCTCCTTGGATATTACGTTGGAATCAAACAATCTTCAACAGACAAATATGTTTTTAAGACCGTTGAATTTAACAAAGAAGATAAAGAACATCAATTCCTTGTAAGATTTTTTTAAAACATATTTATCTTTTACTTTATTTCATTTTGTAGATTTCCGACTTGAAAACCTACACTCAATACTCAGTCGTTGTCCAAGCTTTTAACAGAATTGGTTCAGGACCAGTTAGCGAAGCAGTCAAAGCTTACACAGCTGAAGGAGCACCGGAACAACCACCACACGATACAGTTTGTACCACCTTAACAGCCCAAACAATTCGCGTTTCATGGATGTCCCCTACTTTGGATTCTGCTAACGGTGTTATTAAAGGTTACAAAGTTATTTATGGTCCATCTGATACTTGGTATGGTAAGTTGATTAAGCAAAAATTTTTTTTGGGTGTATTTATGTATTAATATCTTTAGCCGAAAACACCAAAGATACCAAAATTACTGCATCAAGCGAAACTATTCTTCATGGTCTCAAAAAGTACACTAACTACAGCATGGAAGTTTTGGCCTATACTTCTGGAGGAGACGGAGTTCGTAGCGGATTAATTCATTGCCAAACTGACCAAGATGGTAAAAATTTTATTTTTCAATTGACGTTTGTAATTAATAAAATTAATCCTTTTTTTATAACAGCACCTGAAGCACCAAGCGCTTTAAAAGCTCTCGTAATGTCATCTGATTCAATTCTTGTAAGCTGGAAACCACCAACTGAACCCAACGGAATCATCCAACAATACACCGTTTATGTACAAGAAGAAGGAAGCGGCTCTGACAAAGTAAAAACGCAAAAAATTGTTCCTCATCCGAAACACCAAAATTTGAATTATCAAGCCAAGGGATTAAATAGCATTTTGAAATATCAATTCTGGGTTACTGCATCGACAAGCATCGCTGAAGGACAACCATCAAAGAAAATTACTGTTTCTCCAAGCTCAAATGGTATTTAAAATGACTCATTATGATTTTTTTTCAACAAAAATTATATTAATTATTTTTCATTATTTTAAAGTTCCCGCAAAGATTGCTTCATTCGACGATACATTCACAACAATTTACAAAGAAGATATGACTCTTCCATGTTTATCTGTTGGAATTCCCGCTCCAATAATCACCTGGAAAATCAATGGAGTCACTTTCACATCAAACGATCGCATCAGACAACAACAGGATGGTTCTTTGTTTATCAGAGATGTTACACGGACGGATGCCGGAGAATATTCTTGTCACGTTGAAAATTCATTTGGTCAAGATTCTGTTTCCCATCGATTGTTGGTAAACGCCCCACCACACGCGCCTCAAGTATTCTTACCGACTGCTACCACCGATTCTTTGACCGTTAAACTAAAAGCGCAAGCGACTGAAGTCGAACCAATCCATGGATACTCGATTCATTATAAACCGGAATTTGGAAGTTGGGAAACTGTGCAAGTACCGGCTAGCACTGAAACGTACACTCTTACTAAATTGCTTTGTGGAACTCGTTATCAAGTTTTTGTAACCGCCTACAACAGCATTGGAATGGGTGATCCTTCGCCAACCATGAATACCAGGACTAAAGGAGATAAACCAATCGTTCCGAGCGCTGAAAAATTCATTGAAGTTTTATCTATGAGTATTACTCTTCGTATGAAAGAATGGTCTGATGGTGGATGCCCAATGTTATATTCCGTCGTGGAAACTAGAAAGAAGTTTGTTGATAAAAATGAAAATATTATTCATATTTTTAATGAGTTTGATTTTTTTTACATAGGACTACCAACGAATGGATTCAAGTATCTAACAATGTTAAATCTGATGGGGACTTTGTCGTTTTGGACTTGGACGCAGCCACATGGTACAATATTCGTGTTACAGCCCACAACAACGCTGGATTTACCGTTGGAGAATATGAATTTGCTACTCTTACTCCCGCTGGAGGTAATGATATTTTAGATGACTATGAATATTTTTTGTAATATGTAACTTATTATTACTCCTATATTAAATAATTATTATCTTTTTCTTTTTTTTTATATTTTGTTTTTATTTTCTTCTGCTTCATCACGCAATAGTACCTGAAATATTAATCGACGGGTATTTTTAAATTTTTCTTTTCAGGTACTATTGCCCCGGCCCGTGAAATTCCCAAAGAAGACACCCTCCAAATAATCCTGGCCAATATGAACCTTGTGGTGCCCGTTGTATCCGCCGTCTTTGTTATAATCGTAGCGATTATTGTTATTTGCGTGTTACGCGGCCGTGGATATTATCACAAAGGTAAATAAATAATTTTTTCTTTCTTGTTTCGTTCAATTACAGGAACCATCGCTCCGATCAGGGAAACTCCCGACGTCAGGATCTTATTCCAATGGCTTCCCGAATGGGTCGATCTTAACATTGCTGTACCAATCTGCGCAACAATTATTGTTATTTTGGTCGGAGTTGTTGTTATTTGCGTTGCATTAACCAGGCGCAATCAAGGCCCTACTCAAACTAGACTGCGTAGTGACTGTATGTTGTCTCGATACGTTTTATTTCATTTATGATTGTGTTTATCTATATTACAGCATGATTTTTTTATTTTTCGTTTTAATATGTTCCTTTCTGTTGTTAAAATTTACTTAAGATTGTATCCTGTTTTAGATGACGTCGTTTACAACCAATCGGTTAATGCAACATCTACTTTGGATAAACGTCGCCCAGATCTTCGTGATGAACTTGGCTACATCGCCCCACCCAATAGGAAACTTCCCCCGGTTCCAGGATCTAACTACAACACTTGCGACCGTATCAAGCGAGGTACCATAAGTAAGAATCATTTTCATCTTCATTGCTGTAAGCATGATCACCACCCAAAAAATAAATCAAAAAAACTTAACAATTTTGCCACTTATTAGTTGGTTACTTTTTAGAAAATAACTCGGTGAATTTTGCCTGCTTTTTAACTTTTTCTTTGTTTATTGTCTATTGTTAAAAAAAATAATTAAGGGACGTTGTTGTTGTTATTGCACTTGGATCACGTTTTTCCCCTCAGCAGTAACAAAGAAATTGGGCTCTCACGAATTTTGTTATCGTTACTCGTATGTATGTAGGTGTAGGCAACCATTATCGATCTCATTCGACTTGGGACCCCAGGAGACACCTTTATGAGGAACTGAATAGCAGACGTGGTTCCAATGACACTATCCATACCCATCGAGGTAAACAGCACAGATGTATGGTACCCTCTTTTTATATTTCTTTTCGTTTATTTCACATCATTTATTTTAATATTTGTTTTTTTGTCATCTCTTGCTTTTAATCATATTTCTTTTTTACTAACAAGTTTTTCTTTAGTACTATTATTTACTAACTGAGGATTTTTTATTGTTTAGAATTTATTTGGTTATTTAAAAAAAAAATCTTGCGAAATAAGATTAAAAAAATTATAACAAATTTTTAATCAACATTCATTTTTTCTTTAAAAAAAATACTTTATTCATCGCCTCAAGTATAAATTAATTACTTGGGAAAGCTGAAATAACGGTACCTCAAAGACAACATAACATCTTTAGGTACGTGACAAGAAAAAAAATCCTGTAAATATACTAAATATAAATGTTTGCTTTGCCGATGAAATTGATAGATGTTAAGACCCACAAAGCATGAGAAGACCTTGCATGTATACGCTGTTACTTCATGTATACATTTTCATAATTACAATTAGTACATAATAAAAAAAATTTGATATTAATTCTTGTTACATTAAGAAAAATGGATTAAAGAAAAATAATATAATTTATAGGCATGGACGACGAAATTTGCCCCTACGCTACTTTCCATCTTCTTGGATTCCGCGAAGAAATGGACCCTACTAAAGCCATGCAATTCCAAACATTCCCTCATCCACATACCGGCACAATGGGACCTTCTGGAATGAACACTCCTCATCAAATGCACTCAAGAGCTGGTTCTCAATCAATGCCAAGACAAAATAGACGTTATGATAGAGTTGGATCTCAAGGTATTATATTTGTTGAGCTAAAATTTCTAGAATATTTAGTAATATTATCAGGGAACAACTCAAGTTCGATTCACTTAGAAAGATAGTGACGGCATAGAGCTGCCTAGCTATCTATATATATATCAGACTGCAGCAGATGATGCAATGTGATTTCTACCCAGTGGTCTGAATGTCATACCAATGAAGTCATTGAAAGTCGGTATACAGTGAATTTCAGTTAAGATGCAATATATAAAAATATATTTCCATAGAAACCAGGGCGTACCTACTTACTGTGTCCCACATAAAATGTAACATGTCTAAATGTTTCTTGTTCTAGATCTAATGTTAGTTCTAGTGACAGTGCAAGTGCTAGATCAAGAACTAACACTATACCTAGAACTAGAATCATTCAGATTTAGCCGTCTTTAGAGACTTGCGGCTAAATCCAAATAATTCTAGTTCTAGGTATAGTGTTAGTTCTACACTGTAACAGTGCTAGTGTAAAACTAGAACTAACACTAGACCTAGAATTAGAATCAGTCGGGTTTAGTAGTCGCACGTCTCTCAAGGCGGCTAAACCCGCATGATTCTAGTTCTAGCTCTGCTGTTAGTTCTACTGACAGTGGAAGTCGAAAACTAGAACTAACACTATACCTAGAACTAGAATCATTTGGATTAACGTTATAACAACAAATATCCTAAGAGCTGTAATTTGATAATTTAACATTTATTAATAGCTGAATTAATATATTACATTTGTATTAATTTTATTTGTATTTTAATAGGAAATGGAAGTATTTATTCTCCTGGACCTGAATATGATGATCCAGCAAATTGCGCACCAGAAGATGAACAATATGGCTCTCAATATGGTGGATATAATAACCCTTACGATCAATATGGAAGTCGTGGATCAATCGGACGTCGTTCTTTGGGTTCTTTGAGAGTACAACAGCAAGCCAACAACAGTCCCGAACCGCCACCACCACCACCACGTAACCACGACCCATCATTCAACGACTCGAAAGATAGTAATGAGATTTCTGAAGCCGAATGCGATAGAGATCAATTGATAAATACGAATAGTTATGGTGGTAAGTAATTAACGAAAAAAAACTTGAAAAAAAAATTAATATCGAAAAAAAAATAATGATAGCGCTAGTTTAAGCTTTGATTTTTTTGATATTATCATGCTTTTGAATTCAAAATGATTTAGTTTCATATTAAATATTAACCCCGTTTCACTATTAAAGTTTCTTTCTTTAATTAATTTTTTTTGATGAATAAATAAAAATGAATTTTTCTACAAAAACATTTTCTTTTCAGAAAGTGACCAAGGTAAGTGGTTTCGTTCTGAACGAGTTGCGTGGTTTTTCTTATTTATTCCTTTTAGAAATTAGAAACATCTTTCTTTTTCAAAAAAAAAAAGAGCAAAAAATCATTTCATAAATCACAATTAATTCATAATTTTGTGTTAAATTACAATATGAAATAAAATCATACGCATATTTTTGTCTCAACATTTACGAAAATACATTTATATATTTTGATATCATTGTGTGGCATGATTCGAATTTTGTTTTAAGTTTTTAATATCATTTTTTTACTATACCAAGTTATTTCTTTTTGTTTTAATCAAATTTGTGTTTAACGGCATGATGTGTGTCACTAATTTTTTGATATTAATCAACAATTTCTTCGCACCCACTTCAGTGATGATTGAATTACTTTTTTTTTTTAATACGTGAGGTATTGTGGTCGTGTAGAGATATGTGTGTGGTTTGTTTCAGTAATGAGAAATAGCTCCAAGGATGGCATGAACCACGAGGAAATGAGAAAACTGCTTGAGAGGTAATTGTCAGATAGTAACATTTAAAATTATCAAGAAAAAATGTGTTTTATCACTATTTGTTACAATATCTGCAATTTTACTAATAGAAATATGTTTTATTCAAATATTGATATGTTTTTGATGTAACATTGTAAGTGACAAAGATCAAAACTATAGTGGCAAACAAGAATTATTAGTTATTTTATATTTTTTTTAACTTATTTCTTTACATATGCAATATCTTTTTATTTTTTGACTTACAAACACTATTATTTCTAAAAACCATTTGGTTGCAAGTTATGAAATTAATATGGATGTCTGACTAATGTTCTGTATAAAAAAGAAACGTTTCTTACTGTAATGAGTAGATATTTCCGAAATGTTGCTCCAAAAACTCAAAAACAATGTTTGTATGCAGATTTGGTTTTCTGAGCTTCATATTTGCATAGAGTCTTCTTTCTGCTGCCTTTTCACTAATTTTTAGGAACCCAGCAGTGTTCTTATCTACTCCTTATCTCATTGTTTTTTATCATTTTACACTTTTTTCTCCTTGGTGCACGATGTTAGTAATTCATCGAAATATTGGTTCCATCTCGCCCCTTTCAGTTAGTATTTGTCCTTCTTTGCTTTTACTCACACTGCTTTTCGGTTGATTGCCTGTTGTTTGCATCTTAATTGTCCTGTAGAAGTCTATCACATATATTCTGCACTTTTCAAAAACCAAAATAAAAAATGTAAACTACTCCAACTAATTTCTAAAAATATAGTTTCGTTTTCACTAAATAGTAATTACACAAGATGTTTTAATGATAGATAAAAGTGTCGCTTACAATGTTTTGTCAAAAACCTAAAAATATATCTGCATAAAACCTTAATATGTTAAATGGAAAAAAACATGTTTTTTAAAATATTTTAAAATCCTTTTAACATATTTGATAAATTCACATTTATAAAAAATAACTCATCTTACTAACCCATAATAATCATGAAAAGAAATGTGGAATACACTCAATCCACATCTCATTATTAATTAATTCACCATTCATTATTATTATTTATTTGGTAAAGGTTTTGTCATTACACATTAACCAAACATCAGTATCGGCTTTAACTTTTTCTGTTACCTTATATCTAACCCGATAATTATATCAATTTTCATGACCCTCTCAAACAGGAAGTCGTAAGTGTCGTATATTTACACATTTTTCGTTTCATATTGATTTATTTCATTTTCATTTATTATGACGTTTAGAACGCACTGAGTTTTTTTGTGTTGTCTGGTATAATTATTTTGCATGTAACAAAGTAAAAAGTTTGTTTATCAAAAATTAACGGTACCATTTTGTTTATGTTAATAATGAATTTGGGGTCTGTTTTAGAAACGAAACAGGGCAAGCCAACGGCGGACTCACAGCCTACGATACTGTGGCAGTGTAATTTGTAAATTACAAGAAGAAATTTACATTAATTTATCCGATTTTTCGTTAACTTTTTATTTTTGTGTTATTAACATTTTTTTTAACAGCTTGAACGTTTTTAATTTTTATTTACATTTATCGTAACTTATAATTAATTAAAACGCACAAAATATTAAATGTAATTTGTTTTTATTTTATTTTACTTTATTAATAGTAAGTAAACGTGTCAAGCTTTTAAAAAAAATATTATTGGAACATTTTTAAAAAAACACATTTTGCCAATTTAGCTCCCCATATTTCAGTTTCTTAGCTAATCATTTGATTTTTTTTAACAACGTGTGGCTCAATGTGTCTTGTGATATTTTGAGGTTTGTGAATTGTGAACGTATTCTTTTTATTTCTTATTTTGCTTTATTTTCGCTTCGAGACAGGTTTTTACGAAACTTTCAGTTTTTAGGCTTGGAGATTATTGTTTGTTTTTTGGTGAACGTTGGCGGAATTTTTTATTTCGCAAAGTGGGTCTCTATGAAAGGTTGTGCCCGCCAACGGATGTAAGTTTTGTTGGCTACACAGAAATTAGGTATAGGCGATGTAAATTAATAAAAAATTATGTCTAAAAGTCATATATCAGCTTCCGACTTTTCTTTTTTGGTCCAAATAAACATGAACATCGTCTCTACTTTTTAGTAATTAGAAGTTAGATTAGTCCATAACATTTTAAATGTTTCTAATATACAAGCATGCCGTGTTTTAAGTGTAGATATATTGGATTTTAGATTTACATAAGAACATTACATAATATTAAACATATAAAAACGATTTTGCTTTGAAAATAAAAAGTTTTCAAATCAAAAACGTTACAATACAACTTGTTTTATACATAATAAGTAATTCAGGAAATATTATTGCTATTAAAATAATAATAGAGCTTCAGTGAAGGCAAGATAAATGATGAATTTAAACTTTTTTATTTCAATAATTTTTTAACATTATTTTATTATGCGTATAGATTTCTTCATAGATGTAGGTTATAAAAAGCATTTAAAATCACGTATATCTTGCCTAAACTATTTAGATTATAAAAACAAAAATATTTCAAATATACGATAATGTTAAAAATTTTGAAATAAAAAAACAAGCAAAATAGACAAAACGCTTCGCTCCCCTATATAACGGAATTATAATAAACAAAAAAAGTATAGTTATATTTTAGAATAAGCAAATATTTTTCTTATGTGGCATTTTTGTGTGGAATTCGTGTTGTATTTGCGACTTATTCATTGCGATGTTTCTATTAAAAAAAGCAAACCGTCTTGATTAAGCTTTTAAAAAGATTTAAGAAAGATTTTAAAAGAAAAAATGTGTGATGCAGGAATATGTTCCTATCGTAGTAGACAAATTTGACGGAAACATCTCGATAAATAAATTGTTTAAAAAAAAAACAAATAAGGAAAAAACGTGACTAAAAAAGTTTAATTAATTCTCATGATACTAGTCATATTAAATCGTTTTATGTCCAACTTTTAAAAGAGAAAAAATTAATGAGAATTTATCTTTTTTTACGTTTTAATATTTTTTTGTGATTTTTAAAACTATTCGTATAAATAATAAAACTATTCATGTGAAATGCCATTCTAGATGTCTCTCTGTAAGTGTGCATAACTATATAATTGTATAATCTATAGATATTAAGTCGATCACGATATTAACTACAAGGATTGTTTTTATTTTACTTTTTTTATTTCATTATTCATCATGATATTATTATGACTACCAACTCAATTTATTCGACTTATTTTTACGAGTTTATTATTAATTTTAGGCTGTTTATTCGCTTACATTTGATACAGTTCTTTTAATTATTATTATTATTACGTTTTTATCTTATAAAAGCGATCAGCAATCGAGTTTTTAAACTATTAAATTGATTTCTCTTTGTTTTTGTGTTATAGCACTTTGTTTTTAGAATTGTACCAAAGTAATAATGTCTTTTAATCTTGGGTTTAATTAATAAAATTAATTATAATAATCAATTATTGTTTTATTTAAAATATCCATAAAATCTTTCGTCACCGCGACCTACCGATACTAAAGATCTAGTGCAACTTAAGCCCTCCAAAAGTTTAGGGCAAATGTAGGATCAGCAACTTAGTATTGCTCTAAGGTCTTGTTTTTAAAGCAGTTCTTAAAAAATTTAAAAAAAGAAGAAGGGCTATATTCTGAGGGATACTCAGCGAGCCATCAAATGCCGCAAGCAGAAGTAAGTACTGTATAGATGTTCCAAATTCGTTATCCGCATAGGCTATCTCCGAAACTAAAAGAGACCCATACAATAATTGCGGTTTCTTCACGGTATAATTAGGGTTCAAAAGAAAACCGACTTTCCTTCACGCTATAATTAGGGTTCAAAAGAAAACCGACATTCTTTCACGCTATAATTAGTGTTCAAAAGAAAACCGACATTACTTCACGCTATAATTGGAGTTTCAAAACAAAACTGACCCATCCTAACATTTCTTCACGCTATAATTGGAGTTCAAAAGAAAACCGATATTCCTTCACGCTATAATTGAAGTTTCAAAATAAAACTGACCTATCCCAACATTTCTTCACGCTATAATTGGGGTTCAAAAGAAAACGGACATTCCTTCACGCTATAATTGGGGTTCAAAAGAAAACCGACATTCCTTCACGCCATAATTGGAGTTTCAAAACAAAACTGACCTATTCTAACATTTCTTCACGCTGTAATTGCGGTTCAAAAGAAAACCTACATTCCTTCACGCTATAATTGGAGTTTCAAAACAAAACTGACCCATCCTAACATTTCTCCATTCTATAATTGGGGTTCAAAAGAAAACCGACATTCCTTCACGCTATAATTAGGGTTCAAAAGAAAACCGACATTCCTTCACGCTATAATTGGAGTTTCAAAACAAAACTGACCTATGGTAACATTTCTTCACGCTATAATTGCGGTTTCTTCACGGTATAATTTGGCTTCAAAAGAAAACCGACATTCAAGCCTGAGAGCGGCCTCAGATCCCCTTTGCTGAGGCATAAAACCTCTTTGGTTTTGGTTTGCGACGAAGTTATCATACTCTTGTCTGTGACCTAGAAGTTCTTCCAGCATGAGGCTACCATTGAGGCTTCCCAACTATTGATTAGCTGTTTTAAGTGGTTTTATTTGTAGTCCACAACCGAGTCCAATGAAGGGAGTTATTGCTGCATCTTTGGCAAGCTTGTCCGCCTTTTATTACCCTCAATGTCTTTGTGACCTGGTGATCACGATAACTCAAGATCTCGCCCCTAGTGAGTTCTCTCAGGTTGCTGGTACATTCTCTGGATTCACGTGTAGGCCTGAATTGCCTTTAGAGCGGCCCGACTATCTGTGAAAATGTTTGTGGATGCATCTTTTGGTCCCTTTTCTAGGTTCAAAATGGTACAAAAGTTTAAACAAGAACTTCTGCTTGAAAAATGGTTATGTCAGAGCTGAGAGGCAACTTGCGGCTGTTTGGTAAATTAATGCCCATACATAGAGTTAATAGGATAACGTTTCCGTGTACAAGTTATTTTTTGGCATTTGTCATAGGCAGACGGTCAAGGTCCTCTCAAGGCAGTCAAGACTTGGGCCGATTCTTGTAAATATTTTATTATCATCCGCATAGAACAGGAGAATTTAAAACAAGAAGAAATGTCATTTATGTAAATTAAAAATAATGTGAGTCCAAGTATGGTAAGGTTTATAATCGGATAGAAAGCTACCTATCTTGATATTATGAATATATCACAAAATAATAAAACATTAAACAATGGGGTCATACACGATTTTTTTTTTATTATATTTCTGAAAGTTTATATAAAAATATAGTTGCCGTTATTTTTTTTTTTAATATTTTCGAACAAAGTCATTGTTAAAAAAATTATTGAAAATTTATATACCCATTTGCGCTTTTAAAATTCCCGCGTTGATGACGTACGATTCTCACTTTTGCGTCCCCTGCTACCCGCTCAAATGCGAGAAAGAGATGAACGTCATTTAGGTTGTATTGAAAAGAGATAGAGTGTTTGTAGGTTATGTTTATTATGTTTTGTTCATGGATGTAATAGAGACACTCTATTACATCCATGGTTTTATTTGGACACTGTCACACCGCAAGCGCTATCTAACGGACAATTTAACTTGTTTTAGGCAGTGTGGTTCCTACGTCACAGAAAAGCCGCGAAATTATTTCGTTTGAATATTTGCTATTTTTCACTTCAAATTACGCAAAATATAAAATTGATCAAAATATTTCTTTTACTTTGTGTTCATGCATATACTTGCATATATCGTTTGACATAAAAATTTTCTCTAAATTTAATAAGTGTGTATGACCCCATTACAGTTGTTAGCTTGTCCTTTATTAAAAATATTTTACTTATATTTAAAAATATATAAATCTATAATTATTTTAATTTAATGCATATTACTGCATTAATTCTTAAATAACATAAAAATTTCAAATTAAAAATCATAATAAACTTAATTAATTAAATTAATTTTTTTATTTAATATTAAGTTGTCAACACCTTCTGTCAAATGTCAAAGTAATGTCAAAAATCAGCTGTGCGCCTCCCTTTAATTTAAGATAAATTGTAAACTTTTAAATGTAAACTAATAGAAAAAATGACGAATAAAAATTTACAATCGCCAACTAAATTAACGGAATTTGCTCCGTTACAGCCGGAGGAGAAACAGCAAACGGTGACACAATTAATTTCGAAATTTTTTAAGCTTAATCGTTTCAACAATAATGGACAAAGTAGTCAAAATCCCGAAACGAGTAATTACAAAGTCGTGCAGGAAAATTTACCGGCGTGGGCTGTCGATAACACCTCTGAAAATGAAAAGACTTTTAATGAAGAAGGTTACCCTGAAATTGCGGATGGAAGAAGTTTACCGAATGTATTAAAGCGTATTAGTAGTTTATTAGCGTTAAATAAGACTAGTGTAAGGGTATAAAACGAAAATTTAACTTATTTTATATTAAAGTGTTATTATTAGAACTCTCCTGTATATTCAGAACAGGATTTAAAGCAATATTGGATGCCTGACTCTGTTAGTAAGGAATGTTACGAATGCTGTGAGAAATTTACTACTTTTCGAAGGAGACATCATTGCAGAGTTTGTGGACAAATCTTTTGCTCTCAATGTTGTAATGTTCAAATTGCTGGAAAAATTTTTGGAACAGCGGGTAAAAAAGTTTTATGTTATAATTTAAAAATATTTAAATAAAATTATTTTTAGGTTATTTACGTGCTTGCATGTACTGTTGCAAAATCGTTATAGGATATTTAGAATCATTAGATTTAGGTTCAGATTTAACAGTTTATTTAAAACAACTCCAAGAGATTGTAGATAATAAACAAGGATTACATCATGATCCTTCGGTTGATTTAATTCAAAGCAGGTTATCTTCAGCTGATTTACCTGTAGATTCTTTGGATGTAAATAGTGGGTTGCATAGGAAGGTTTCAGTGGGTTACCAAGAGGAAAAATTTGTTCCAGGAAGGTACTTTATTAAAAAAAAAAATCATTAAGACTCTAAATTTATTAATTTAGCACACCAGGAAGTTTTATTACAATAGAAGAAAGATGTAAAGCATTACAAAATTCAACATCCCTCCGTAATTTATATGAAGAAATTTGCCGTCCAACAACTGGAATAATTTTAAGAAAACAAAAATATAGATTAAGAACTTATTCGGATTGTTTTTTGGGATCAGAATTGGTGGATTGGTTGATTAGACAGCAAAAAGCTAATACACGGTAATTTGAATTGAATAGAATCACAATGATTTGGAAATAATTGAATTAAAATTGCATTCATATTCATAGAATACAAGCATGCACTTTCTGTCAAGCTTTGTTGGAGGGAGGTTATGTTGAATCAGTTTTTGATTCAACCACATTTATAGATGGTTTTGCCTTGTACAAATTAGGAATAATTTTACCAACAGAACTATCTCAGCCAATGGCAATCTCGATAACCCAAGATGAACCAAATTGGGTTAAATTTATACCGTTAGAATCGGAAATTGCAGGTAAACTTTCTAATTTTAAGTATACAGGTGTCTCAGCAAGACCGGTTATTAGACGTTTTTGGGGTTCTGGCCAAAATAAAAATTTGATTATTCAGATTTAAGTATAATCAATTGCGTTCTCTTCGACTAAAATATTTTCCGATTTTTAGCACTTCCGGTTATACCGGAAGTCGCCACCTACTTTATTTTGTTAAATGGAACACCCGGTATATTTTTACATATTTGGATTTGTCTATTTTCAAGGTTTATGAATAACTTTACTTTTTGCAATTTGATTCGGCCGTTCTCGAGTTATTCGATTTTTTCTAAAAAAATCTGCTCTAGCAGACATTTGTTCAAAAAATCAGAGAACACTCGATTTTTGGGATATCAATTTAGGATTCAGAACATGCTTAAGCAACATGATGGAGTATGTTTTGGTGCCAAGAACGGCTGTCTAGATCGTTTGGTCACTTTACTATGACGCGTTAACTTTTCGAAATTTGGAAGTACCATAACTTAAGTTTTTTAAATGGTACCCCCCATATTTTATTACTTACTTGTCTCATTTTACATCTTTTATATCCCATATATCCTATACCTAACATTAATAGTTTGGGAAATAATTAGGGTTTTTTGAAAAATGCACATATCGATATTTAATCTAGTGTGCCATGGAAAACAAATGTTTAATGACTTATTGACAAACGTCAAAGTCTGATTTACGTTGTCTGGTGCTTGTGAGTCGAAAACCAGTTAAAATGGATATTAATAACGTAAATAATGTTTATACAAATGAAGAAATCCTTCATTTATTTTTTATGCAGGGGAAATTGCGACAAGATTCTTAGTAGAACTTGTAGAATGTTTAATGAAAACTATCCACATTTACCTACGATGACATAAGGTAAATTTAGAAGAATAGAAGCAATTTTTTTGCATTTTGGACGAATTAATCACGCGTTAAACTAATCAGTCGGATTTTTACTTTTGGAATTATGTCAAGGTCGAAGTTTATAAAAGGAGATACGCGAACTTGATGGAACCTCAGTACTGCATTACAAACGTTATAAGATACATTGATAGAAGAACAATTCTAAAAGCTACAAAACGTGTAACAAAGCATGCCTGAAAATGTATTGAACAAAACGGTGATGTGTTTGCACATCTAATGTCTGTTTAAATAAAATGAAAACACTAACCTCGAGCTCTTAAACTCTTTAGCCTAGTTCAGTCAACTAGGCTAAAATGAAAATAAGCTGATAATTCGGTTATTTTCAATTTTAGCCCGACATTGCTTATAACCTTTTTTGTTTTAAAAATGTTGTACATTTGATTTTGCAAAAGATATACAAGGTGTTCCATTTCAAAAAATTACATTTTCCTAATTTTTTCTTAAACATATTCAATGTCGTCTTGTTTCATCTTTTTCTTTTTACACTATTGTAATCGGCAGATAAAATGCTACTAGTTTACTTATTTACCGACGTTGTACTAATGACAAAGTTACCAATAGTGCGCACTTAATTTAGAGCTGTATACCTCTAACGCACAACCTCACACAGAGGTCTGCACATCCTCTGACAGCCCTTGCTCCTGCCATCCCCATATCTCCACCCCGTATATCATAACGCTTTTTATGAAGCTCTCAAACATTATCCTCTTCTTTCCCATAATCTTTCCCCCCGTCTCTAGATCTATCCCATAACCTTATTAGCGTTCCTTGCAATTATTCTAATATATGTCACCTTCCCATCTCCAATCCTCTTCCTTCTGTCGCCCTTACTTCATCATATTCGGTTTGTTTATATTCACCTCTTCAGGATTCCAAATCCTTCCCTCTAAAATACCCTACCAGAGACCGTATTATTGCAATTTTTTTTAGTATACATTTTTTGAATACATTTTTCTTATAGATTGTGATTCTGATCCAGTAACACCAACGTTTGTGAGAGCACCCGGTAGGTTGACATCGTCTTCTTCGTATACATTAGATTTAAATGTCGAGGCGAATACAGTTTATATTTCTAAACCAATGCCTTCGAATCACAGCACATCATCTGGCGAAGAAACTTTAGAAGCTGACCAGCAAAATTTTGGAAGTGAAATATCCGTAGTGAGGACTACAGAACAAAGAGAGAAAGCTCCTGAATCTGGTAAAAGAACATTATAATTATAAATTTATATTTTTGAGTAAGTCTGGGCGATCAATAAGGTCACTCAATTTATGGCAGAAATTTTACCAACACTGTTCCTCGTTAGATTATCACCTTTATTAGATAGACGCTCAGAATCTCGAGCATATTACAAAAAGCTTTTAAATTTAATTTCTTGATCAATCTTAGCACATGAGCCTCCCACGTTAGCCAAGAATCAAAAATAAACATCAATGACTTAATCTTGGAGGTGTCCATTCCAAGATTGAGATTCTTTGCAATGTTGAGAATGTTTTTTATTCTTTCTCTAGAATTTTTAATAGGAATGTCTTCTCTCAAGTCGCAAATTCAGTCAATCTTTGCCTTATTTCTTACACATAGATAAATAGCACATATTCTATTTCAATCATTCTAATTTTCGTTATTTCACGTTTTTTACTAAAATTAAATTATAGGTTGGTATAATCCTAGTCAACTTCGTGAAGAAAATAACGAAAAATTAGCTTATAATCTCCTACAAGATGCTTTTAAACAACACGAAAATAATTTATTGAAACAACTTTTAAATCAGGAAGGTTTAAATTTATCATGGGCTGAAGTTTTGTTACCATTAGTACATGAAATTGTAGACTTAGTCAGACCAGGTAGTTATAATAATCCAAAATTTATTCACAATAATTTATAATTTACCTCTTTTTTTAGATTTAAATCACAACGCTGAAGCAATCGATATTTGTCATTATGTAAAGTTTAAAAAAGTCCCTGGCGGGACAAAATTGGATTGCAAATTGGTTCGTGGAATAATCTTTACAAAAAATATCGTCCATAAAAGTATGTTAAATCAAATTGATAATCCCAAAGTGTTATTATTAGAAGGTGCTGTGGTGTATCAACGAATTGAAGGGAGATTAATGTCATTAGAACCAATTCTTATGCAGGTGAATTAATTAAAATAAATACATTATTATCATTTAATTATTTAAATTAAAATACTTTTAGGAACAAGAAAGTTTAAGAAATTTAGCAGCAAAAATAATTGCTTTAAAACCAGATATAGTTTTAGTACAACGAAACGTAGCGAGATTAGCACAAGATATTTTACGTGAACAAGGAGTTACTTTAGTGATTAATGTAAAAAGACGAATTTTAGAGGCTTTATCAAGATGTATGCAAGCAGATTTAATAACATCACTAGACGCGCATTTAATGGGCAAACCAACATTGGGAACTTGTAATAAATTTTATTTGCAATGTTACAAAAGCACGTCAGGTGAAAAATCAAAAACATTGATGTGTTTCGAAGGTTTACCTCAACCACATTTAAGCAGCACTATCTTATTAAGAGGTGCCTCAAAAATTGAGCTACAAAAAGTTAAAAGAGTCGCTTCTTTATTACTTTTCACATGTTATAATTGGAGATTGGAAAAGTCGTTTTTAATGGATTTTTTTGCTTTACCACCGCACCATAAAAACGAATTCTTTTGTGATAGCGGTGAAAATTCACCCACATTACCAGAAAATATCCCAATTAAATCGCGTATAAATTATATTAAATCCGAAGATAAATTTGATGATTTAAATAAAACAAAACGTGAAAAAAACTCGTTAAAAGTCGTCGAATGTTTCACAGATCCCTTAAATTCTTATGATAAAGAAGAGGAAATTATACCAAATGAAAATTTTAAAGGAAAGTTATCTGTAGCTGATTTACCATTTTCAAATCAATTTCGAAAACATTTGGATGATACGATTTTATGCGTTTCGCCGTATGTTACGTTTTCTGTTCCATATTTGGAGACTGAAAATGGTAGGAAATGTAAATTGAGAAGTTATTATCCTGATCAAATATTTAGTAGTGAACAATTTTTAAATACTAGTAAGAAAGTGTTGAAAACTGTTGATGATAATTTAAGTAATAAACAACCAATCTTAAAGGTAGGTTTAAAAAATATACATATTAATAAAATTAATAATTATTGTTCTAGATAAAACCGCCTCATCCATTTATAACAACAGTAATTGGCAGAAACATCGACTCTAATGAAATAAAAAATTCTTTGGCACATTTCCGTGCTTGCGGTGGTCGCTATGAAAAAAAACCTTCAATTGATTTTATGAAAAACCAATCTAATGATGAAAAACTTACAGAACACCCCGCCGAAAATTCAAATAAACAACTTGATGTTTTTGATCCACATAATCATCAAAAATTGGATGCTCTTTATTATAGTTTTAGTTATAAATCAGCGAACGCCCCTGCGTTTTGCGTTAACCCTTGGGTAGTTCACATGAGTTTTTATCGAGATAATGATATTCCTTTGGGATGTTTTTTGGAAAAATATTGTTTTCGAAAATCGTATGGTTGCCAATCAAAATCGTGTGGTGTTCCAATGTTAAATCACATCAGACGATTTGTACATAATTCGGGTTGCATAAGTATATCTTTAGATGAGTTACCAAATAGTTTTACTGAGGATAGAATAATAATGTGGAGTTGGTGTTCAAAATGTCAAACTTGTTCGCCTAGCGTTCCTATGTCTGGTGATACTTGGTCATTTTCTTTAGCTAAATATTTAGAATTAAGATTTCATAATGGATTGTATACAAGAAGAGGAAATGTTCCATGTAATCACAGTTTACATCAAGATAATTTACAATATTTTAGTTACAACAATATTGTCGCTACATTTGAATACTTACCGGTTGATTTATGGGAAATTTCTTTACCCCCAACTATAATAAGTTTTGTACCCGATCGAAGTAAACAACATTTAGAAATGATAGAAGAAATTAAGACCATTGCATTAAAAGGTCACGAAATATTCTCGTTAATAAGCGAAAAACTTTCAATACTTTCACCCGATTTTGATGGTTTAAACAATTACAAACAAATGTTATTAAAAGATCAATTAATGTTTAAAGAAATGGTCGAATTGGTTCAATGGAAATTAACTTCACCCACTTTAGAAAAAACTGAGGATAATTTTGGGAATCCAGAAAGTAAAGGTAAATATTTTTTAAAATTGTATTTCGTTTTTTTCATATATTTGTAATATTGCAGATGCTCAAATGGCAACATGGAAAATATCAGATACATTGGTGAGAATAAAGAAATTAATAGCAGAAGCGGTTGATCAATGGAATTTAATATTACAAGAATCCATTAAAAAACGCGACGCTGATAAACGAAAAGAAAGAAGCTCACATTCAGAAATTGATAGCCACTCTTCGTCTGATGTTAAAAGTAGCGCCACCGATTCTGAATTTGATATTAAAGATTCTAAAAGTGGAGCTAGTAATCGAAATAGGAGTTTAGATCAAGGTAACTTTTGATTTAAATAGAATTTATGTTGGAGATAAAAAATAATAAAATTTCTAGAACATGTACCACCATCTCCTAAATCTCACCATCGTTCACAATCAGATGGAACAATTTTATCTCAATACGACGATTCTTACGACGGAAAGAAACACGATGACCGCAAAACAGTCAAACACATTTTCTCACAATTATTACCATCAGCAACTGCATTTACACCAATTTTAGTAAGTTTCTTTTCCAACACTTTTATTAATACATATTATATTAATATTTTTTAGCATACTTTTAATCCTCAAGAACATTACACTCTTCCAATCGGCGTTTACTTTCCAATTATTGTCTATGAAAATGAACCTAGTTCAATAATAGCTTATGCATTAAACACTTTTGATTATAAAAGAATTTTGGAGGAATTCGCGACAAAAAAAAATCATCAAAATGAACCAAGTCCCAGTCCGAGTCATAAACGGCTTTTATCCAATGACAAAGATAAACGTACTTCATCTGGGGATAAATTGGAATCGCACGAATCTTCTTCTGGATTATTATCGTTTTTAAGAAATAAAGATAATAATAAAGTGGATGGTGGCAATAATGTAAATGTTGATGCAAGGTGAGAATAAAATTAAAAATGATCACTTTATTAACTCAATTTTAAAATAATTGATGAAAATGATGTAATGTTATGATATATAATAGTGTTTTAAGATGTTTTTTTTTAAAACAGTGTAGGTTCTAAAAAATTATTTCTTAGACATCGTTGGCGAAATGTTGTTGTATGAGGCGCTTCTTATATTATAGCGAATATAGCTTTATATTCGCTTTTATTTCCCATTAATTAATAATTCATTTAAAATAAATATTCTCAAAATTACATAAACAACCTGTTAAACTCATTAAATAATTTTATTTTAGTCAAGGAAATGATCAAACTCTTCACGTTGATAAAATTGATGATTCAAAAAAACGAAAAAGTTCTCACATTGAAATTCAATTTGAAGATAGTAACTGTAACTTTTTCTGTCGGATTTATTTTGCTGAAGAATTTACATTTTTACGAAGTTATATGTTACCAAGTGGTGAAGAAGCATTTATCAGATCGTTAACAAGATCGATTCAATGGAATGCTAGAGGTGGTAAATCTGGATCAACGTTTTGTAAAACAACAGGTAATTGTATCGATATTGTAATTAAATTAATTTTCTTTTTAAATGTAATTTTAGATGATAGATTTATTTTAAAAGAGATGCCAAAATCCGAAATTCAACTTTTTTTGGAATTCGCCCCTAATTATTTTTCCTATATGAATCATTGTCACGACACGTCCCAACCGACTTTATTAGGAAAAATTGTGGGAATTTATCAAATTATTTTTAAAAATAATAGTACAAACGCCTCGTTGCGAACTCACGTTTTAGTTATGGAAAATCTATTTTATAACCGCACAATAACGCAAAGATTCGACCTCAAAGGTTCCATGAGAAATCGTTTGGTAAATCCAGATAATCAAGATGAAGAAATAGTACTTTTAGACGAAAATTTATTATATAGTAAGTTAATAGAAACTAATTAACCAAAAAAAATTATTTTAAATAATATTTTTAGTGTCTTGTGATTCTCCTTTATATATCTTTCATCATTCCAAAGCTGTACTTGCTGCAGCTATACAAAAAGATATTGAATTTTTATCTGCGCAATCTGTGATGGATTATTCCTTGTTAGTAGGACGAGATACAAATAATAAAGAATTAGTTGTAGGAATAATTGGTAAGAATCTTTTTTATTATATGTATTATAATTGAGGAGCGTCTGTTCAATTTCCATACTAAAGAAACTTTAGAAAAACTAAAAAAAACTTATAGCTATTGAAAAATGTATGTACAGGTATATTTTTTAAATTAAAATTAAATTTTTTATAAGGCCACGAATTTTTGTATCATGTGTATCATTTTTGTATAACATATGTATTTTATTTTTTATAGATTATATTCGAACTTTTACATGGGATAAACGATTAGAAACGATGGTAAAAAAATCGGGAATTCTTTGGGGACAAGGAAAGTTACCAACAATTGTATCGCCAGAAGAATATCGCGATCGATTCATTGAAGCAATGCACAAATATTTTCTTCAAGTTCCTGATCCTTGGATGGGATTTGGGAAAAGTTTGGAGTATTAAATTAAAAAATAAATAAATCATTTTAGAAGAAAAATAATATTTTTTATTGAATAATAATAATTAATCAAAGAAAAGTCACAATATTATACCTCAACTTTTAAGTTTAACAAAGAAATATAAAGAAATAAGGAAATATGGCGGATGTTAATAATCAATAAAATATAATTAACGGGGCATATAACCTTGATGAGGTTGTTGGTTGTATGTCTTTGAATACGGATTTCCTTGGGTTTGCCCAGGAAAAATTGGAGGTACAACTCCTGATTGGTTATATTGTTGTTGTTGAGTTGTATAAGGCATTCCCGGTTGAGTATAACCATAAGTGTTTGTATTTGGCATTTGGGGTTGATCGGATTGAACATATCTATTAAAACAAAGCAAATAAATAAATTTATCAATTTATAAATTAATTCATACTCACCCTGCATTTGAGTATGTTGGGTACTGTTGGGTTGGATATGGCATGTTAGCATATGTAGCTTGAGGGTACCCTAAAATAAAACACCCATTTTTAAATTACACATTAAAAAATCATTTTTTAAATAGATTCTTTTTATATTTCCAATTTAATTTTTAAAATACATGCATAAACCGCCCATTGACATGGCTAAGTGCATAAATCATATTATAAGAAATCTGTCCTAATTCAGTTAAGGGTGGAGAGACAGTCCCGGGGGAATAATTCCACATACCCGTTGTTGGAGTTCTAATATATTGATTGCTGGGAGCTCCCAATGCGGGCGCAACTGGAGGCGTTGGAGTCGGTCTCACCGGTACAGATTGTGGACGATTTTCATTTTCACCATGGCTGATAACCGACGAAGATGAATTTACTTGATCATTTTTGTTCGAAGAATCTTGATTTTGCTGTTGCTGCTTTTTATCTTGCAACGGGTCAAATTCGCTTGAATTTACTTTGCTTACAACGTTCGTAGAGGGCCCATTTGTTGGAACCTTCTCTGACTCTCCTAAATAAGAAATAATTTAAACCAAATAAACATCATAAATAGTTTTACCTTCTATACTTGGTTCAGTTTGACTAGGAACTGGATTATGATCCAAAGCGTCTAGTAATCTATTTACTTGATTTCTGATACTACGTAATTGCACTTTAATATCAGCCAATTCAGTGGGTTTTAATGTACCACTTGATGAAGTATCACACTGCATATCATTATTCATAAGAATGTGTAATTTTAAAATTCTGCTGCATTGTATAGCAAACGATAAGTCTGAACTATCAAATATAGTAATTAGGTCACCATCTGCAAGATTAATTAAAATAAGCAACGACAGTAAAAGGAACACAAAGAAATTACCTTCATCTTTATATTTAATTGTAACGTCATCCGTTGAAGTTAATTTCCCGCGAAAAACTCTTTGCATCATCAGTACCAATTCGTCATAAGTTATTGCTTCGTTATGTATTGGAATTCGACGGATATCATCGCCAAGTTGAACTTTTATAATGAGTTTACCACTCAGGTCTACTACATTATTTATGTCCATGTCTTTTTCGTCGTTTTAAGATTTTTTTGTTGCAAGATCTGTATACTTACATAAAGGAAATTTTTAACAATTATTTTTCCGATTTAAATGTTTTAAACAAACTGGAAATTTTAGAAAAACACCGATGTATTTACAAAAAGAGAATCGTTTTATGACGTGATGAGATCGATGAAATGTTAATTGTCAAACAACAGTGTCACCAACATAAAAAAATTTAAAGCAATAAGTCACCATAATTAATTTTTTTAAATATTAAAATTAAAAATTATTAAATTTGCAAAAAATTTATTTTAAAATCTACATCATTTTAATAAATCATTAATAAAAAAAGGATTATTTAACAAAAATTTGTCATAACCACACTAAAGATAAAACATAACCTTAAAATTTTAAACGTCAAAGAAAAAATTTTATTTAATCCAAATCTCAACATTATGATCATTTTAAAACATTTAGACAACGAAAAACTACTAATATCAACCTCTAAAAGTCTTCTATTATACGATATCTCAAAAGATACATCCTCCGATATAGAATTACCACAATTAAGTGTTATTCAAAAGGGAAATCATGAAACTAACATAATATCTTCAATTGCAACATCGAAATGTGGAAATTATTTTGCTTTACTCCGTAATAAACAAGTAATAATATATGATAAAAAATTAAATGTTATAAAAGAGATTTCACTAAAACGTGCGGCACATTCAATTATGCTATTTGGTGGTTACAATTTGTTGGTTGCTGATAAAACTGGGGATGTTTATTTGTATAAAAGTGAAAATGAAGGTGGAGATAAAGATGGGATTCTCTTATTTGGTCATTTAAGTATGTTGTTAGATGTAGTGTTAAGTGACAATGAGAAATTTTTAATAACATGTGACCGAGATGAGAAAATCCGAGTTTCGCATTATCCTAATACATATAATATTGAAAAATTTTGTTTGGGACATAAAGAATTTGTAACTAAATTAGTTTTGTTAGAGAATTCTTTTTTGTTATCAGCTTCAGGAGATGGTCAAATAATTCTTTGGGATTACTTAAAAGGAGTTAATTTACATAAAATTGACACAAGCGATTATGTAAAAGATAAATCAGTTTTAAATAATTTTATAGAGACCATGAAACACAATAAAACGGATGTGATGTGTTTACCAATTGTAGATATTCAAGTCCAAAAAATCGAAAATGTTTATTACATAGTTGTTCAAATTTATAAATTAAAATCGCTTTTAATTTTTTCAATTGATGCGTTTGATAATTTTGAATCTAGATTTATTGATGAACTTAGCTTCAAATCGGAAATTCAAACGTTTTCTTTAAGAACACATTTATTCGTCGCAACAAAAGAAGATATCAAAACTTTTTGTGTTTTAGATAATAAATATGTTGAAGTGAAAAAAGTTTTCTTTGAGAATTTTAAAATTTCAATTGAAGGCGATGATAATTGCGATATAATAACTTTGTTTAAGAGAAAATTTGATAATGTTGAGGAGTATTTAGAAAGAAAACGACAAAGAATTGAAACAAAATGTAATTAATAAAAAATTACTTTTTTATATACTGAAATAAAAAATTATAAATTAAAATCGATTTTTTTTATTTATCCTGAAATATTTTGTTCAAAAGAAATTGAAATTAGAATGCCATAAAGCTTTATCTATTTATGGATAGGATAATAGACAATGTATTAAAGTAAGCTATAATTATATGATATGGGGACAAAAAATCGAGCAGATGATGTCGTCATACTGGGCGATACTGCATCTGAAGACGCATGGCTAAACCCGAAACTTTCTAGAGCTACTGTTCTAGTTTTAGTTGCTATTGAGTGCTAAATTGACCAATAAGTAGAACTAGAAACATTCCTGTTTTTCTTCTTCCGAATATTTCTAGATCTAGTGTTAGTTCAATAAAAAGATACAGCAACCTGGCGCTGAATAACAAGTAAAACTAGAACTAACACTAGATCTAGAAACAACATAAACTTAACAGCTAAACGGGTCGAGACTCCTTTAGCTGTAGAAGGAGTGTTAGATACCCTCATCTCAAGATACATTTACGAATGGTTAACACCATTGCATAGGGCTCTCTAAACATGAAGAAGATTAGGGAACATTGTTAGACCTTGTTCAGTATTAAATATTAACACAAACAAACAATATTAATCCTTTTGTGTTTGATCTCCACTTAAATTTGACCATATTATTAAGAAACTTAATAATGTGACATGATTATATACATAGTAATTATTAGGTGTAATAATAATTGCAAAAAGTTGAGCAATAACATGAATTTCATTTTATTGATTTTGTTCATTTGTTGATGTTTCAGCAACCTTAAAGCTGCCGTTTGATCTTACAATTTAATTATGAACATTATAAATTTAAAAGTATTCACACGTTTCTTTTAAATCTAAATCTATTAATAAAGCTACGTAACAGAGAAACAATGTTTTTAGATAAATACAATATATATGTATATTTAAAAATAGGATGGGATACAAATGCTTAATAAATTAAATTATTTATATTCGGATCGTTTTTAAAAAGTCCATAAATACATAAAGAGAAACTTTTTAGTAAATTTGTATAAATTAAAATTATGGGTAAAAAATTGTTTTTATTTAAAAAATATTGTTACATTTAAATATCATTTTCTTACTTATTAGATTTTTTTAGTTTTCTTGTCCACATTTGATTGAAATTTAGCTCTCATTTAATATAATAAAATTAAAAACTTAAAATTATAGAGATAATAATAAAAAACAACCCTTATATGATAAAAAATAGAGAACTGCACTAAATCATGATAATAAACAATTTAAAATTGAAAATCTTGTTGATTTAAATAATTATTATATGGTATTATACTTAAAAATACAATTAAATGTGCGTTTATTAAATATAAAAAATAAATTATTTTTACAATCTCATTTTTGTTTTATTTGTTATTGATTTGTTTGTTAGAAAAACTTGTTGGCATTCAGTACGGTGGCGTCGACGCATCCGAACACGTCGAATCCTGTTTATGTGACAGTGAGTGTTGTAACGCCATGGGCATTAACCATTCTTTTGGTAAACACCGTTCAAGAAATGGAACCCAACTGCTAAAATACGCCAAACGGTTTACCCATGATGGGATATCTTGACCACACAAGATCTAACAAAATAAAAATTTACATAAAAAATCGTTTCATTAATAGCGAACTCAAAAAGACACGAAATCCGCGGAAATCTTAACATAGTGAGGATAGTAATCAAGAATCTACTATGATTTATACAAATTTATAAAACTTTAGAGACGCGACATCCAGTCTAGATATACACCAGCACTATCTTGCCCGATTGAACGAAACCCTACACGGCTTATGTCAGATTCTTCTTAATTTAGAATTTGCATAAATCGTTCTAAAGAAATTCGATCAACAAGACTAGATATCACATATGCAGTGAACATTATTAACAGTGTTGCCAACAGGTCGGTTTTCAGACAGGCAATTAAAAGAATCGGAAAACGTGAACGTATCTATCACGAGTCTATCAAGAGTGGTTGGAATGCATTTATCCCAAGTCGCAGGGTTACGTGCAAAGGCGTCATTAGACAAATAATAGACCCATGTTTTGCTGATGAAGAATTATTAGCTCATTTTGAAACAGAAGAAGGAAAAAAGGAGGATGGACCTAAATATATTAACACTGCTTTACCACAAATAGTTAGTCCTTTTCAGTGTCAGACGCCCAGAACCATACATTGTCTAGTTAACCCAACTGATGATCCAACTCGACTGTTTATGGTCATACCAAAAAAACAGTGCAAATCGAAGATAAGATGCCTGGCTTGCACTGAAGAGCACAGTTGGAACGACTGTGATATGAAAAATTCTCAAATATACATCTTCTGTGGTAACAATCATCTTAGCAATGAAAGAAAGACTCCACCAGGTATGAAAAGATGCCCAGAATATACAAGACAAAAGAAAATGAAGGAGGTTATGACCACATATAATATTTCAGCTTATGACGCTGCGCAGAAAGTAGGTATAGACTATACTCAACAATTCTTATACAGGTAATGATGGACCTGAGAAGGTTCCCAGAACTTAAAGCAACCCAACCTAAACAAACTATCAACAAAGAAACAACGGTACAAACAATCTCATCTGCATTGTTATACAATTTTAACAATGACATAATTCTCTCTAACAAAACACAAATAAATATCCCCATCACAATCGAAAGATCGTCACAGAAAGTCAAGAAAGGTCTGGATCACAAATGGAATATGAGGAAGGATCGTGCTCCCCGCCAATTTTGTGGAAAAACGAAGTAAACAACAGACAACACATCTTAGTATAGCTGCCCAAATCCCCAAAGAACATGCCTATTCATCAAATGATTGGACCCATGCATTAATCATCAATGACAATCCATTTAAAATAATGACATGGAATGCTAGACGCACATCGACAAAAGTTGATGTTGGGTCTATGAGAGAGACGAGTCATCATACCAATTAACCTGGCTTCCCTATTTGCAACAGGTTCTTTCGAAATACATATATGTATTATCCTATGAATATGTTGCTTCCTTGAGAAAATACGGTGATAGCAAAGTCCAAAACTAGAAAAAATGTGATATCAACAAGGAGTGAATAGAAATAATTGTGATAACTATCGATTATAGAAAGATATAACTGACTGTGATACTACTTAGACCTAAATCACTATTTATACTTATAATCCCTTTCCAGATATAATTGTCTGAGGGTCCTCCTAAAGGTCTTGAGAAAGTTGAGTTAGCTTGATTGCAGAAAAAATTCCATTAATTGTGTCATCTCTATTTTAAAGTGTTGTTCCGTTTATGTAAGTCTTTATCATTATATGTATATTTATAATTTGTTAAACCTTGGGGCAGTTCAGAGAAAGAAGATACCATGTAATAAGAAACTCTGCTAATAGAGAATGATCTGAATGAAAGTTCGAACTCCAAAGTATGTGGAAGAAAACAACAGCAAACAACTAATAATAAAAACTTATTTTCGTGTTCCAAAGATTATTTTTTTTACTTAAAAGTCATATTCCATAGAAAAACTGATAAAAACTTTTACAACATAAGTTTTAAACGTCATACCTACCGCAATCAAAAACACCAAGGTTTTATTGCTTTATCTTGCTTGATATTGCTTTGATTTAATTTTATTTAATAACCAATAGTCCAGACTAAACCATAATTAATAAAAATTTAATTACGACGATAACAAATGAAATGACTCACTAAAAAAATCAATCAATTCCATAAAAGGAAACAATAAATGATAATAAAAAAACACAATAAAGCGTTTATTTCCACCGAGATAAATTGAAAAAACGCTAAAGCGACAACAGCAGATAACGAAAGAATCTTGACAAAAGGCCCCTAATAACAATAAACATACATTTACATAGCGCTCGCGTGCATTAATGAACACCTTGCAAACTAAACAAAGTTATCAAGGAAAAAAATTATTAAACAACCCGATTTTTTTGTAATTTACCTTTGTAAATGCACCAGAGAAATGATTGCAATTGTTGTTCATCAGGTGATAACGATCCCCACGAAATTCCTTTCCCAATTCGGTAACTATTCTTTTTATTTCATCTTCCGTAAAATCTGTATACCCAATATGAATGCTTTGTCTATGGAAAAAATATTCAATATCAATAATTCTTATGATTTATATATAAAAAATTTAATAAAAAATAAAACTAAATCTAAATTTCATTAAATAACTGTGTAATATGCCACAAAAAATTTACATATAAACAAATTATTTAATATCCTATATATTTCGTGTATTAAAAAAATAATAATAAAGTTTTAAAGAATGATAAGTTTCTAGAATCGGCTACTGCAAAGAAAGTAATTGTAATAATAATCTAATTAAACCAATCAATATTTTTTTAATTCCTCCAAAGTAAATTAAATTGTAATTAACTCATTTCATTTAATTAGAAAAACAATTTATGACGAAAACGTATAATTGTATAGAATCAATAGAAATGTTATAAATCACTTGCGTTAATAAACAGAAAAATTTTGAGTTGATGTGATACATTTTGACAGTTGTAATTAGCGCCATCTATTAGCGAAAATAAACGGTGCGATGAAAACTTAATTTTTTGAAATGAAATACTTATAAATAATTCAAAAGACACTATCACAATAGATCTTTTAATTATTTAGCTAGTGGCATGTATATACAAGCAAATCAAAGTAAATTAATATAAATTGACAGTTATAGCAGCGCCATCTATTGTCCTTTACATATAAAAAGATAACCTTAAAATTTTCTAAACAAAAAAGTGTGAAAAACCAAGCAAAAATATTTACCTAAATCTAAATTGTTCACCTAATTCATGTTCGTCACGTGGCATAATTTCAAATATTCCAGTAAAAGGAAATTGATGACCACCGTAAGCGAACTCGGTACCATATATTTCTACACCTAAAAATTAAAAAAAAGAAGTGATCGAAATAATATTTAAAATACTTTACCTGAGTGAAAAACCCCTAAACCTATATTAGATGTTATATCATTAATTTTGTACATATCATAAACATTTAGTAGGACCGGTTCTCTGGCCATTTTACTTGGTAAAAGTTCATCAGATCCAGAATCTCTTGTAACACTCATGCAATTGAAGGGGAGACTACAGTTTAGGCCATTTGAAAACATTCTGAAAAGAATTAAAAAATAAATATACGTATTGTTAAGAATAATTGAGTTTATAGGGGTTCTTTTTTTTCTTATTCTTACCCTGAGTTAACCAATTATATTGTTTGTTGAATAAATAGAAAATAAAGAAGGAAATTAAGAAGAAAAACGGCTTTAAGCTAATTATTACCACCGCGTAATCATATGCCGGACATCAGAGACTACCGTTCTCCGATTGTAAACTGGGCTCCGATAAATAAAAGTACGGCCACGGAAATTGACATTACACAAAAGGTTAGTTTTCGAAACATTTTATGCGCATGATCACTGCAGGTATTCGCAACTAACACAGACTTTAGAATCTTTTGTTATTTTTCATTTATAAATAAAGAAATTATAATAAACTTTACCTCAATTTAAATTTCGGCATAATTAATTCGAACTCGAACCTTACTCGTTATAAATTAACCTCATTAAGGTTAATACAAGAAAATTAAAGAATTATGTCACTGTCAAATTTAAACTTTTTAATTTTCCTAAACAACAAAATCCCTAGATTATAAAAAATCGAATTTAATTAATTAATTTATGTATCAATTAAAATTCAAATTCACTTAATATAAGTAAGTTAATAGAAAATATTACACCAAATATTATATTAAATTAATTCTGTAATTATTACAGTTTTCTATAATTATTTTTAGGTTATGTTCATTTTGATGTTGTCAAAAACTGAATTGTCACTCTTGTAATTTCTGAACATTCTTCATTTGTGTTACGAACAGAAAATATGACTGCTGTTGAAGTTGATAGGGAAAAAAGTCTTCAAGACTATCGCAAGAAGCTTCTTGAGCATAAAGAAGTTGAATCCCGATTAAAAGAAAGTAAGTATATCTAAATAACACCCAAAATGATATACAAAATTAACCGTTTTATAGTGAGAGAACAACTTAAAGACTTAACAAAGCAGTACGATAAATCTGAAAACGACTTAAAAGCATTACAAAGTGTGGGGCAAATAGTTGGAGAAGTTCTCAAACAATTAACAGAAGAGAAGTGTAAGATATCTTTGAAATAAATCTAATTGTTAATTATTTTGTTATGATTATTTTAGTTATTGTGAAAGCAACAAATGGTCCGAGATATGTAGTTGGATGTAGGCGCCAATTAGATAAAACTAAATTAAAAGCAGGAACAAGAGTTGCTTTGGATATGACTACTTTAACAATAATGAGATATTTACCAAGAGAAGTTGATCCGTTGGTTTATAATATGAGTCATGAGGATCCTGGAAATGTTACATATTCAGCTATTGGTGGCTTATCAGAACAAATTCGCGAATTACGTGAAGTTATTGAATTACCTCTGATGAATCCTGAGTTGTTTATGAGAGTTGGAATAACACCACCAAAAGGTTGTTTATTGTATGGCCCACCCGGAACTGGTAAAACGTTGTTAGCACGTGCTGTGGCTTCTCAATTAGATGCAAATTTCTTAAAAGTTGTATCCAGCGCAATCGTTGATAAATATATTGGAGAATCTGCGAGATTAATTCGTGAAATGTTTAATTATGCTAAAGATCACCAACCATGTATTATTTTTATGGATGAGATTGATGCTATTGGTAAAGAGGACGCTTATATTGATAAATTTTTTTATATAAACATTTTATTTAAGGTGGTAGAAGATTTTCTGAAGGAACATCAGCCGATCGTGAAATTCAAAGAACTTTAATGGAATTATTAAATCAAATGGACGGTTTTGATTCCTTGGGGCAAGTAAAAATGATAATGGCAACCAATCGTCCTGATACTTTAGATCCAGCTTTATTACGTCCAGGTCGTTTAGATCGTAAAATCGAAATTCCACTTCCTAACGAACAAGCTAGATTGGAAATTTTAAAAATTCACGCTGGTCCAATTGCAAAACATGGCGAAATTGATTATGAAGCTATCGTTAAATTATCTGATACTTTTAATGGTGCAGATTTAAGGTAATAAGGAGTAAAGGTGTGAATAAATTATTTTTGGTACTAATTTTGATTCTTAATAGGAATGTATGTACTGAAGCTGGATTATTTGCCATTCGAGCAGAACGTGAATATGTTGTTCAAGAAGATTTTATGAAAGCTGTTAGAAAAGTTGCTGATAATAAAAAATTGGAGAGTAAATTGGATTATAAACCAGTATAAAACTGTTTATTATAAATATTTATGTAATAATTCAATGTTTTTTTTTTCTTTTTTCAATGTAATTTCTCATTTTTTTTGATGGATTGAAAAATATAATAAGACACATAAATTTTTGGAGTTTTATTTATCTTCTATAATTTAATAAAAACTTATTACATAGAATATCATTTGTTATACAGAGTGATTCACATAAGAACCAACACAGAGCAGGCAACGCAACTTATCTCTATATTAAGTTGTACCCCTGAGGCCTTTAAAGATGGGTCTTAAATGTTTAAAACATTCAATATCTTCATAATACATTAAGCTAGAAAACCCAAATTTAGTATAATTGGTAGCAAGTTGAGACCAATGTCATTTTCAAAAAAACCTCAAATAACTAAAGACACGTACAGTGTCACAATACGCGTTTTGCGTATTGTAATACCAATACTGTGATATTGGTTGCATACTTGCAATGATAACGTCGGGTACGATAATTAATAGACAACTTAAGCCTTGACGTCATAGAGATGGGCGGAGCTTATACCGACTCCAAACATTTTCGTTGCTAACGGTAAATCACCATATGCAATTTTTCATTAGTGTTAAATAGTATATTATTATATGAGCATATAATGAGGGGTATTATTCACCAAGGTTAAGTTTATGTCACGAGCATAGCGAGTGGCATAATTAACCTGAATGAATAATAGCTCATTATATATGAGTAGAATACTATACTTTGTCCACGACTATTGAAATTTATTCCATAAATTTATTTTTTAAATAAATTTTGGAATAAAGTTTAAACGTCAAATGTGACACAAATTCAATGTTACTAACTGTAACCAACTTCACAACAATTTGTCAAAATTAAATGTCAATTTTTTCAAACGTCGTTTTTTAGTCGACTGTGAAATTGTACGTCAAACTTGACAAATAGGTTATAAAGCCTTGTCGTTTATACAGCATGTCCGTAAAGTAGAGTTAGTAGAGTTATAATCTTTATAAACGATTTATGGAAAAATCCCTGAAACGGGTCTAAAGATTTAAATTATTTGCAAATTTTTTGGTGTTGATTTTAAATTTTTTCTACCTTTTTTAAACGAGTTATGACGTCATCGATAGTTTTTTTTTCAAATGGCAATCCCCATTTTTATTATGGAATATGAAAGAGGATTTTTTCTGAATCTAGTACAGTCAATATTAATATTGGTTACATAAGAAAATTTTCGAGAAAAATTACTTTAAAGTTTAACTACTTCAAATTTGCAATGCATGATAAAAATAGCAGTAGCCATGAGTAACTATGGTAACCAATTATTTTCTAAAATTCAAATGTCAAAAAATGTTTTAGTAAGTAAGTTAGTGCAACATTTCCTGATTGAAAACTGCTTAGCTCATTAGCATGGTAAGCCTAGCTGTCACTAAATTTAAAAAGCATGAACATCTTCGAGATTTCTCGAAGTCTGCCCGACCAAATGGTTCAGAGGAGGTTCAACAAACGTAGTTTTGGTTGGGCAAGGAAACCCTTCAATGGTATTGAGTCGAATTTGGACATAAAATTTTAAAAAGCGCAAAAGTAAACCTCATTCACGAGCAATAAGTCGTAGTTTTTGCAACAACAATTTTGCGACGATGACAAAGACTTTGTCGAAACGTACTTTTTCCGAAGAAAGAACAAGTAACTAGACAAAATTGTTACACAAAATCCACATTGGGGAAGAACAATATCCGCAAAAGATCAATGTGTGAAGCGAAATAGTAACCTAAACTGAAGGGAGATGTTTAGATTTTTTCAAAACGATATCATAATATTGAATTCCAATGGCAGTTATTCAACAAGATCGCGCGCCACCACACTTCAACAAACTTTACCAAATCAGTTTTTGCAACTTAGGGAACTGTTTAAAATAATTGGTTACCATAGTTATTTGTGGCTACTGCTATTTTTATCATGTCATCTAAATTTTAAAAAAATTAAATCTTTAGCCCCGTTTCGGGGATTTTTCCATAAACCGTTTACAATGATTTTATCGCCTATATCCGTTACTTTACGAACACACTGTATAAACAGTAAGCAATAACTAAAAAATCAAATAACTTTATAACCTATATGTCAAGTTTGACATAGAAGTTCATAGCCGACTACTGAGTTTTTGTTAATTTTAAGTAACATTGTCTTTAGTTATTTCAGATTTTTATAAAAACGACGATTTTGTAAAAAATAATAAAAGTAAAAAACGTTTTAGAATTAAATTTCACATGAAAGGAGCTAATACTGTATTAAATCCCCCAAAAGGTTAGAATAGTCTGTCAAAATTTAGGGGACCATCACCCTTAATCAACCCTTTGAAATGCCTCAATTGATCTCAATTTGCTGCCAATTAATGCCATATAATAATGAATGTTTTAAACATTGAAGGCCTATAACTCCTCAGGGGTACAACCTAGTATAGAGATAAGTTACATTAAATCATCTTAATTTATTGTTCTCCACATGCTCTGTGTCAGTTCGTATGTGAATCAGCCTGTATATTAATTTCTATTGTTGCGAGTGGCACTTATGTAAAACAATATACAAAAAATATTCTTAACAAGCCGTTGCTTATTAAACTTTTTATTTAAAGTGATTATATAATTTCCCAATCATTTAAGGAATTATCAGATTCCGTTATCGTCCTCTTTTTCTCTGCCAATTCAACACAAGACAGATTCCATTCAGTCGGTATCGAAAGTAAATCTGAAAAGTATTTTATTTCTTTTTTATCATTTTTATTTGTCAATTGAAATTACCTGGAATATTTGGAATGGTTTTATTATCACCTTGAATACATAATTCAACTTTTTCATCAACATTCGAGTTTGTTAAAGATTCAGAAACATCTAAACATTTATTATCACATTTAACATCATTCGATTGATCAATTTCAATTTTATTTGATTCATAGTTTTTAACTTCCAAAATTTTATTTGGAATTATTTTTGTTGAAAACTCTTTATCTATTAATTTTTTTTCATCAGCTTTCTTCATATTTATTTTAATTTTATCAAAATTTAAAATATCTGATATTAATTTTTCCTTTGTTTCTATGTCATTTTTAATTGATTCGGGACTTCTTAAATCTGGTAAAATGGGCGTACAACTTTCACTTAAATTAATTGTTTTACTTGTTCCTTCTTGATAACGTTTATAATAACCATTTTCGTTTTTTGTATAGGATTTTGAGTATCTATGGTGCTTGTAAATTATATTATCATCATAATCTTCTTGAGAGATTTTACTGTACATATTACTTATAGATTCAACGCGTTTTTGTTTAATTGGTAAATCGGATTCATCAAAATAATTTTCTTCCCCTGTGCATTCAACTGCTTCCTCTGTGTTAATTTTAGTCGTTTCATTTCCATCTAATTCTGAAATACCCGGTGTTATTGTGCATCCATCTAATGTTAATCCTAAAATATTCATTGTTGTTGGAAATACATTTACTGGTAAACCAAATATAGATTCATCTAAAATAAAAAAATTTACTATGTTAAATTAAAAAATATATATATATTTTACTGTTAATTAATTCAGGGTTATAACCAAGTCGAATTAAATTTCCACTTTCTTCTAATATAAAAATTTCATCTCTATTTGTAGCAACGTCTAAAATCCTAAAAAAAAGTTTAAAATAAGATGGACAAAATTAATTTAATATTAATGAACACCTTTGGGTTGTATTAAATTTTCGAACGACGCCCATTTTTTGTGGATCTAATACGTAAATGGTTTTATCATTATAAGTTACTAATAAAATATCTTGGAATGTTAAAAGTGTACCAAAAGCTAAATCATCTTCACATAAACTGCTTGTACTTGAGGTCATACTTGTTACATAAACATCTTTTTTCTTTAACACATCCTTAAAATATTTCAAATTATATCTTAATTCAAACTTAAGTTAATTATTTACTTTAAAAAGGATAGTTTTTTGTACATTTCCTTGCATATCAGAGATCCATATTCTAAGACCAGGGCGTGAACAATAAATATGAGAATTATTTGGTTTTGTGTTATCTGAGTAAATGATTGCTCCATAATTTCCAAACCTAGAAAAACTTCTATACTTTAAACTATCATATCTTTTTGTTGTACTTTTACAGTTTACGTCCTTTTTTTCCAACTTGAGTAATTTTCCATTTATCCAATTTCTGACAAATAATACTTCGATATGTCGTCGATATGAGCAAATTTTGTTGGTAATAACTAAGTTGGACAACCTCATAACTTTCATTGAGTATTTCAATTGATTTACAAATATGCTATAAAACATAAATTACATTATCAAAAACATTGCTTTACTTTTATTTGCTTTTTATTTTACCATGTAAAAATCTAATTCAGTTAAAACAACAATACCATTTGAATCACCAGAAAACAATTTCATCCCATTTTTAGACCATTCTAAAGTAGAAATTGACGATTTATGCACATCAGATACTAAGTAGCGTTCCACTTGTTGTTTCTTTGGTTTTAAATTTTCCGGAATACATTCCGGATGAATTTTTGGTATTTGAAATATGTTTATTGTACCTGATGTAGTTCCACAAGCTAACATATAATCAACAGTTGATATAACTTTAATCACTGTGATTTGAACAGGGCTCTATAACATTTCTTTTTAATTAAACATAATGTATATTAAATTAACTTGTTACATCGCATTGTAATTTTTGTAAATCCCTTTTTGTCCTATTATACCAACAGACTAAACCAATATTTGTACCTAAAGCAATAAATTCAGGGATAACATCTATACATGTTATTTTTACTTCTTGACTCAATAATCCACTGTGAACTTTGCGCGGTATCTTTTGTAACAAATCGGGTAAAGGGCCCCATTCTCTTAATACTTGATTAGAATTGTATTCAGCCATACTATTGCTTTATTTATTGATTTACATTTTCACCTTTATGTTTGCAGCAAAGTATCTTTGACAGATGTCACCTATAATAAACATTTGAGAAGTTAGTTACAAATTGATAAGATTCAAAATAAATATTGAATTTATTTCTAATTTTATTAATGTTATTTATTTTTATATAAAAATTCATTTTCAAATATTATTTTCATTATAAAAGTTAAAATAAATTATTGTTAAAAATAAAACAATGAAGTTTGCTGCAAAACCATGAAATATAAAATAAATTTTAAGGTTATGTGTACTTAACCTAATAATCGAATTAATTCTAATTTCTTATAAAGAATTTTATAAACAATGAGCGCAAATTCAAAAAGAACCGTTTATGTAGGCGGTTTAGCTGAAGAAATCGATGAGAATATTTTAAACGCTGCTTTTATACCATTTGGAGATGTAATCGACATTCAAATTCCTTTAGATTATGAAACAGAAAAACACCGTGGTTTTGCATTTATTGAATTTGAAAATGCGGAGGATGCTGCCGCAGCAATTGATAATATGGTATATTAAGATTTTCTTCTTAAAATTTTTTAATTAATTCATTTTTTGTTCAACTACAGAATGATTCAGAACTTTTTGGAAGAACTATTAGAGTCAATTTAGCTAAACCACAAAGGATTAAGGAAGGATCTACTAGACCTGTTTGGTCTGAAGATACATGGTTACAACAACATGCTGGTGAAACTATTAAACGAACTGTGGGTGATGGTGAGGAAGGAGTTGAAGGATCTGTAGAGAAAGTATAAAATTAGATTTAAATAATTTGTTAAAATGGATTAATAATTTACAAATTTTTTAGGAAGGTGAAACAGACAAATCAAAAAAAGTTAAAAATCCTCAAGTCTATTTTGACATAAAAATTGGTAAAACCGAAATTGGACGAATAACAATGATGCTTCGAGCAGATGTTGTCCCAAGAACAGCTGAAAACTTCCGTTGTCTTTGTACCCATGAAAAAGGTTATGGATTTCAAGGCAGTTCCTTTCATCGTGTTATTCCAGATTTTGTATCCTTTTTTTTAAATTAACCTTCCATATTATCAATTTTTAAAACACCTTAATATTAATTAGATGTGTCAAGGTGGTGATTTTACAAATCACAATGGAACTGGCGGAAAATCGATTTATGGTAGGAAATTCGCGGACGAAAACTTTGATTTAAAACATACTGGTCCGGGGGTACTTTCAATGGCCAATTCAGGACCAAATACAAATGGCTCACAATTCTTTTTGTGTACTGCAAAAACGGACTGGCTTGATGGTAAACACGTTGTTTTTGGACATGTTATTAGTGGAATGGATGTTGTTAAACGCATTGAAAGGTGTGGGACAAAATCAGGGGCAGTTTCTGAAAAAATTGTTATATCAACTTGTGGTGAAATATTGTAAAAAATATAAAATTAAAAATGTACTGAGAATATAATCTTGTATTTTTTTAAATATAATTTGTCATAATGATTAATTAAATTTCGTTTGTCATATAGGCAACCGATATTACAGAAAGCATCGTTGACGTGGCGAAGAATTCGTTGCGGAAATATCGCCATGTTGTTAGGCAGTGAATGTGGAGCGTATTTTTCGCGGCGAATTTAATTTGTTTGATGTTAGAATTCTTGGAGAACGTGAGTAATGGTTTAATATTTGATTAAAAATACATCTCTTAAACAAATGAAAGAAAACAACGTTTTTCTCCTTTCATATTTTTTGATCTTTTTAGATTCATTTTGTGAGCAAATAAAAGCCTATAAAAGTGTGATATTAACCCCTTAACGCAGCGTTTCTCAACCTGTGGGGCGCCCCCCCTCAAAGGTAAGAGCCGCACATCAAAATGAAAAAAACGATAATTAATAAAAAAAATTTAATTCACAACGAAATGATGTTTATTCTGACATTACAAAAAATTAAGTAAGTACAGTACACATTTAAATTAATATACTATTTAATTATTATAAATATGATTGTATCAGTAGGTACTGTCAAATGCCAAATAAAACTAATAATAAACTCATCAGTACTAAATTAAAAGTAGCTTTAATAATTATTAGTGACTCCCTTGGGCCTGTCTTGCACAGCAAAGCTTTTCAAAAGAAGGTTTTATATTTCAAATAGCCACTCTCAGTACTTTAAAGCAGCCATCACAGAAAATCTGGGTTCACAAAGGTAGGATGCTGAAAATGGCAATAATAAAAGGCATCATCCACTCCCGCCTAAAATTCAAAGAGAGATTTATTAAATTCTCTCTTGATTTCGCCGCTTGTAGTGAAGTCTATGAAGATTTCTTCTTCTGCAGTTGAGAAACTCACTTGCAACTTGCTACCAATTTGTCGTCAGCAAGAAAATACTTTTTAAAATTCTGTGCCAAACAACTTTCACATACTGTTCTTCTTCCTTGTATGTTTTGACATACTCATTCACATTTGCAAACATTTCTACTTTCTCACATTTCTGCTCCACAGCTCCAATTTTCTACAAAAAGCATTAACTTTATCACTGCTTTCCAACATATGTGTGTAACACATAACACGCTGCACTAAGGGGATTAGGATGAAAATTTTCAAGGTATACGTAGGTATACGTCTTATTTTATTATTATATGAAAAGGAAAGGTAGGAGACCGCCATAAAAATTGGTCCCCAAATACTGAAAGGTTGAGAAACGTTGCCTTAACGCACAAGCCCGAGTCTGAGTCGAGCTCCCAAAAATGGCGAAATTGTGCAAGCCGCGGGACATAGTATACAGTTACATTTACTATATATTTTTATAACTTTCGCGTAAAAAATTGTATGTATAGTTTCAAAATTTATTAAAGAGTACTTATCAGCAATAAAAAAAAAATTTTTTTTACCAACTTTTGACAAATATAATGTACGTTAAGGGGTTAAGAAAGAAGTTTTGCATTTATTCTAGATAAGATAAAAACTGATAACAATATAAACAATATTTTATAGCGTTTAAGAAAATGGTGGCTACTGGAGATTTGATTAAAGCTGTTGAGCGTTATCCTGTTTTATATGATTTCAATCATGAAGATTATAAAAATATTAGAGAAAAAGATAAATTATGGGCAAAAATAGGATGTCAAATAAAATCAAATGGTAAGAAATTTAAGTAAAATAAGTTATAATAATTAAGAAAACATTTCTTAACATGATCACTGTCAGAACGGTTTTAACATATTTGATCTTCAAGGCCGAGGTATAAATTTCATTTATGGACAAAATCTTCATTTTTTGGCGCATAATGCGCAAAGTTCAAATATTTATCATCTTGCAAAGATATTGACCAAAATGGCAGTGAACGTGTTCAAATCTAAAAAAACTTTGAATTGTGTGCAATATAGCAATAATTAATTTTTAGGTAAAATAGCCAAAAATAAATGGAAGAATTTGAAAGATACATATGCAAAATACTTAAAAACCCATAAAAACGGCACTGCCCGTAAAACGAAATGGTTATGGGCTGATGATATGAAATGGTTTAAGCCATATCTGTCATATCCAGAATTAGCTTCGTACATTGTAAAAAATGAAAGACATGAAAATAACGAACCCAGTACGCATTATATAGAACCTGTTGATGTACCCTTACCTGAAGCAACAGAAGACAGCTCTGAAGAGTCTCCATCAGACTCAACACACTCCATGTCAAATAACGACCCATTACGAGCTTCATCATCAAATGAAACCGTAAAAAAATCAAAAATTGTAAAATGTGTAGCACAGTCAAGTTCATCAGTCGAAACTATGATTGGACGCTTAGAAAATAAGATTACCATAGAACTAGATGCAATAGATACTTTGTTTCTAGCACATGCAAAAACTATTAAGTCATTTCCGCCAAGAAGACAAATTAAAGCTAAGATGAGAATTGCTGAAGTTATAATGGATGAGGAATTGGAAAATTTAGGAGAATCGAAATAATTTTGATATTTAAAATATATAAGCCGATGCATATATGGTATTAATAAAATTGCTAGATAACTTGTTGTAATTTAAAAGTATAATTTTTCATCATGATTCAATTTAATAAAGAAATACAATTAATTTTTACTTTTTAACATTTCCTGTTCAAAAATTGCTGAGCATATTATAAACTTCGAAACAAAGCGTTTTTAGTATAAATGAGCGAATATAGTGCTTCTCAAGCTTTTTTTTATAGAGAGGATTAGGAAATTTGCTAAATAGGTACACGATCTATGGATCCTAGTTTCGGATTGGCTTCTGGTTCCCTCATGGGATCGCTGATCGACTAAAACCCTTCTCCTCCGGAATCGCTCCTCCAAATGGCTGGAAAACTTCTATTTCTTTATGATTCCTCTATTTCACGTTTCATTCCAGCTACGTTATGAGAGTTGCTCGCTTTGTTATTTCCTCCTTCTCTTCCACCATTACACGCCGCAAGTAGTCCAGGGGATGTTACCGTTTTCAAATCTCTTGCAACGGAAAATGCAATGTTCGGCAGTGTCAGCTTGACCGCAGTCATCCCAACACTCATTCGTCTTCTGTTTTCTAATCATTTTTAGGCAGCTATTGATTATTAATAGCTATTGTAAGTGTGGGTTTGTTTACAGTGGCTATGACTTGGTTATGACGTGCGAGAGCCAAGTCGTTCACCGTGCGAATTTATCTTATATTCCTTTACCTTGCTAAAGACCACAGATAACGAGTGCCGACTGATATGTCGTCTCTAATGCCCATTGGCATATCCAAAAAAATGTTTCTAGGCATATACTTTACATCATCCTCGATATGGAACTAATTGTTCATCAATAGCAACACTTTCATCAGCTTTATGTAAAGTCCGCATTACTGCAAAAATAAATTCCAAGTATTAGAAATCGTTCAAAATTTATCTTCTTTGAGTCTTTCATCTGGTGTTCTTTTGTCGTAAAAACGCAGAAATCTTGATATACATACAAATCTTCCGACTGCCACAACAGCTTTAAACAAAGGATTGATTTTTCCCGAGAAAAGTTTCCTTATTGGCAGCCAAGAAATTGGGATTTTATTCAACACCGCCTTGTAGCACCAAAGCCAAAAATGCATAAAGCTCAATCAAGTCTATTTCGCGCAGTGTTATGTTTTTCTGTAGGCCTACTAACAAGACTGCTTTCTAAACTTCTGTATCTGTTTAACTTCTGCAGTGCATCTCGATGGGCACACTGAGAGCCATCATTTGCAAGGTAATCCATATCGTATATGTCTACTGTGGCGTTATTATTGCTTCTATTATTGCGGCTGAGAGTCGGAATTATAGTTATTCTGTGCCTTTGGTAACTCGCGTTAAAATGGCGAATTTTAAATCGAGGCCCAAAAAACGAGGTGCTGCCAACATCAAACGAATCGACGTCAGTGTCGATTATGTGTCTGGTTATTCTGCGCTAAAGACACTCTGCAACACATCTATGCGCAGCGTTGTCAGATTTTCACGAGTTTTCATTTCACAGCCGATCGTACTTTGAAAAGAAAATAGCCCTTGTAGTTACATATTATGTACATACATGTATAATTGTAAATTATATATTTATTTATGGAACTGAAGCAGCAAAGGTCCCAACAAAACCCTTGCACTACTTCATATCTACAGCGACATCATCACCTACTTTTACATTCTGCTCTTTACTGATAAGGAATTCGCAATGCAAACTAAGACTTCCGTAAGCTTATGCAAAAGATTATGGCTTCCAGTTACTTTTTATGGCAGTGTCAGCATCACAGCTATAATTGTCTTCAATCCAAAATATTATCATATAGATATGTGTAGTCGTTGATGAAGTTCTGCATGATCGCTTCGCTTATTTAGCGAAGATCCAGCGTACATTTCAAAAACGGAAAATTTTCTCAAAGAGTTTACTTTGTTCTCGCGGTATATTTCCTTTAACAATCTGCAGTTTCCCAAACTAGTATAAGCTGTATCCAGCAATCCAAGAGTATATTTGAATTTATTTAACTAGTAGCATCTACATTTCCGTGATCAACAAAAGAAATGTTTTTAAATTAAAATTTTAGGAATATTTAAAAAAATGTTCCAAATATTTTAAGTGTTATATTTCAACAACAATAACAACCCATAGAAATAAAAGATATAAAATTAAAAAAAGAAATTAAATAACAAATATTTGAAAAATATTAATTACAAAGTATTCTTGAAACAGCTTTCATTATTCCAAACTCCAAAATAAAAAAAATTCACCTAATAAATAAAGCTGTGACACCAAAATATTACGTAAATACAAACTTATATAAAATACACCTAATTTAACAAAATAAACTATCCAATTCTCTTTATATAAGTTACTTTTTTTATTATATATTAAATGTTTTTTTATCTAACATCCTCTTTATCTACAGGTGCCGCACTTTCCTGTGATTGTGACACTCTTAAAGGCATTCCCATAAATGTACTTTGTCCGTTTGTATTTAAACTTGTTCGTTTCCGTACAGCACTCACATTGAATGGTGATGTTTTCGGTTTCATATGATACTTAAAAATGCCTTCTCCAGGTAATTTCGGTAACAATGTTGATTGCTTATACCAAAAACGATATGTAAAAAACCATGTTAAAATTGCAATAGCACCCCCCAAGAATTTCTCAATCATTATGTGATAATACAACATTGTACAAATTAACATTACATCCCATAATATTTGAAAAATCGTTATTAAAATGAATAAAGATCTTATGTAAGGGGTGTACTTTTCATAATTAATTTTTAATATACTAAATTGTTCGTTTGATAATCCCCTTAAAATGTTTGTGTTTTCAGATGTTAATTTATTTATCCTATGATGCTCCTCGAGCCGAATACAATCTTTAATTGTACTCCAATTATTCATTGATCTACATTCTTCAATTAACAAAAGACTGCCGTAAATTAAAATAAAACAATGTCCAGAAAGGTCAAATCCGTTCCAATGATACCCATTTTTTAAGCAAGTTTGTTTAGAATCGAATGATTTCGTTGAACATCTTCCATAATTTGCTTCAATTACATTAAAAATAGTTGTCCACAACCACCAAAAGAACGTAGCAATCGCTATTCTTATTAAATGATGCTTTATCATCTGACGAATATTTCCACAACAATAAACCGATGATGTTAAAACAACGTATGGCACCAAAATAGTTAAATTCCATCCCCAAGCGAATTTTACAAAATATTGATTGATTGCATTATCCGATCGTGATAAATAACTTTTTGGTATAATAATTACATCGGCAATTAGCGATAATAAAAATAATGCGGCCAAATAAAGACCAACTTTTAAGTTTGTATCAAAAAAAAGCGATTTTTTACATAAATGTATCATCATCAAACCTAAAACTTCCTTTATTGAAGATTGTTCCGTCGTCGGTTTAGTCCCACGGGGTTGTTCTTGTTTCGATTCCGCACTTGTCGAGGGTCGAAAATTTAACCCCGAAGTATTGTGAATTGATCTCCTTCTTGTTGCCATTATGTCACATTTAATAGTTCTAAAATAATAATAAAATAGATACAGTTAGGTTTTCATAAAATTTCAACTGATTTTTACGTAATAGTTCAAATTGAGCACCTGAATTTATAATGAAGATAATGAACAAGTTGTGATGACACACATGATAGAATTTATAACCTAAAAAAATTGTTGAGTAGGTGGATGACCTATGCACTCTAGATTAAATATGTATAATGATAATAAATTATAATTACTTTTTCTTTAAATAAATTAAGAATAGATATTTTAAGAACCTTTTAAGCTCTTTAATATAGTTATTTATAGCTCATGGCAGGGTAAAATGTAAGGTTCTTAATTTCTGCTTTGTACGGTACTTTAACTTTGAAGTATGTTAGGCAACCAAATTAACTAAACAATTTTTGTTGTCTCTCAAGGACGGTAAAATTTAGTTTTAATTCAACGAAAATATACAGCAATCTAACGTTGAATAATTAAAACTAGAACTAACACTATCATTTGAGCTTACACTAGAACTAGAAACGTTCAGGTTTAGCTGTCTTAAGAGACTCACGGCTAAACCTGAATGTTTCTAGTTCTAGGTTTAAAAAATATACATCAATCTAACGCTGAATAACAACTACAACTAACACTAGTATTAGAACTAGTAATAAATCTTGAACTTGAAACTTTTTAATTCTAGGTCTAGTGTTAGTTCTAGTTTCAATTCAATAATAGTATATTATTATATGAGCATATAATGAGGGCTATTATTCACTAAGGTTAAGTTTATATCACGAGAGTAGTGAGTGGCATAATTAACCTGAGTGAATAATAGTACATTATATGTGAGTGGAATACTATACTTTATTCACGATTATTGAAATTGATTCCATAAATTTATTTTTTAAATAAATTTTTGAATAAAGTTTAAACGTCAATGTGACATAAAATTCAATGTTAGCAACTGGAACCAACTTCACAACAAGTTGTCAAAATTAAATGTCAATTTTATGAAACGTCGTTTTTTTACGAAAATTAATTAATTTATGCTTAAATCATACGAAAATAGTTATTTTTGATACAAGACAACGAAATGATACTTCGAGAAAAAATCGTTCGAGATTCGAAAACGATGAAAGGTTTTATAATGACATTTAGAATTCATTTAATGTTATGTCAAAAACTTAACGTCACATAGACTTAACCTCACATATTGAACAAATGTACAATTATAATTTGCATTTAAACATGAAATTAAATGTTGATTATTTTGTGTTTATAGAAACATACCTAGAACTAGAAACATTCGGGTTTAGCTGTGTTAAGAGACTGACAGCTAAACCTTAACGTTTCTAGTTCTTCTGTTAATTCTAGTTTTATATTAAATTTCTTAGTTTCAATAAAAAATATACAACAATCTAACGCTGAATAACAACTATAACTAGTACTCACACTGGACCTAAAAGACCTAAAACTAGAAACATTCATTTTTAGTTGTATATCTAAAGACTGCCCTCGTTTATTAATAAACTTTTATTTTAATTCTGGGAGAGGGGATTGGTACAAATAATTGAAATTATTATACAGATTTATTTATTATATTTGTTTCATAAGAAATTTAATGTATTTACACATATAAAAACAATCATAATCGATAGCCTTATATTATGCTAATTTTGAGTAAAAAAAATTAATTTCCATTATCACAGTACCACTAATTGTCCTGAAATAATGTAACATTCTGAGCAATTGCAGGCCGTGTGCTACTGCTATGTAGCACGGAAGTTATAATATTTTATATGTTTATATGTACAAAACACCGTTATTATTTTAACATTTCTTTTTCAAATTCATTTTAAACGAGAATTTTAAAATTGTACACATGTGAATCTGTCTTTTATTAACAATTCAATCGTTCAGTACTATTTCAAGAACAAAAATATTAAATTATACACCTATTTACTAATAGCATAATAATTATAATTATTTCAATCTCTATCTAAAGGACAAAAACTTTGGTTATAAACCTCTTTATTCGCTACTACTGCTCGTCTTAAACTTATTTATCCTATTGTATAACGTGTTTATGCTAGTTGCGTTGTCTTGACTGTCTTTCAAATAGTATAACCGAAGTCTCTTTTCTGAGTGGCATTCTAAAATATCCCATTTTTGGAAAAGTTTTAATGCATTTTTAATAGGGTCTACAGAAACACTTTCAGCTAGAAAAGAAAAATACAAATTTAGAACAATTTCAAAGTTATTAAATTAATCAACGTACGATAAAGTAGTGAACCATCCGCTAATTGTTTCTTCATTTCACTCATTATATCCCCAACCAATTCATTTTCAATTAAACTCCTCCCAATTATCTTCTCTAAAGTAAACGCTGTTGTGGCGTATGCTTCAACCAAAGATCTTAAAACACTTCTAAGATAAATTAAATAATCCGTTGCTTTCTCATTTAATTTATATTCAACAGCTGGACAGTAATCTTCATCAGAACTGTCATCGAATTGTTGAGCAATTCGCTTGCTTTTTTGAACATCTTCCGCGTTTTGATTATTCTAAAAGGAATCAAATTTTATTTTATTTTAAGTTGTTGTTAAAATTTGCTTACATAAATAAATATTTCTTTTCTTATCACCAAATCATCAATACAATCCATAATCATAATCTCTAAACTTTGGCAAGGCTTACAGAATAAAAATTCGTACTGCAAAATATCACACAGCTCAATTGCAGCATCAACCAAATCATCTCTATACACCGAACCTCTTGATAAGTCCAGTGAATATAACGCGGTTGCAACCACTGATTCGAGTGAATAAACTGTTGTTAAACTATTAGAGTAATACATCAGTTCGATTACGTTTGGTAACATCGCTACTGGCTTAATTATTTCTTCGTTATTTAGTCTTTCTTTTCTTATTAAACCTGGTCCAAGTAGTTCAATCTAAAAATAAATTTATTTTACAAATTGAATATTTATTTTATACAAAAATTAACTTACAGCATAATTAATTACATCTAAGGAATCGCCTCTAAAACCAAGATCTCGTCTAACCAAAGCAAGATCTACTCTTAACTCATCTACAGCATCTACTAATTGATCTACAGTAACACCATTTCTAAATCTATTTAATAATAGGAATGCTACAGCATTTGTTGACATCACAGCCATCGATTGAGCACAATCTATTAAAAAAATATTTTAAGAAATGTTTTTATATTAATTTATTATGCAAGAACGTACCGTATATTACGTGCTTCGATATATTTTCCACTAAAGTTTTATGTTCATCAGAAACAACATCAGTACCATACAAACTAGTAGTAGAAGGATTTGATTTCAACATTTTGGCAACAGGAGCTTTGGTTGTTCTTCCATTTGAGTTAAACGTTTTAATTAATTCCTGCAAAGAAAATTTTTCAATTTTAATTTAAATTAAAAAAAAATTTAATTTTTTAACTTACCCTGAGAGAAAATGGTTGATTAAAATCAACCCGAATCATACCATAATTACTATTTAAAACATGCCAAATTCCCTTGATAGCATTTCCAAACGTTTCCATTTCTTTAGGTTGCCCAAGTTGTTCTCTAACAAAATTACCATCAACCAGTTTTTCATAATTAACACTAACAGGAACAAGAAGAGCATCTTCAATGATCCCATCGATAAAAGCCTCAACAATTACACTAAGAATTCCATATTTGGGCATGCATGGCTTTCCGGTTCTTGTGCGGCCGCCTTCCAAGAAGAACTCAATGTTATGACCGGCCTTGAGACATTCATTCATGTATGTGTGTAAGACAGCTTTGTAAACGTGATCTTTTTGCCCCATTACAGGATCGATACGACGCTTAATGTAAAACGCGCCTAAACCTCTCAAAAGAGACCTACAAACAAAATTAAATAAAAAAAATGTAAATGTTAATATAAATTAATTTTTACCCAAAAAATGGTATCCGCAAATTATCTCCTGATGCAACAAGTGGTGAACGAACGTTATTATTTAATAATATAAATGACATTAAAATGTAATCCAAATGGGATCGGTGTAGTGGTAAAAAGATTAAAGGCAAATTCGTTTTTCCCGCTTTTTGTAACATTTCTATATGGCCAGGATGGACGACGATTGATGACACAAAACATGGAAGAAGTTTGCATAATAACCATGACGTAAATCTGAAATTAACAAAAAAATTAAATTAAATTAAATGTAAAAAAAATTAATTACAAATTAAAAAATAATTTATTTTTAATTATGGATAATTAACTTACCTAATCTAAGTCAATAAGTCAGACATAAATAAATAAAACCAATTAAAAATAAAAAAAATTAATAAAATTTAAATTAATTACCTTAATAAAAAGTCTGATAAAGTTGATCTCATATCATGTAAAATCCTCTTAGCTCTTTTCTCATTGTTTGTAACTAGCTGCGCGTAAAAATCAGAATCGTCACTATTTGAATCTTTATACTGTTGAACGGCGGTTTTTTCAACAGCATACTTAACACGTTCATTGCCCAAAACCAACCCGGCGCACTGAGGATAATCGAATTTTTTCAGTTCATAATTTTGGGCGAGATGCTTAAAAGTGCGTTGTAAAAATCCATATCTTGATGCTTTCGGGTTATAATCAAGAATGTTTTTCAATGCGAAATTCTCCGCCGACTGGTTAACGAGTGAGTCCTGTAACATAAACGAAAGGTGTAATAAACGATTTTCTGCGAGATTCGAGAGCTTTATTAAAATGAAACGATAAATAAAGTTTACCCTATGGTTCGCGTCATAAAAACCGCGCCACGCCATTTTGGGCGACTGAGAGGTAAAAATAATGTTAGTTGTTTGTAAAGGAGCGAGGATTGCGACTCGGTTATCGTCTAAAAATACATCAACGCTCTATCATTCTACTGAGCTTAAGCTTAATGGATGGTTATAATTTGTTAAAGTAATAAAAAAAATGTAATTTTAAGTGATTTCTTTAGCTTTATTTTTAAAGCTCAATGATTACTTAGAAATGCACGATTTTATAAGGCTTCACAATCAAATAAAATGTAAATGAATTTTTACTTACTCTGCTAGATGGGGTACACCCATAACAACTCAATCCCATCATTGGGCGTCTTTTTGGAACGACAACAGGAGGAGCATTTTCCTTGATTTCAAATATATGATTATTCCTAGCCTGAAATCAATAACACAACATAAAACACAAAGGAAATTGTTAAATTTTATATAACAAAACATGGCATCATTAAAACTACATTAACCAACAAAAACATTTAAAAAATTCATAAAATCAAGATCTCATAATGCTCCACAGGAAATGATGGTAAACAGTAAACGATCTCAATTGTCCAACAGGAAATAAATAGTTACACATTACTTCAGGTCGCCAGATACAAAAGTGAATATGTAATCTGATGACGCTCGCATATTGTGGTCGAAATTATTCGAAGTATGCTCCAGTTAACATGATTACTCTCACCGATTAAATATTTTTTATAAGAACGAAATAAATTACCGCGTAGGTACGTAAAATGTCGTCATAAATTACGTTAATTAATCCATTGTAAATGAGATAAGGTAATTAAGTAATTCCACTTCTGATTAAGTAGGTATCACGATTGAAAAATTGGGTTATACATGTTGTTAACCTATACTCTGGGTGATAAATACAACTAAAGTAATTTAATTGATGGCAATAATTGTTGAAGATTTTTAATGTTTGTAGAATACTTTTAAATGAAATAAGTGAAGAAGAATAAGATTTACCTCTCACAAAAGTCACATATAAAGACATGATTAACGTTTTGTTAACGGAGTTTTAAGCCATTTTATATATTATAAGAAATATGTAGAAGTTATATCTCGGATTATCTATTAATCTATCTATAACCTATCTAAATAGGTTCACAAAGGGCCCTTCAAATAAACAATTTGTTCATCTTTAAAAATACTCGAGGTATGAATATAAATAAAACTTTATCTTGGGGAAAAATTCTTTAAAATAAGTATATAAACACGGTAGGATTCTCTCTAAAAATAACGGAGATAATACTATTTTTAATATATTGTTTTCATGTTAACAACAGGAAATCAATAAATTAAAAAAAAACATATTGTGACTGTATTGAAGTATTTTTTAATCATCGAAGTGTACCAAGAAATATAAAAAGCTATGTGGTGTTAATCAAAGTGGTTCTAAACGCCATGAAATATCTCGAATGACTTAAACAAAACTTATTCTATTTATGCTTCCAAGGACTCCTATGCCTCAAAGATGCCCTCCAATTCCTTACTTCAAGCAACTTCATAGAATTCCTTTTTATGTTATCTTGCCATCGCGTTCGAAATCTTCATCTTGGCCGGTTATGGCCAGTTGACCTGTCATTACTCTTTTAGGAACCTTGTCCAACCCACTGAAGTCTTCAAGACCAACAATTCTCCTTAATACCCTCTGTTCATATACTGCTAACATTTCTTCTAATTTCTTTGTGACCGTCCACGCTTCACATCCGTAGGTAACATATGTTTGTATGTAATCTTGATATTTCTTTGAATAAGCGATGACCTTAGAACTGCATTAGATACATAAAATGTTTTTGCACCTGTGTGGTGTAATTTATTATGCTTCACAGATAGGTAAATGTTATTGCGGATTAAAATGTTTCTAATCGATTGGAAACAATAATTCTAATCTATTAGTAATCTGCACGAAGTAGTGTAATCTGATAAAATGTGATAGACCTCTCACATTTTTGTCATTTCTAGTTTGATTGGACCACTTTATCAACACTTTATATTGCATCAATTATACACACACAAATAATACACTCTCACATTTTCAGTCGATATTCTCCGTAATCTTGTATCCCGACCAGGATAGACGCAAGGCAACATAAATTTAACACTCTTAGCGATACAAAACCATACAACCACCGCCGATCCCCGGGCATCCTGTTACGAGCCACGAAATTGTACCACGGCAAAAACTTATGAATAACAACAAAATTAAAAACATCCTTTCACTATTTTTTGACAACGTTTCGAAGTATCAGCGAATAGAAAAATTATTACTGTGCGTTAAGATGTTTCTAATCAATTGGAAACACACAACAATTCTAATCAATTAGTAACCTGAAGATATTAACCTTCTGATTCTGTTAACTCTTACATTTCTGCTTTGATTTAAACTAGAAGTAGCAATAAAACTGCAATTACTAGTTCTCGCAGTTTAGCTTAAATTGAATGTATTGAAAGCGGAATGACTGCATGCATTGGCAGTTTCTGTTTCTGCATTCCAATCTGGATTGAATTGATTGGAAGTTGTAATATATTAACCCCGTTGCCCCTTTCTGATTGTAACATCGATTCTACTTTCAGCATTTCTGATTAGATTACATCAATAAAGTTGAAAGAGATATGATCAACTCGATTGTCATCTTCTGGTTCTAGCACTTATTTGATTTGTGACATTTGTAATTAGACTAGTTCAAATTACAGTTATAATGTGTCAGTTAGGTTGGCTACTTTTCGGTTCTGGTATCTACTTGATTTCTGGCATTTCGAGCAAGCAAAAATGAAAGTTCTGATAAGATTACATCATTTCATTATCGACATTCCCTTTCAGTTTTTAAATTATTTTCTGAGTTTTGCTTCAAACAGATTTCTAGCATTTTAGATGGTTTGCATCAATTGAAAGTAGAATGAATTAAATGAATAAATACCTTTTGCTTCTGGTATTTCAGGCTGTTATCTCTTGTATTCTGGTATCCATTCGATTTCTGCCATTTCTGTTTGGATTATTTCATTATGAAGTGTAATGAGTTAACTGAACTATTATCTACAGGTTTTGATATTCTAGATATTATTAGATCAATTGGAAATGGAATTAATCGACTAGGTTCGTATATTCATCTCTGGAATATATTCGACTTCTGGCATATCTCGTTAGGTGAATATCTAGATTACCATCTCTTTGGTTTTAGTATTTCGAAATTACTTTGATCGGTTTTTACATTTTACTTCCATCATCCATCTGAACTTTTGCTTTTTAAAAGTTTCAGGGTTTCGTATCAACTCAATTTCAGCTTTCGCATTGATTGGAAGGGAATCAAAACAAATCCAATGTTTTTTAAAAATGTTTCAAAGGAATAGAAAAAAATATAACTCGGGTATTTTTTTGATGGCAGAATATTTGACAAGAACAAAACGAGGTAAAAATAGTTCAAAAAGATATTTAAAAACTTTGACTAATAATAGAATGTAAAAATACAAAGGTGATTTTTATGAATCATAATGATTCAAAAGTAACTCAGAGACACTTATCAACGATGACAGAATTAAAAACAAATCTATTTTGTGCAATAAAGACAAAGAATAAAGAAATTGGTGTAACAAAGTAATATGAATCTAAAAAGAATTCGTTCAGAATAAACGATATAAACATTTCAACTGAAATTTTTTTTTCTTTTATAATATATCTAAGGAATAAGATAATTATCAATCTAATTTTATTTTTATGCGGCACATTACATTTGCAACTACTTATGTTTATATCTCCAAAATACTGTAATCAAAATAGCAAAGTCATTGCTGATGTAACAAATATATTAAAGAAGGAACAGAGGAAAGTTTATATTAAAATTGATAAAAATCAATTTTGAAAGTTTAGATAAAGACATGTGGATACGGTGTGATAAAAAAATTATTATATTTTATTAGATAACCCGAAGTCAGGAGTAACCTTTTGTATCCCAACATCTTCAGAGATAATTTTGTGACACATATCTATTTGGAATGAACTTCAAAAGACATTGATAAAATAATTTTAAAAAATATAGGTCAAAAAAATCTCTTTCTTCACATTTAAACTATTGATGTAGTTTTATATTATTTATAAGATGTGTAATAAAAAGATGTAAATAAAAATATGTAAATGATAATATTAAAACAACACCAAAACGTGCAAATCTAATTCTAAAAATAAAGCAATAAATCATAATTTGAAGTTGATTACAAAATCTCTCAAAATTCAAAATTGTTCACAAACCTTTTGTTCAGCTTCTTTAGTAAGCTTTCTTCTATTTTTTTGTTCGGAAGAAAACCGTTTCAAGTTGCTCATCGTTGCCAAGGAATCATTTTGGTGACTTTCTCGGGGAGAAAACTTGTTGAAGACATCAAACATACGATTAGTTACAATATCAACCATTTTGTTAATTCTGAAATAAAAGAAAATTATTGAAGATAACTTCAAATTCATATAACCAAAATTATATAAAGATAAATTAAATTAAACCTACGTTTTTAAAGCAATAACAAAATAAGTTAAGTACAAAGCCACTGTGAGTTGAAAAGATCCATAAATAGTAAACAAAATCGACATTTTTGAAAGTTTTATTCACACAAAAAGAAAACGAGTTTTAGAGAACACAAAAGAACCGTACACTTTCGCGATCACATTTACATTAGTTATTAAGTTTGAAATGTTTTGAACCGAATAAGCCGAATATTAAATATCCGATAAACTTCATTGAGATAAGTGATAAATAACAAAAGGAAATGAAATTGTAGAACTTATTTGTTCGAGTTCGGTTCGCACTCGGTTCTTAACACTTTACAGATAGTGAACGTTTCGACCAATGTGTGTAATGATATCGTAATAACGTTTCGTTGATATCGTTTGTGCATAATGCGCAAGACTCAAGAAGAAATTTTCCTAGATGTTAATTATTATTTGCGCTCTCTCGATAAGTCAAAGGGTACACGATCTTGTAATTTTTCGATAATAAAGTCATATCTAATACGGTCGATATATTGTGGTGGTTACAGCAAAACTAAAATAATAATCTATTTATATCTTTACCACGTTATCAGTCTTTTTTGGACGATTAAAACCAATCGAAAAATTTCCGATAATAAATCGATATCAAACATATTTAAAAAAAAATTTTAATCTTAAAACATTTTTCTATAATGTGTGTTCAAGAACTTGAACTATTTCCACGGTTATTTCTCACAGGATGATCAGAATAATTCACTTTAGAAGAACGCATTCAAAATCGTTCTCATAGTTTGGTTAAAAAGATAAATATGTTTTAATTTATTAATAATGAATTGGTTAATAATAATTTCTTAATTACATCACTTTTAAAACCTAACTATATAATTACTTGAGTAGTCACTTAAAAATACATGTCACGGTCATCGTAACGTTTAAAGATATTTTAGTTTCAAATACTTTGCGTTTAAAAATTTCTCTTTTTTAATAAAAATAAGTTTATCATAACGTAAAAACTTAAATAATAACTGTGCTTTTCAAACGGTGTTTAAAAAATCTTGCACAAATGAACAATTCAATCGCCTATTTTTATTGGAATTTATATAGCTTGTCATATATCACCAGTTATTACCCAATATGACCTTTAGAGGACAGAAATTTCGACGCAAAACGAAACACGATAATAAAAAAAAACTAGTAACCAAAGTATGTGTGCGTGTTTAAAACAACAACGAATTTATAAAGGACGACCGTCTAGATGAATAATAATCACGTCCATCGGAACGGGTCAGGGATCAACTTGGTGAACACGTGATTGCTTCGAAATTTTTTACGTTATTATCAATACCAACTTTAATCTTTACTATTTGAATTTAGTTAAATACATGACCTTAATACGTGATTAATTATTTCGAGATTTTATTCTGATCAGATAATGTTTTTAAGATTGCAAATAAAATTTTATTCAAATTGACAACTGCTTACTCGACTAAATAGTGAAAGTGTATCGCTTTTATTTCACTAAAGAAAACGTTGCAATACCGCACGAGCTGCATTACAAGTTATAATATAAGAACTGAATATCATTTAAAGAGATATTTCGACCAACAAATTCCTTAAAATGTCATAGACGTCAAAGGAATAGTTCCTATGAAATCATTGCCAAGTCAAAAGCTTTATTTAGAAAGATACAACGTAACCGTAGTAGTACAAGAAAAAAATTAATTCAAAAAAAACCACAACGTAAAGTTATTATTATAGATGTAAGAATTCAATGAATGAAGTGTGATATAAAAAGAATTTATAGAATTCTTACAATTGATTATTAACAATGAAATTACGTTTCCGTGAAATTGTATCTTGTTTACATACGCGATTATTGGAGATTAATAGGCAAATCATTTTCAAGGAATAGTTGAATAATAATTAACCGGAAAAGTTCAAGATTGTAATTTAAAACTATCGAATGAATTCAAATAATAACAATTTTATCGTACATTCCAAAATTGTGCATCACATATCTTAATAAGTATTGTTTATAATCAATTTTTAGTAATTAAAACTTTTTTAATGGGAAAATATTCGCATGTATAGTAAATATTTACGATTTAAACGTATTTATGTTTAACGTATACGGCTCACTTCCGTTGGTTAAAATAAATGTTGAATAAATACAGAAATTTTTACCGAAAACTGTTTTTAATTAACACAAACGTAGGAGTAGGATCTGATGAGCAATTAACCAACCCATCGGGAACCACTCGATGGTGACTGAGAATTAAAAATTAAATAAGTGGAAGTCTATTAATACTCGTTCTATTACGTTTGGGTATCAACTCCGCTATATTAACAACGGTTGTATTCGGATGATCAGTTTGGCAGGAACGGGTCAATAAAAGTAATTATAGAGTATTGATTTCTAATAAGTATAACATAAAAAGGATTTTGTATAAAAACAAATAACAACAAATTAACAGTGACAACAACATACAATTGAATGTAAAAAATCGATCCATTGCATTAACTATCAACTATAATATACAGAAAAAATAAAATAAATTATTGCAAGAGAAGCAAACACCGAAATTAACTCTAAAATTTGATGAAACTGCAATTACTATCCAACATCATAGGATGAAACAGAAAACAATCAGATAAACAAAACTTAAGAAGAAGACAATTTATTTAAGACAAACAGCAAACAAGTATAATCACTAATCACTATGTTCCAGAACATAATCACCTTACACAATAAAGAGATTCAAAGATTTTGGTAACCTAAGTAAGGAGTCATCGAAATCGGTAGAATCAGAAAGATGCAAGTTTCTATAAAGAATCAGGTGAGTAATGATGAAAGAGTTAAGTTTAGCAAGTAAACAGAGTACCAATGCAGTTATGAACCTTAGAAAAATCTCTGTAATTCTCTGTAAGCCTAGACTTTATTCTCCACATTAATCTTGCATGATACTCTACGTGTTAATAGCCTCAATAGTCACAATATTAAGGATGTAAAGAGGTTCAAAAAAAATCCGACAGATAATCGTAATCAACGCCATCATGCGGATGGCAATACCAAAAAGTTTTTGTATTGGCACTATAATGTTTGTTTTATAACTCTTAATTCAACTTAAAGACACTCGGTCTAACAACAACACAGTACGGTAACGACTAACCTAAGAGATCTTATCATTTAGCCAATATGTAGGAATGTCTCGTTTCTAATAAACAAATCTCCGTGTTTATTAAAGAGGTCAAAATAAGTACAAAAGCTATCCTTAGTCTAAGGAATTTATAGATTGTGATAAGAAATAAGTGAGAACAAAAAGAAAGAGTGCTTTTTATAAAAACTTCTAACTAAAATAAAAAGTTTAGTTAAAAATTAATTACGAGGACCGAAATATATGAAATCCCTTTTAGTTACTATAGAGATGTTCCTCATATTTCAGTTTGGCATGGTAATGTAATAAAATGATTAATATATTTTTATCAATGTGCGAAGTATATCAAAGGAAGAATGTGTGAAAACCAACTCTGCACATTGTAATAAACAAGCGTTGTCAAGTTTACCTCAGTCACATTCAGTCGCAAGAAGGTCATATTATTGCAAAATCATTTACTAAATTCGTGGTTTTATAACAAACAGAGCTAAGAAATCATATAATGGATACTTTTTAATCTTTGAAGCTCTATCTACAGCGTGTTAATTAATTATCATACCAGACGTCATCATTGTAAGTATGCAACCAATATCACAGTATTCGTATTGCAATACCAGTACTGTGATATTGGTTGCATCTTGCAATGATGACGTCGGGTACAATAATTAATTAACACACTGTATTTGGAAATTGAGTTTAACGAAATTAGTTTCTTATTGGCATGAGCTAAAGCTAGAAATTGGAAAGCTCTATCACAGCTAGAACTTGAAGCAAAGATCAAGAGGATTACACCTTGCACAAGTAAAACGCAAGAAAAGAAACTGATTTCAATTTGGAGGATCAATGGACGAGATAAGAATGAAAAATATCTTTTCATTAAATTATGTTTGGTATCTTAGATTTGTAAATAGGAGATTCTTATCATTAATTGAAGACGAAAAGTGGAGGTAAAGCAACGAAATTAAAGATAGAATGGGATAAAGATAGTAATAACAACGAACGGAACTACAAAACAGATGTGGATTATGACTACTGTTACAAATAAAAGAAGTGGTTGACACCTCATAAAATGAGTGAATAATATTATTAACTGTAAAATCTTGTCGTTACTGGTCGAAAATTTTATTAATTTATTCAAAAATGTAGAAAATGTAACATGCAAGGAATGTTATCTAAAACGTGTCCTGTTCGAAGTGTGTATCATAGTAGTTTAAAAAAAGCTAAAGAATTGGGTTGACATATCAGAAAATAAAATGACCTAGAAGTTCATAGTTTTGACAACCTTCGACACTATTAAAATATACACAATTATAACTAACTCGAAAATAACTCCTTAAAAATATATTTATAAACAAATATAGGCAATAACAGATCATGCATTATAAGCACAGCTACGAAGATCGAACGACTTCTACAATGATAAATAAAAAGAAATAAACATGACAACGTTGTATATAAAGAAATCTCTGTACTATCAGTGTACTTTATTTATCATTTGTAATGATAAATAAATCGAAACTATAATTAAATTAGGATAAATATTATTTATACTCTTTTACTGTTAATCAACTTAAATAAGAAAGTTAATACGCCAACCTAAATGTTTCAGGCTAACTAAAAATAGCTAATAGTTTATAGTCAAGGATCCAATATACACAACCCATTTATTAGTATCCCGTGTTCGTAATTCTTCGCTATATTGGAACAAAAATATGACTAAATATTTCAATTTCACAAATTAATATTATCGATAATGTAAATATTTACAATCAACACTAACATTTTATTTGAAATATTGGACTATGTAGAGATACGGAAACCTTATAGGATCCGACCGGAAAATTGTAATTCGTGCTTATAATAATTTTTCATGACACTGACATTGAATCTTTAATGTTCAATAGCCTTTCTAGTACAATGACCTCTCTGTACCATTTTTAAACCTAGTGAAGGTAGATTCTTAAATAAATTTTGGTTCAATTCACTAATTATTAAAAAAAATACCTGTATTAAATTTTATTAATAATATAAATTTAATAATATTTATAACATTGATTAATTAGTCAATTTATTAATGATTCAACAAAAAATTTCGCGCATTTCGTTGATATCAAGGAAGCAGATAAAAATGTCACGTCATACAACACATTGCTTAAATTCCTTTTATATGATTACCGTTTTGGCTGTACATATGGCAGGTAAATTATTTATTTTACATCAAGTACACATGCACCGAACCGTTTGCGTTTCAATTTTTTACGTTCTACAATCCATTGCGATAATGGAAGAGATCCATTTAGACAACGCCGAGAAATGTTCTATGTAGTTATTCAATAAGCACAACAATTGTTAAGTGGAAACTTAAAGATAAAGCTGGTTACGTTTAATGGTGGTAACAATTTGGATTTAAGCCAAAAACTTTCATATTATAAATGAATTAAATGTAGAACAACGTTCTCTTAGCTAAAAAAATGTTGTTTTTATTCGGACAAGTAGTAAATTACGTGGGAATAAAAAAATAATATGTTATGGCCCAAGTTTTTTGTTAATTACTTAAAAATTAAAAAAAATATTGTTTTGTTGAAATTCACATAAGTGACTACTTTACTATTTTTAAATGTGCCATATCACAACTTTTCTGTTAACATTCTAACGTATAAATAAATGGAGTTAAAAAGGGTGGTTTTAAAAATACATCCCCAAGAATCAGGTTTTAGTTTACATTTAAAACTATTCATAGACTTATATAAAACAGCTTATTTTTAAAAACACAAAATTAGACACAAAGGAATGTTTCATCCCTTTCCTTGTTAAAATTCTCACAAAATACAAAATAAATTAAATAAATAAAAAACAAACCTTGATATGCCTTCAGTAAAAAAGTTCGGAAATAACCAATAAATAAGCCCCATGAAAAAAAGTAATTCAATGGCGGTTTCCATATTCGGCTGAAAGAATAAATAGGGGAAACCGGCGAATATATGGCCACGTACACGAGAAGGATCCCCAACACACACGTCTTCGCGCCCGGACGTTTGAATGATGCTTTCAGCCCTCGGATGTAAGCAATGGTTCATTTTTAATAAACCAACCGATTAAAATCGGGAAAAGTGTTTGTATTTTTTGTGGTTTAAGTTTCCGAGATTCCGAACGCGCACTTTTTCATAGTCGGAACGGAAGTTGCTAGCACAGAAAAGAGCACGCGACTGCTGGAGGTATGCTTCGGTCGCGAACGGATCGACAGAAAACCTCGGCCACGCCAAAACCGCTCGACACCGCCGCGGCAACGTCCTTTCTCTTTTCGACCTAGCACCGATCTTTGTCCCACTCACATTTCCACCCAGGTCGTGGAGAACACAATTGGAGTTGATGTACTGTTAGGAACAGATCCGTAACTATTTCAAACAGATATTTATATTTTTAATTATTTACGAAGAAGTTTAATTTTAATATATTTTCATAGATAGCGCTAGTGTATAATAAAAAATCGTTCATATATAATAGTAAAGATAAGAAAAGAATGAGCAAAAATGGCAGAAAATTGCAAACTGTTTGTTGAAATGTATCAACATATCTTCATATCCATGCCGATTACTTTTAGTGATAATTGTGGTGAACAAAATAATAACCATTGTTAACGGTTTTGGTTCTTGCACATTGAGCAAAACTAAAAGTGTCTTCCATCAGTAAGTTATGATGGTGGCCATAAAATAATGTATTCAAGAATCGTTAGTCTACAACTTACAGTACTTCTTACATTGTAGATCACAGAAATTATGAATATTTTTTATAAGGATTTCCACCTGAACACGTAGACGTAGTGTTGCATAAAATAGACAAAGTACTAATAACATTGATAGGTATCAAGGATGATATTTAGTGATATCAAGAACTACGTTGAAAGATGACAAAAAAGATGTCGACGGAAAAATTATTGAAAACCAGGATTTGATGATGTTCCGTTCCAAATCAAGACAATCCCGCAGACCACAAGTCAAGAAGAATTTTTATTTAAATTTCAGCTCCAGAGCGAAAAATCAGAACATAACATGCTCAGAACCTCTCAGAATCAGCGATTAGCAGCACCACCCGCAACAGATCGAAAGTTCTATTACAATTCACACTGCTGGAACAAATCTGCAAGCAGGTTAGATTTGAAAAATCGATATTAGTTATTTTCTCTGTGTGAGAAATCAGTGAACTAAATGTGAAATAAAACAAAAAAATTCAATTATAAATAAAATTAACTGAAGATTTCAGCCTTTGTCTTCCAAAAATAAACCAATATGCAACATTAAAGGAATAACACGTTTTGATATCTAATTCTGTTTACAAACACAGAGAGAGAGATACAATTGCTTATCATTTTTTTTTAAACGGCACAATCCGTTGTTGCACGATTGCCATCGTTAATAAAAAGATAATTGTTACTAATAATAGTCTCGTAAATAATAGAATTTTAATAGTTGAACCAATAGCAAGTAATCATAAATAATTGTCCTTTATGAACTTTCGATTGAGTTTAATCAAAATATACAATGCAAAAAAATATTTACAAGTGTTGTTCATAGTGACAGTGAATTACCTCCTTATGATTGAAATTTTACGATTTTTTTACAATTAATATATTGGAAAAAAACAAATATTATATACAGATTGTCTCGAAAATATGTGTACAACGGAGACTACAGATTCCTTGGTTCAAAATAGGTCGATTTAAGTTAAATTATCTATATCAAAAGTTGCTTCTTAAATCGGTGCCAATTACAACGAGATTTTGTAATTGCAATGACGTAAAGAAGGCTTGCAAATATTTAAAAATACTTTTTTTCTGGCATAACCAAAATAATTTTTTCTGGTTATAATAAAAGAAATATGGGGTAATATCAACTGAACACATGACTTTGCCATCATTTCTGTATTTCTAAAATTGTATCGGAAACAATAAAAAGATGTTAATTGAACTTAGGAAAAATCATTTAAACTGACTTACGGAATTAGAAAAAATTAAAGAATTTATTTTGCTAACTTTGAAATCCTGTAGCAACGAAATGAAGCTATTTTGGATATAGATAACTTAAATCAACCTATTTTGAGCCTATTATTCTTCCATTGTACACGCATTTCGGAGACACCTGTATAAAATATAATATAAATATTGCATATACAGGTGTTTCACTTTAAACTTCCATGTCACGTATATCTGGAATGAGTTGAGATATTGTAGTTTTGTAAGAAGTTTATGCTAGAGTTCGTAAATGACTTTAGTTCTTACGTATTGTTATTATTCATTGTACAAAAATAAAGGTGGCGCTGCAGTAGAATATCGAAAACTGTGCAACTTTCCTTATTAACGTTGATTTGAAAAACTTCTTTGAGGTATTATAAGGTTTCTTTGGTAGTTCCAATTATTATTATGCTGAAAAATGTATTTGGTATCCTAAAGTGTAATTTTAAGAACTGAAGGCATTTATGTACTCTAACAACAACTTGATACAAAACTAAGATATCTCAACCCATTACAGAGATACTTGGGCCTGGAAGTTTTAAGTGAAACACCTATATATATCTTTATTATAACCAAAATAATAACAATAAAAATACTTACCGGTTTTATTGTTTTCTTTACCTATAGAAAAAATTCCAATAAAAACATAATAACAATCACCTATTCATCTCAAGTGTTCAAAACATAAAAACAGCAAAATCATTTTCAACGTGGTTTTATAGACGTACGTTATTCGCAATTAAAAAGGCGTAGTGCGTTTTGTGGTAAAAATAAACTGCGTCAGAAAAGAAATCATTTTGCTGACGAAAAGGATTTACACCGAAAATAAATAACTTTTCCTATATTTATTGTTTGTCTAATAATATTATCCATTTTTATCTTATCAATATCTTCATTTTTTACTTATTTTTTTAAAATTTATCATCAAAGAAAATATTAGTGTTAATAAGTGTTTTTAGGTGGCAAACACAAAAATTATGTTGAAATACGGCCCTGTTTTTAAACTAATGACGAAGTATGGCGTGATCTGGTGGATAAAGAGAGAAGTAATTGCATATTATGTTGGGTAGAAAGGAATGGGGCGAAAACAGAAGGCGTACATGCAGTAATTATACACTCAAGTGATGTTCAAAACTATAGTCAGGATGTCAGTGCACCAAAACAACCTTGATAAATAAATATCTTAACAAATACATATTTCGTAAAACATAGTTAAAAATATCCCAAATTTTATAAGCAACACGCAATTGAAATTACAATGATCAAAATCATGACTCACCAAAACTATTTTATATTTTCATGCAATACTTATCTTAACGACTAATAAAATATAATCAATTAAACAATTAAAATAAGTCGCGCTTAATGACTTCAAACCAATTACATAAGTAATTTTTTAAAATACCCAACCCAAAGGGAATTGAGGTTATGTTAGCATATTCAATGTCAAAGAAGATTAAAACGAATCATAATCACTTACCGGCTCTTAAATTGTTGCTAATTCTTGGAACAATTATTTCAACAAAATTCAAAACGATCAATACATTTCTTTTCACAGATTTTCAAATAAATGAGAGCGAAAAACTCCTACACCTGGCAACGTGTGCAATCACGCGATGACAAAACTGCTTCGGTGCCGGATTTTTTAATATTCAACGATACCCTACAGAGTCTTTATGAATCAATCGAGCGAAAGTCTCTATTTAAAGCTCAACTTAATAAATCGAATTGCAATAATTGCCGTTTTAAATGGGAAAAATAAAATAAAATGTTTGTTTTGAGGTTATTGTTTTGACAGGTGGTGTAGCTTTTGATGTGGAGATGGTGTTTTCAATAATGATTTTATTTTTAATTTTTATATCATTTCTTTATAAATTACATACGATTTAATTTAATTTAATTTTATTAAAAAAGTATCTATATAAAACATATAACTACGTAATATAATACAAAATAAGAATAATTTAAAAAGATATCAGCGACATCTTTTATTTGAGGAAATAATTTTTTCTTTTCCAAATTGGTAATGGGAATCCGGTAAATGAAAAAAAAATTATTATGTATGAAAATAAATCAATAAATTGTATTTTTGTTAAAATTTGAAATAATAAAAAGATGTGTAATGTAATCACCGAATTAACGCTTTTTTTAGTTGTATTAAGCGATAAAAAAGAAATCTATATTACCCGCCGTAAATTTTATTCTCAAGATACTACTTCCGCTTACAAAATATTGAACCTAACTATTCAATGTCAATAACTTTCATAATATCTCGACCTATTTAGTCAACGGTACGAAAGTGAAAAGAAACCGCTTGAAGATATTTGACCGGAATATTGCGCAAGCTTTTAATCGTGTTGGGTTAAAATGTCAAACAACCGTGTAGCAGGTGGATGTGTTGAAATGTTGCCGATATCGTTATGGGTTACCACCGCATATTAGAATTTATCTACAACTTACTTTTATTAATATTAATACCGTTAATCAGAATGGGTAGTAACGATGGAAAAAACCGCATCAAACCGATCAAGAATTACACCTTTAAATTGTTTAAATACGAGAAGGTACAGGTAAACAAAAAAATCTCGAGACGGATACCTTTACCAAGAAGTGGACATAGAATCGTTTGTGATACAAAGAATTTATACTCGTTTGGAGGTTACAATCCTGCTGTTGTAAGAGATAATATGGAAATAGAAGATAGAGACGATGATGAGTTATCAATACATTCGTTCCCTTTATTTCAAGAACTTTGGAAATTTAACTTTGCTACTAGAAGGTGGACCAGATTTAATTGTAGGGAGAGTTTACCGCCGGAATTGGCTTCAAATGCTGTTATTAGAAGAGGAAATTATTTAATGGTAGATTAATTTTCCATCCAAAATTGTTAAAATAAAGTTGATTTTATAGGTTTATGGTGGTACAGGTTCACCATTTGGTTATCGTTGTAGTAATCAACTGTATATTTGTAAATTAACAGATATTAATAGCCGAATGACAGAGATAAATACAAAAGGTCCTCCACCAGTGCCACAATATGGACAAGCTTTAGTGTATTACAATGATAGTCTTTACACAATAGGAGGAACAACAGGATTTTCATACACTTGTGATATTCATAAGTATGTTTTAATTGCTTTTAATTTGTTTGGCTACGAATATTTCTTTTTTTAGATTGAATATGAAAACCCAATCTTGGGAAAGTGTGTATATTTGTCAAGGAAAAGGCGATTATGAACCGGAAGGACGCTATCGTCATGAAGTAGGTTTTGATGGACAATGCATTTATATTTTAGGTGGAGGTACAGTAGAAGATGTTTTTGATTTTGCTGAAATACCAGTTTTTGATTTGGAAAAATTACAATGGTCTGTGCAAAAAGCACTTCCTGATTCATTGGGTTAATATAGTTACATTTTGTTATATTAACTATATATAAATCAATTTCGTTTAGTTATAAATTCAATCCATGATGGATATCCACCTCCAAGACGTTGTCATGGTGCTGTTCAACTTGAATTTGAGGATGAAGATTTTAAAGTATTTATAACTGGAGGATATAGTGGCGATCAAATATATGATGACCTTTGGTGCCTAAACTTACGTACTTTCCAGTGGACTCTAGTCACATCTTGTCGATTACAATATCCCACGTATTTTCATTCGAGTGCTGTTACACCTGAAGGAAAAATGTATGTTTTTGGTGGGATAATTTCACGAGAAGATATAGAGAGGAGCAATACGATACACAGTACATGGTTATGTATACCAAAATTAAGTGAAATTTGTTGGGAAGCTTTATTACATTATAACCCAAAAATGATTAGTTATTCAAAAAGTGAATTGATTAATGCTGGTTTACCACGGCATTTTGCACAGAGGATCGAGTAATTATTTGTGTATAAATGGATTATTTATGTTCATTTCTTTAATTGATTCTTTTTTTTGTTTATGCAATTTTTTCCTTTATAAGCAGCTTAAAAGATGTTTCTAAATTAATAAATAATACTCTACAAAAAGTTTTACTTATTTATTATTTTTATAGAAAATGAAATAATAATATTAAAGACTTATTTAAATTACTTTTTTTTAATCATCAGTTACCCACAATTGAGGGACAGAATGTAATAAGTTACATAGTGTATTATGTGAAGCGGTATCAAAATCTTTAGATCCATCTTGTGAAAACAGAACCATTTCATCACAAATTATGGCTTTATTCTGAGCTGTTCCATGCACCTAAATCAAAAGCAAATTATTACTATATTAATTATTGCGAATCATTAAATAAATCACCTCTACATATCCTTCCAAAACATTTCTATTCGGTCTCTTTAGGTTAACTTTAATTAAGACATCATCTGTTGAGCGGACATCGAAAGAGAGCCCATTTGGATTGACGTTCGTAATTAAACCAGTTAAACTTACTTTTTGGTTTATAAATTGAGGTAATTGGGCCCCATTTACTATTTCTCTTAGATTTTCTGGCATTTTGAAGCAAATATAAATTGACAGTTAAATAACCTAAAATTTGTTTTGCCGCTAATTATCAATAAAAGTTATGTTGGCAAGTTTGAATATTAATTTTTAATTATATTTAAGATTTAATTTATAAGCAAAATAGTACTTTCGGTTATTTTTGTACGTATAAATATACCTAATAATTAATAAATAATTTAGAAAAATATTTTATTATAGGGATTTTTAGTTTTGTGGTGATTATGTTGTTAAAGCTGGTTAGCGTGGAAAAATGGCGCTTTGTTGTGCAAGTAAGTTTTTCTTTAAAATTAACTTAATTTAATCAATATCGAAATATTTTTTTATTAACCCAACTATAAAATAATGAAAAGATAATTTATATTTCATTAAATATTACTTCTATTGATAAAGAGCTGTCAACAAACATGAAATTTGTTCCTAACCTCAACTATAATTGAAACGCCGAATGTTTGTTTTTCCTTATTTCCTTTTCCGGTTTTATTACAATTTTTTACTGTTAATAAGTTTCTATAATTAAATGATCATTTTTATTACTTATATAGTATCAAATGAAGTACCGGAACATCCTGTTCTTTCACCATCTTCTGGAGCAATTTTTGAAAAGAGAATTATCGAAAAATATATCCAAGAAAATGGGGTAGATCCACTTACAGGCAAGCAATTGGCGATTGAAGATTTAATTGAAATCAAAAGTAAAATTTGTTATTATATAAATAATTTAGCATTATAATTTTTTAACATTATAGCCCCACCAATTGTAAAACCTAAACCACCAAGCGCAACAAGTATTCCAGCAACATTAAAACTTCTTCAAGACGAATGGGATGCTGTAATGTTATACAGTTTTACTCAAAGACAACAATTACAAACAGCTAGACAAGAATTGAGCCATGCGCTTTATCAACATGATGCTGCCTGTAGAGTTATTGCTAGATTAAATAAAGAGGTTATGGCTGCCAGGGAAGCTTTGGCTACTTTAAAACCACAAGCTGGAATTACTACAGTTCCACAGCCTGTAAGTAAAATTATAATGTTTTATTATTTGTTGATTACAAACATTTTTAATTGAAGGCTGTAGCTGCTGAAGCTGCTGGTGTAGCAAATCAACCAACAGAACAAGCAGGAATGAGTGCTGAAGTTATACAAAAATTACAAGATAAAGCCACTGTATTAACATTGGAAAGAAAGAAAAGGGGACGAACAATTCCTGAAGAATTAACTACACAAGAGGATTTAAGATCGTTTAGGACACTAGCTTCACATCCAGTAATTATAATAAATACAGTATAACCTTGATATATAACTATATAGACTTTTGGCTCCCTTCTCCATATTAATCCATTATATCAAGGTTAATTAAATTTAAAAAATATCTAATTTTTTTCATTTTTTTGTTTATTTAGAGTTTACATTCAGCATCAGTTCCTGGTATCTTAGCTTTAGATATCCATAGCTCTGATACAAGTAAAATACTAACAGGTGGAAATGATAGAAACGCGACAGTGTTTAATAAAGACACCGAACAAGTCGTTGCCATTTTAAAAGGTCACACTAAAAAAGTTACTAAAGTCATTTATCATCCTGATGAAGATTTGGTGATTACTGCATCTCCAGATTCGACAATTCGAGTTTGGAATGTACCTACATCTCAAACAACTTTGATGTTGAGATGTCATGATGGCGCTATCACTGGATTGTCTTTACACCCCACCGGAGATTATGTTTTATCAACTTCGGATGACCAACATTGGGCGTTTTCAGATATTCGTTCTGGAAGATTACTTACTAAAGTAGCTGATCAAACAAATGTTGCTTTAACCACCGCTCAATTCCATCCTGATGGACTTATTTTTGGCACAGGAACTGCAGATTCGCAAATTAAAATTTGGGATTTAAAAGAACAGAGTAATGTGGCTAATTTTACAGGTAAATTTTTTTATTTGACGAAATTTCAAAATGGATTGATTTTTTTTTTAAATAGGTCATACTGGTGCTATTACATCAATTTCATTCTCTGAAAATGGTTATTATTTAGCAACAGCTGCGGATGATGCGTGTATAAAATTGTGGGATTTGAGAAAATTGAAAAATTTTAAGACAATCCAGTTAGATGAAGGTTATCAGATTAAAGATCTTTGTTTTGATCAAAGTGGAACTTATTTAGCTGTAGCAGGAACTGATATAAGGTTTTATAAATTAAATATGTTTAAAAAAAATGTTATTATAATTATTTACTTTTCAGAATTTATCTTTGTAAACAATGGCAAGAATTAAAAGTGTTTAATGATCATACAGCTGCTGCTACTGGAGTTAGATTTGGTAAGCATGCTCATTATATAGCTTCAACTTCAATGGACAGAACGTTAAAACTCTATGGTCTTCAATAGTAATTTAAGTAATTAATAATTTTTTTTTAATATAAATTTTCATTAATTTTTTTTACAAATGAATTGGTGATCAATGTTTTTTGGTAATCAATTTGATTCATGTAATTTGACGTAAATAAATTAAAAAATAATTATGTATTATGTTGAGTGTGACAAAGAAAAAAATCATTAAAGATTTTTTTTGATAAAAAGTATATTTATTCTTATAAAAAAAAACTTCAACTTATTTTATTAATCAAAATAGTCAGTAATATAAATATAAGTAACCAAACTAATGGTGCTATATAACCAAGATTAAAATCCGTTGTGTCGCTTGTTATACCTCTTTGCATATAACAACGTATTAAAAATATTGCTTGAGTTTGTGGGAAATACTTGACAATCGTCACCAACCAATCTGGTAATCCATTAAGTGGCCAAATAATACCTAGATAATGAAAAAAAATGATTAAGTGAATTGTATTAGTAAACTTATTTAATATTATCTTACCACATAAAAATATAGTCATTAATAAGAAGCAAAAAATCGCAATTCCAGCGTGAACGTTATCTCTTACGATATTTGCTATTAAAATACCTAAACATAACCCACACCAAATTTGTAATAATAAAACTAGCAGCACGTGACTATACAGTACATAGTGAGATCCTAACATTTGATTTGTATCATTGTTTATCCAAATTAAAATTCCATACATCAAAAGACCTTCAATTATTAATAAAACACCATAAATGATTAATTGAGATAAAACAGTTTCTGACCATCTCACACCTATTTCAAATAAAAATCAAAGAATATTTTCAGAATCACAATAATCTGAAGTCTTTTACCTGCAACATAATCTCTAGTCAACATATGTGATTCACGATGACTGATTAAAACATATGATGCTATAAAAGCTGCTAAATGATATAAAAGAACAACAGCCATTCCATTTGCTATATACTCTGATTCCGTATGTGTTCGACCATATAAAGGAACACCAACCTAAAAATTAAAATACAAAGTATGAGTACTCAATTATATATTGTCTTATAAATAGAATATAGAGAATTTTAAAACTATTTCTTTTATATCTTTTGCTGTGTTTGTCAGAGGTGAAACATCAGTTAGAGAATATTTATGTAAAGCTGATTTTATTTTTTAGTCGTCATTTATGGAATGAAAATCCTTTTAAAAAGGTGAAAAACTAGCATCAAGGAAGAAACCTTTGCGTACTTATTTTGGACATTGAAGTGTTATATGAGGAAAACTTTTAGTCAAGACTTTTTCTACAGCTATCAAGTTGTAGAATACCAGCCTTTTGCTTATAATATTGCTGGACTGAGTTATATTTATTGACGTTATAATAACATTTTACAAATAAGAGTATGTTGTGGCTCATAAAATAGTTATTGAAGAATATTTCATAATCTGAAGGATTTTCAATGATACTCTGCATATTCAAAATTATGTTTAATCCCAAGGCGAACCTATTTTAAACTGTTGTACTTAATGCTGCAATGTTAATAACATGTTTATTATTCATCTTGTATTTATCTTTAATTATAGTCAAGGTGGTAGATGTCATATAAGAGAGACTTGAGGAGCATATCAAATTTATTGTTGCAGGACTCTAACAGAAGCATCATTTTATTAAGTAGTTTGAAGTAGATATCATTTAGACATCATAGATATCATTCAAATTCAATGGGAAGTGAATGATCTAGTGTCTAAAACGACTGATTATGATATGATATGATGATATGAGTATATTTCTTGCAGCTACAGATGATACATTTACCTATACAAGACTTCTCTTTCTCTCTTCTTGTTTTCGTATGTCAATCATTCCATGTATACTTTGCTGGTTGATGTAAAAGCCTCGTTAATATAGGCAATTAACTAAGAGTTTGTGAGGATATGGTTTGAGCATATAGTGATTGATAGGCGTAACATAATGCTGCCATAGTTACAAAAATAGATACTAATTTTTATAAACTTAGCACAAAGCCTGGGATGACCAGTTTTACTAAAGAAGTCAATTTAAAATAGCTTACAATAGTTTTTTTCAATCTAGGCCATTATGTAAAGTAATTGGAAAAAATGTATAGCTCATTTGGAAGAGGAAATCATAAAATGGAGGCTTAAACTCGAAATCGAACATGTGAAAAATAACTTTTTGAAAATGGTTTTAAGCCTTAAGTTTAAGGTTCGAACCTTTACTGTAATTTAGAATTTAAAATATTACCTTTAAAGGATATCCAATATTAGCATTTTGTACACTAGTATTTTTAGTTGCTTCATTTAAATACTCTTCTACAGCTTGTTTAGTATAATGTTCTATAGTACTAGCAATAATACTACTGGTTGCATCGGGTCTTAAAATAAGTTGTGATGTATCCGGATTTCCAATATCGACATTATTAAGATCAATATTCGCCATAGTTCGCATTATTTGATTCGTAAATTTTTCCCCAATAATTAAAATCCCGTTTATCCCTAATTTGTATGAATCTTCTTCCGCACTTTCATAACTATCGTAATATTTTTTACTTATAATGTTACTGTCTATGAGATTTACGACGTCGCAACTGACGTATTTATGAGGATCAGTTTTACATTCGTCTTCGGTTGCTTCGAAATTGACTATAGCTAATTTTAAATTAGTCGGTATTTGTCCAATAGTAAAATTAATTAATAATAATATTAGTAATGGTACTAATAAAATAAAACATAGCCATTTAACATTTCTAAACGACAACAATGTATCTCTAAAAAGCAACATTCCCAATCGGCGAAAATTCGGCAAAAATGAAAATATTGCTCGTTTACATCTTCTAAACGGATTTGGGAATTTTCTGTGAGTTTTACGGAATTCTTTATCTTCTTCTTCCGCTTTATATAAAAATCCATCTGAGCCATATTGTGGTAAAACATCAACTTTAACATAAGGATTTTCTTGCACTGAAACTTTTTTTGGTACTTCTTTACGTATCGCAAAGGAATAAATATGAGTGTAAAGTGATTCAACATTTTTTTGTTTATGTGTTGAAGCGAGTTCTTTTGGAGAACCTTCCATTAAAAGATAACCACTTCGAATGATCCCCAATCTACTTGCTGTCTCTGCTTCTAAAATGTTTTTCGATGTCATAAACACTGTACAACCCGATTGAGTTATCTTAATAAGGTGGTCTGAAATACTAAACGAAAAAAAAAAAAATAGTAATAAAATAAATGAATAAATTACGATTTTTTTGTGACGGGATCCACTCCTTGATCGGGTTCATCTAAAATAATTAATTCTGGTTCGTGGAAAATCGCAACGGCAAAAGATACTTGTTTTCTTTCCATTGATGTGCAATGACTTATAAATCTATTTCCTGGTGGTAAAGCTAATAATTCATTTACAGCCGAGATTCTTTCGTTGATATAGTTCTTTTTTAAATGTAAAAGTATGCCAAAATAACGAAGTGTTTCATTTACTGTTAGCGACATAAATAATCCTGCGGAATCGGGCGAATAACCTACTCTTAATCCGGGAACACCACTCGATTTTTCACCATGGCTAAATCCAAATATCTAGTTTTAAATTATTTCATTAAAAATGTTTGATTAATGAAAACCAAAAAATTTACTTTTACGAATCCTTGATTTAATTGAGTAACACCTAATATAACATTAATAACGGTAGATTTTCCAGATCCACCAGGTCCTAATAAAACATATCTACAAAAAACAACTTTTTAATTTGTTACAGAGAATCTATTTTGCCTTTTTATTTACATTTCTCCTTTGTAAGCCGTCAGATTAAAATTTCTCATAACTTGTCCCCATTTGCTTCTCACACCAAAATGTTTATAACCGTTTACAATCTCAATAACAGGATGAATATTTTGAACTGCAGTTGAAGGCCCAGAACCGCCGGCTTTTGACATCGCTGATGTCCATTTGACAAATTCATAGTTGTAAATGAATTTGTATTATTTTTCAAATGTTTTTTTTTTAATTTAGTCTAAAATTATTTTAGAGTTTTAGAGTTAAAGATTTGCTAAAAAATTTTCGATGTGTTGTACGGAAGAAAGTGAAATTCGGTGTCAGGAGACGTAACGTGTAGAGAAAGAGAGAACATTTTTGATCCGGATGACCACTCGAGCCCGAAATCCCGAAAAGAAAAAAAAACTCGCTCGCCGTTGACGTTACGCAAGTTTGGTCGTTCGCTGTTGGATACTTACTGTCCATGGCGCATTCTTCCATGGTACAGGTGCACCTCGGCCACAACCACGAACCAATGGAAGATTAGAAAGGACGCAGAGAGAACTTTCTACTTCTCGGCGGTTTTTCCAGACTCTCACGTTTGAAAACAACAGTTTACTCTCGGTTCTCCGTGTAGAACGCGTGTTATACTTAAAAACCACCGTCAGATTTCGGGTAATTTTTTAATTTTTAATATATCTGGTGGATTTATTGATAATGTTCTTCTATATTACTGATTTATTAACAAATTGTGATTAATTTTTTGGAGGTTTTGTTAAAGAAAACCTGGGAAAATTTCTAAGTGATGATTATATAATTTGTAAATCTTGTTGAAAAGTCTTCAAGTATCAGGAAGTTGTTTGGAATTTGTCCCAATTACGTAATCAGGCGCTTTCAGCCGGTGTTTTGTCCTTATGCAACTTGTAATTGGTGCGTTGGATAATGCAGATGGTGGGTGACATAAATAGAGAGATCTTATTGGATATGTATGATTACGTTTTAAATTACACATTTATTTTTTACCTTATTTTATATTATAAACTTTCTTTTAAATTAACGATTTTTCTATATTTATATACATTCAAATCATTTTTGTTGAATTTTAAGTTTTGTTACACATAAATTAATGTATTACGACTAAAAATGATTTCTTAATTTTAATAATAAGACTTCATAAAATCATCCATCAAAAATTCAAGGTCAATTTTTTTCAAGTTCTAAAGTAACTAAGTTTCTTGTTAAAATGAGTTGAAGTTGAGAATTTGGGCAATAACTATGTTGGGTGATTAGAATCCCTTAATCTAGATTTATTCATTAAAATTCTTGTTAGAAATTCATCCAAATTTGTTTTTTCCGTACAGATAATTGGACAGTTAGTTTAATATACAACAATAATTAAGTTTTTGTCTTGAATCTCATTTTATGAATACATATAAACGAATACACGTTACTGATTTCCCTAAACTCCAAACACCTAGGTTGGACATCAATTTATGGAGTATTAGCCCAAAAATGCTAAATGAAATTCGTTCGGTCAAGTAATTCCATAGGTGCTGTCTTTGGGTCTACAGAAATCTTTTCATATACGCCATGATCTTTGCCAATTTTGCTGCATTTTAAGTTTCTGTAGTTTTTTTGAGTTGCAAGATTATAATAGATAGGCATTTTAATGGTATTCTTTAGCCTTTCAGTGTAAAAGAACGGTCATGTAATGAGCTCATAGAAGTGACCTCGGCTACCTCATCTATCTATCTACCTCATTAAAAATAATACTTCATGGACTCGATATGCAATCATTATTACTATGGCAAAGTCATGGCGTTTTACATTGTCATTGAGATCTTTAAGAGTAACTAGTTAATTCATCTAAAAATAGTAAGAAGTGGTTATCAAATCAGTTTTAATATCCAAAATTAACTGGGCTTAATTGCTAGTTAATTAAATTAAGTCATGTTAAAAATTTTTCAGCTGGGTTTGTTAGACATTCCCCTGATTTTTGATGTTAGTATTGTTAATGTTAGAGATTCTGTTATTGTCAAACTAGTGAGTTCAGTGAGTTTTCTTCATTTAATCTTTCATCTTTATACTGGTATAAATGTTGGAAAAATGATGATGACCCGAGATATTGAAAGTAGAGGGCCTGATCAGATAGTTAGTGATTCGTGTTGAATCTCCAATATAATGCATTAATCAAAAAATGAAACGAACATTTTTGGCATTCTTCAACAACTTTTCATGATAGTGTTTAATAAATCACATAAAATCGATTTCTTAGCGAATTGTTCTGAAAGTTATTCATTTTATAAAGGAAAGTGTAAGCTTTCTAATGGGCTAAATCGTTTTTGAAAATTTTATATAGTCTTTACGATAACAATTTTTAAATTAACCACAAATTCTTAAAATCATCTAGAAAGAGATCATAAAGACAGTAAAAATTTGGCATTCAATTTCAAGATAGATCTTAGTTGTGAAAGATTAGATGACTTAGCTACTTGCTTCAAACGATTAGGTACATTCAGACTACAATTGAAAGTGAAATAAATTTACTTCTAGAGCGTATAATTGACCTAGTAAAAATTCAATTATTTTTCCTGTGTCAAAACTACCAGTACATCTTGAGAAGGTTTGTCAACCAATACGGTATCAACTTCAAAGATAATGTTCATTTGTACTCGTTCATGCATCAATCAAAATCGTTTAACTGAATATCAGAATATTAGTCGATGGTCTTATGGTGTTTGAGTGAGTACCCTGCTCGGTAGTTCATTAATCTCCTTCATTCCAGGTCCTCTGCTCCGGCTTGTATTAGTTCTGCCCTGAACTTCTTCTAAAGAAGCTTCGTCAGTGCTCACGATGTCCGTTATATGCTTTCCATCACTACCGCTATTCGCTTTAAGCCTTAGAGGCTCTTCCCTTCACCGGCATTTGCTTCATCAAAAAGCTTCTAAAAGTATTGTGCCCATACGTTGATAATTTCGCTTTTATCGCATACTAGGTTTCTTCTATGTTTTTGCATATGCTCCCTCTTGACTGAAATCTGCCTTTGGTTTTGTTTACTGTTTTATATATGTTCCTAGTATCGTTTTTCGCATATAACTTTTCAAACTCTTCTATCCGTTTTCGCAAGAAATCCCTTTTTCCTTCTTACATACCCTGTGCACATTTCTTCTTTCTTGCATGTATTCATTAACATTATTCCTCGTCATGTTCATTTTAACAACCTGTAACATTTTACTTCTTGCTTTCTGTTTTTTCGTTGTTGCTTCTCTATATTCGTCATCAAACAATTGTAAGTCATCTTGTAGATCTTCTGAACCGATTGTAAGATAGCATTTTTTATATTGTTCCACATTGCTTCTTCCAATTCTTCTAAACTAGTATCTTCCTCAAGTTCCTCGTCTAACCGTTCACTTATGACACTCTCATATTATTATCCTCTAATTTCCTCCATTTTCTTTTTCTCTTTTCCTTGTGTTTGTGTGACTAAGAAGTGGCGTGTAACATCTGCGCTTCTCACGTCTAGTAAACTTAATGCGTGAGTGGTTACAGTCATGGATAATTAGTGATTTTAATTATTATTATTTATAAACAATTTTTTAATTTTTCAAATTTATGTTTCTTCACCACAAAAGGGGTGTATACAAATAAATATTAGTATATTGATTTACAATATAAATTTAGTCATCAAAAGCTCATAATTTATAGATTAGACCCAGATGGAAGGACATTATCATAGAGTAACCCGAGTAAAATTATCAGTCCCGCGTATTATTTCAACTGATATTGACCGATAGATTACTCATCTAATAAATATTGCATACAAAGTGTTATTTGGAATTAACGTCATCTGGTTTGGATCGTTTTTCCCATTTCAGTGTTAACATCGTCTTGGAATGGATCGTTTATGACACTAACTTGATGATGATGCATCGAAGTTTTTATGACTATTAAATTTTTTTATTTTTCATTTTAAAATATAAACGTGCGAAATAGTTGAAAATGGATAAGAAAAATAACTCGACGAGTGCTAATAATAGGAAGATGTTTAGTTGGAGCAACAACAGTTATGAGTAAGTACTTTTTTTTTAATTAATCGTTCGATTTATATGCGTCGAGTTGATTTGATTGTTAATTAAAATTGTACGAAATTATTTATTTTTGATATTGCGTAGCATTAGCGTCCTAGTTAAAAAGTTAGGTTTCGGGGTCATATAGGTTGTTACACAAAGTTCAATTACCTAACGATTTGTCCAAAAGCGAGGCGGCGCAATAAAGTTTTGCTTCGTTTCGAGTTCGACGACGAAGCAAAACTTTCATATTCAGGATGTGCTCCAGGCGAGAGAGAAAGTTTCAAGTTTCCCTCTCTATATATCGACCTGGTCCGTCTTATGTAACACGATAACCCACTTTTAACGGAGACTTTGAAGACAAGGTATCTTATACAAGACACATACCATCAGGTGGATTGTAAATTAATTTTTTTTTTACAATACTAAAAAATAATGTTTGTTTTCGAGTTATGTACAATTTTATTTTCAACGGATATGCGTGAGTTTAACAATTTAACACCAACGTATATATACTAAGAAATTATTACCACACCTAGATATCCACTGCAATTGGGTCATTTTAAACTGAATAAATACAGAAAATGTTTTTATTTCACTCTGTTTAAATATTCATATTTTATTCACATTTTTTTCTTAATTTGGGAATTACACAACCTTTTTTAAAAAATTATTCCTTGGTGACGTCAATCCTGCAAAAAAAAATATAAATTTCTATAAATCAATTATAATTTAAATATTAATGTAATTAATTTCAAATATTCCATTAATAATCTATGATTACACTTTTTTTTGGTCAAGGATTACGTCTTAACATTCCTTCCTTATAAATAAAATATTTAATAGGACAACTTCAAGCTCATTTTTTATTTCGCTTCGACGTTAATTGTTTAACATTTGTAATGGGAAATTAATGTCCATGTATGCGGAATTTAATAAATTTATTACAAGTTGATTTGAAGAAATTCTTATAAAATTTTAACATTGAAACATTGAGTACAAGTTACATGATAATTTAAATAAATTGTTAGTAACTTTCCCCTGACTCGGTAACATTATATCGCAACACTACGATTTTAGACACGTTTTAGAAACGTTACCAAACACTAATTAACCTTGACAAAGTACTAATGGTGTCCTGGAAAGTGTCAATATAAATTTGATTTTGAATTACTTTTTAATTTCAATTATTTGATTCAATTTAGCATTAACAAATCGTGCGGTAGAGATCGTAAATAAAATAAAAATTTTAATTTCATTTGACACCAAGCTATAGTAATGTAAGAATGAATTAATAAATAATAAATGTATGGCTTCAAGTCATTATTTAAAATGCCAAAGACCTTGTAAGTTTATATCTAAAAAATAATATTCTACCGTTATTATTACAACCATTAAAATAAAGGTCATAAATATTAGTCTTCACAATAAATTCTTAAGAAAACCATATATTATATAGTGTGTTTGATTTCAGTTGTGTCATCTCGACTATTCTTGAAGATATGATAAATTGTTATAGAAAAAAAGTTGCTTAATATCATATTTATTTATTCATCTTTCATAGTTATGCATCGTAATTTTACAAGTTGTTAATGGTATCACTCGGGATATGGAGCGTGAAACCAAGTCTACCCTGCTAGAAATTTATGGAAGAAATAATCTCGCCCGACTTCAAAGACGACGGCCGCCCTAAGTATTATAAAGTATTACCGACTTCGAAGTCGGCCGAGATTTTGCTTGGGATTAGGAGCATATTACAAAAAAACTTTTAGAATAAACGTTGTAGCAAATTTTATTCTTAACAATATTTCTCTCTTCCACTTTTGCTCTAAGATGCATAAATATGGAGAAAAATAACATAATATGATGATTAGATGAATCCGTAGTTTTACATACTGCTGATAGTACCTAACGATTGGGATTCGGAGCATATTACAAAAAAACTTTTAGGACAAAAGTTGTAACAAATTCTATTCTTAACAACATTGTTCTCTGCCACTTTTGCTCTCAGATGCATAAATATGGAGAAAAATAAGAAAATATGATAATTAGATGAATTCGTAATTTTTCATGTTGTAATGTATTCGCTGTAATTAATACATTTGATGCTTAATTGTTTTTTAGAATATGCTAGAAAATAGAATATTAAATATGGAGCAACTTTCCTTCTGTTACATTTTGTCATATTTTTAACAATAATCAAGATATCTGGTGTGGCAGCTAAAATCAAACACACTGTATAATACAATAAATTTAATTAAATATTTGCGTATTCCATGTATTTAAGTTATTAAACTGTCTAGTTTTGAGTGAAACGTTAAAAAGTTCTGGGAAAAATTAAATTCGAAGAAATAATCTTTTGTTATACACGAAAAATGTAAGGAAATCTACAAACACAGTGCGTGTTAAAGGCGATTTGTTCGCTCAATTTAGTTTATACTTCCTGAATTCTGTATAAAATGCAATAAACTCATTAAAGAAATGCAACAATTTTATTGTTGCGTAATACTACATAAATACAAAAATAAATGAAGCAATATCCAATGTGTTCTTACCCGAAGAAAAAAATAAGAATTAGTAATAAAATTGAACAGTTGTTTGAAAGTGACTTTCGTTAATAGTTTCAAGGCAGCTTCTAGATAATTACTAATATCTATCAAATGATTGGTTTTGTTACTCACCACCTATATAATTTATTATGCTTTTACATTATTTTCAGTTGTTCAATTCACGTTAAATCGCTTAATAATAATTATAAAAAAACACGATTAAATTTAAAAAAACTGACATACTTAAAATCGATAAAAAAAATTGTAAAAATCTTTCATTTCAAGTTTATTTAATGATAATCTCTGGTTTTAAGTCTTTTCGGTCAAGGACATCACCGAAAAGGCATCAAGGTGAACGGGGTTGTAATGTTTACAGGTCCAGGCAGCATTTGGATCGAAATGATGAAATGGATAACGAAATATCAATTTCTTTTTATATAGAAATCGAAACGAACTTTTTATTTTAAAACGTAAAATTAAAAAAGAACGTTATATAACGTAGTTTTTAGTTTTTCTGGAAAAAACTTTTAAAATGACCATTAAAATGTCTAAGTGAATCACTATTCGATAGCTTTCGATAAATGAACGAGTGCTTAAAACTATTATAGACAAAATTGCTGTAAAATTAGTTTATTTTTGTACATATTGGAAGGACGACCACACATTTTTTTTAATTGACGCCGTCAGTGAATAAACATACCCTGACATAATTGATGAATTTTACATAAATTAAACGTTGTACTCAAACTATTTTTTTAACCGCTCGTTTTAACCTTTATACGTTTTATTTTTTTTAAATTTTCTTGTTAAACCAACTATAATAAAACATTTCTTTTCCTTCTATAATTACTTTCAGCATTAGTTTTATGATTTTAATGGTTTTTTTTTGGAGATTATTTCATTATCAGTTAGATATTTAGTTGAAGTATGTGTCATCGATAATTGTGGTAATTTTAATGAGTATTTTTAACTATTTTGAACATTAATCCATTTCCTAAATATAGAGATTGTGTACTGAGTTTCTGACATAGAAGGAAAACTTATATTTTTACCAATCGAACTGATTTGACTGATTTAGGTTGCTCAATTAAATCCAATGAAACTATAAACGTTTACGTCATGCAATGTTAAATGGTCAATCACTTGCGAAAGTCCAAAGAATTATTGAAAACATCTATGAATGGATAATGAATACTTAGAAAAACCTGTTGCAGTAATCCAACGTTCAATCAATAACAGAATACTTGCACGCAATGCCACTGCAACCCCGATTAAAATCATTTTTGTGGTTCTTAGCTACTCTTTCTGGTTTTGTTACATGTTTAATCTTCTTTTATTAGAAAATATTATTGCTATACTATACATATATTTCGGCAAGTAAAAGATGCTTGTTGCAGAAACTCATGTGTGGTGAATGAGTTTGGCTCTTTTAATCCGTCAGAGTTTGCTGGAGTCTGAGGTGAATGAATACATATTCTGGTGGTCTCAAGTCTCTTCTCAATTTACTTTACTAACATCTCTGCTCAAGTATGACGAGAGATCAGTACGACATGCAGTATTTTGGTAGAAAATAATCAAAACAGATCGATCTGTTCACCAACCAAAGTTCAAACTGGTTAAACTATGGGAATTAAAAAGTTAATTTTTTCCAATTATTCTTCAGAGCATGGTTCTTTACTGTTTTATCCAAAAAATTGGAATTTGCATGCTGTCCTTTTAATAACGCCATTCTTCATAGCCTTATAAATAAACCATAATATCCTTTATAATCAAAAGGGCGATAACTCCTTTGCTTCAAAAGATGTCAATCCGGGGTGAAAGCCCTTGATGTTTGAAGGCCATTCGACTCCTATGGCATACTTTCTTGGTTAAAGCACTTTTTTTGAAGCTGGTGAAACTAAAAAAAATGCATTCTCACAACTTTACGACTCAACATGGCCTTTCTTAGGGATCTCCTAATACTCCCTTGAATAGCGATCAAGGTTCACCGCTTCTGTAATAATAATTTACACCTCTCACAGCTTTATTAGCTTGAGAGAAGGCACAAAGTCCTTGAATGTGTCATTAAAACAGAAATGGAAGATTTTATTCTTTCTCCACTAATTTCCTGATACACCGTTTAATACCATAAAGACCAGAATAGGACAAAAATTCTGAATGTAGACACAATTTATGCCATGAGAGTGCTGAGTGCCTAATTTTGAGACTAATAAATTTTAGACTAGATTTAGACTATAGGATTTGCTCCATTGGCAAAATGGATAGCTAGAGTTGCTATATTTTTAGCAAAAAAAAAATGTAAGTTATAACTGTCGAATCACTTTCAACTAAGACCAAATGCACTTTTACAGAGTAATACCAAAATTACAATACTGTGATAGCTGATTATAGAAAGTAGACAATTCATTTCAAAGTTACTGTCATTCCTGTGTTTTTGAAAGGTTTTTTGATAGATTTTCAAAAAAATATGAAAATTTAATTTTTTTACAAAACATATTAAATTCAGAATAAAAAGTTTTTAAAGCTTTAAAAGAATGTTTAAGGTTGCGTTCGAAATCTTACGTAACCATAATAAAGAAATGCAATATCTAAAGTAAGTATAGTACAGTAATAAAACAGCTATAAGCACACACCGTGCTTGAACAGTCTAAAAGCCAATAGACAAGATCAAACCGGTATGTTGTAATGGTACTAAGAAATATTTTGCGAGACTTGTCACCATCTATTAGTTAAAAGAATTCCTTCGCATTCTTTAACATAATGAACAATAAATTTATTTCTAAAAGTACTTTTTAGAATAAATGTCAACGTTAATAAATTCTAATATAGTTTTATGAAAGTCTATCCAAAAATAACACAACTAGAATCGTCTAGAACATTATTTTAACAATAATGAGCTTCTAGTAACTTTACCAAGTTATTATTATCGCTATTATAAATTCTCCATTTCGTAATGATTTAATTCCGATGACGACGTAGATTTTCGGCGTTTCAAAAATAATAAAAAAAACTTATCGTACGAAAGAAGTGGGGACCTCGTACGCTGCTACAAACGATTTTCGTGGAGATCCTGACGTTCAGTACGACGACGAACCGGGTTTGAAACGCGTCGTGCCGCCGCCGTCAACAACAACAAAAACGCCACCGCAAGGTTAGGGTCCGTTATAGCGCGAAAAGTGAAACCAAAATTTTCACTTTTGCCATTTTCCTTTATTCATTGTAAGATTTATTTAACTCGGCAACGGTCGTGCTTATAATTTTCACTTTTGTTTTTTCTCGCGTTCGGGATTTGTGTCAAATAAGCTTCTTGAGTGCGTTATTTTTTCTTTAATAATTCAACGTTAGTTGTTTACATTGGCGCGTCGTTCTCACTTTCTACAACTTATTAGAAATAAATAGTTAAAAAGGAAATTTTGCATTCGGTCTGTGATATTTCATTTGAAATTTATTGGAAAAATTTTGTTAATTGTAATTTATTGTAAGTGGTTTTTGTGGTTTTGGAATTGTGGTAGTAATGATAAAGACTGAAATGAGTAAGAAGAAATGTTTGTAAAAGAGTTGAATGAATGCTGATGATTAATATAAAAATTTAAATGATTTATAAGTAAATGTTGGTTATTTCCAGAACGGTAGCATGGTATAAATTAAAGATGTAGTTGTAGTCTCGTAATGGAAAAACCCCTGAACTCTTAATATAAATTTAATTTAAAATTACTTTCACATATTTCTGTTAAAAATGTCTTGGAAACTCCGATTCATTTTATGTAATATTTTTAATGTAATTAATGTGGATTCATTAGAATCCACTTTATTTCATCATATTAATTATAAATTTATCGTTTTTACTTCTTTTTCGCTTCTTTCTTAACTTTCTATTTCATTCCGTATATCTTGATTGATATTGATTACGATTGTCTTAAATAGCAAACAGTTAAACAACATTTCTAAATAAATAAAAATCTAAATTTCTAAATCCAAATTTCTATTTTTATTATTAGAAACTTTCAAAATAGGACACCTCTATTTAAATTTTTCGTAAATTTCGTATACTTCACTTACGAATAAACAATTTTCGATATTAATCCCAAATACCAAGTTGATTGAATTCCTGAATACGTTGAACAAATTGTTTTTATAGGCCATAAAATATTTACAAATACCAAACCTTTTCAAATCGAAATTTTATGCTAGAAAACATCAGTAGTCGTAATCATCGATAAATTGCCTAACAAAGTGGCAATTTAAGTATAATGAAGGACAAAATATTTCCAAGATTAGGTGAACAAGAAATGACGAGGCGATCACAAAGCCATGGTCATCTTTGGTTTGTTGAATTCATTGTTAGACACTGAAGGTTTTGTATTTTTATTGGAATTCGATTGATTCATGATTTTGATTCAACCAAAATTAGAAAAGATCCTGAGCTGACTCAAAGTCTATAAATTCATTTTTGTCGATATCTTCTTCATTCAAGACTACTTCTATGTCTTCACGCACTTCAGTAATGTCTATAACATTTCTATCTTCATCATCATCAAAAAATCGTCTAAAACTTTATGAATTACTTTTTATCTGTGGAAATTTTAATTAAGAAGAGACTAGGATTTAGGTATATGCGTTGCGTCATAACGATATTAACTCCTAACTTCAGCTGTAGAAATGGATTGCAACAATTGCTGAATTTCGGCGAATGGAAGCACAACTTAATATCCAACATTAAAGAATTTACAGAATTTCTAAAAGAAGAGAACAGAGCCCCTATTGTGCAGACGGAATTGTACAACATGAAATTGTAGTACTTTTACAAGTCTCTCTCTGAATGCAAATTCAATTCGGGAATTCGTTTTAAAGAAGTCAACTGAAGTTGCATAGAATGGAACGGAGTCAAGATTCTGGCTATATTGACCGAAAAAGAATTATTGCTTATTACGAGTAACAAAGTTTAAGGACTATTGAACGAAGATCTCAAACTATGTTAGGAAGAATTGATTTGAAAGCTAGAAAGCACATGAAATCACTAGAATCAGCTAAAATCCCAGTAGTAAGTATTATAGTAGCAAAGATGAACAATTTGTTCCGGAAATTGAATTTATAAGAGGAAGGACAGTATTATTCCCAAGAATAAAGAGTAATTTTCCATTCTGGCACGCTGTGTTGAAGCCCTCGATTTCAAATTAGAGGTGTGTCACACTGAGGAACGCGAATATATAGAGTTTTTCGAATAATTTGATTGCCTCAATGATGGTGTTTATCACCTTTGTGAGTTGTTTGCGGAATAGGCTTTAACGGTTTTTCTGATTTAGCTGACGGCAAAATGTTGGGCATACTGTAAACATAATCACTGCCTTCACACGGAGATTTTCCATACAAACTTGTCCATCAATGTCCAATTTGTAGAATCATCGTACGGATAAATCTCAGCTGCAAATTAAACTATTCACATCTCTTTGTAGCAATCCATCTCATGGCATCGACAAGTATTCTGCCCCACGTCCAGATAGAGCATCATCAGCTTCATCTACCTCCGATACTGCTTTTCCTTATTTATGGTGAACGTCAATGTACGTAGATAGACCAAATTCCATTCCGACATTCGTAGAGCATTCTTTGACCATCTCCACCATTTAACAGCTCTCAGTCTATGAATATAACATGGTATGATCAAAATCAAGAAAATAGTTAATTTTTTTATTCCTAGATTGGTTTGTGCCTAAATTTTTAGTAATAATTTGTTAGTTTTCTTCCATTATCTAGTATCATGCTTGCTCTCCAACTTTCTATTAAGGTGCGTTCCTACGGAACGTGAAAACAAAAGTGTATTACGCCTTCTTGCTTTCATGCATGTGTTGAAGGAACCTTACCAGTCGTGGATTGTGGACCATTCACACGGATTGAAGTATTAGCGAAAACATGATACAGTTGATCGCGGAAAGTCGACCATGAACGAGCTGCTCATCAAGACTTGTGCTGTAATGAGTTCGATTTTCCGTGCTATCTTAGTACAAAGAATGAATTAGTTGCCAAAATCGGAAAAAAAGTGATGGTGGATTAAAATCTGATATATGAGACAAGCAGTAAGCGCTAAAGCAATTTTGATTGTATGGGTGTTGCTGAAACAAAAAAATTTTTGCTGTAAACATCACTGTTGGTTATTTTCTTGAACTCCTGACAGTTTGAACGTTTTTTGGTCCAAATCCAGGAATATTAAGCGCGTTAGAAATTTTCTCAGCTGCTCCAATTCTCAAATCTCGATTTCAGAATTGTTTGATAGTCGTATCATATAACACTGGTTCACTAGCATACGTGTATCAGATGTTGAAAGAACTTTTCAGATATCCTTCGACTGAAACATTTCAGTCATTTGTAGAATAATCCTCAGTGGCATGCACATATACTGTGCATTATCCCAGTCTAAAGGACTTTAAATTAAAGCATTTGGCAGATGTGTAGCTCAACAAGAAGTGTGGGTAAAGGGGTACCAATTAGACTTAGATGCCACCTGCAATTTGATATAAAAATCATTTATTTATGTTCATATTTAAGCTTAGCTTGATATTTTAAAGATTCGAATTAATATTTTTAAGTCAAATAACTTCGTTTCTAAAAACTTATTCATCTCCAAATTAAGATTATTTTTTGTTTCATTTCTTTGAAATATTAACGAAATTGTAATCATTTACAAATAGTTTTCTTCGTAATCATTAAAATATTTGTGCCTTTGAGTTTGTTGAAATCATAAAACTAATGAAAAAAACGACAAAATAAATTTAAAATAGCCATTCAATTCATGTTTTACTATTTACACTTCCAAGTAAATATAAAATTTAACACCTCCCAATAACCAAATAAACGTTGGTCAAGGATTAATTGTAATATTTTGCTGCCACCGCATATAATGATTCAGTCAATTTAGCAAAATCGAACACATTCCATTTTATTAACCAACTAATACTCGTAAAAAACTAAAATTGTGACGAAACGATTCGGTAAAAATATTTGCAATACTCAAGTGAATATTCGCGATAAAATGATTTAAAGACAAATTTAGTATATATTTTTTAATCGTATTTATTTTAATTTGCGTGTGTGTAAGGTTGTGACTTTCCCTTCGGTTCGTTCGTAGTCGTTGCTAAAACGAATTCAAGTGGCAAATGGTAAAACGTGGTTTGTTATAGCCGATTGCAAAATTCCTTCTTGCTAAAACTATACCAGAAGACATTTTCCTATATTTATTTTCCGCAGGACGTACACGTAAGACACGAGAAAGAGATAAAAAACAACATGTTTTGCTGGCAGTGAAAGTGGACATTGTATAATATTTTGACTTTTACCGTTTTCATCGAACCGCATTAATGAAAACGTCAGCACTTGGAACTAATAATATGTTAAAAACGTAAGTTTCTTTTTATATTATATGTATACATAAAATAAATATCAAAATCAATTTATTTTCTTTTGTAATTTAATAAATCATACAAAAAGTATGAACTCAACATCATATATTTATTATTTATACGTCTGAAGACGCACGACTAATCCAGAAAATTTCTAGGTCTAGTGTTAGTTCTATCGCTAGTGTTAGTCCTAGTTTTAGTTCTTATTCAACGTTCGATTGCTGTATATTTTCATTGAATTAAAACTAGAACTAACACTAAAACTAGAAACATTTGGGTTTAGCCTTTTGCTAAACCCAACGTATCTTGCAACGTATCTTGTCAAACATTCTTTTTATTTTTCATGAATAAAACACCAATTGAAAATCTCTGTCTGCTTTTAAGATAATAATTTTTGAATTTTTATGACTTTGTAGAGATAATATTTTTTCCATCGTTTTTTAAAACTCGTGAAAAATCGAATTTTTAAAATATTTTGATGAAAAATTCGTAATTTATAGAAGAAAATATGTACTTTTTCATGAACCAAACAGTATTTGAAAATCTCTGTTCGTCTTTGAGATACTAGTTTTTGAAATTAACCTCAATTTCTATGACTTTATGAAGTCAACATTTTTCGACAATCATCTTTAAAAAATCGCGAAAAATCAAATTCTTAAGATATCTTGATGAAATATTGACAGTTTATAGAGGAAGATATGTGCTTTTTGATGAACCAAACCGTATTTGAAAATCTCTGTTCGTCTTTGTGATACTAGTTTTTGAAATTAACCTCAATTTCTATTACTTTATGAAGTCAATATTTTTCGACAATCATCTTTAAAAAATCGCGAAAAATCAAATTCTTAAGATATCTTGATGAAATATTGACAGATTATAGAGGAAGATATGTGCTTTTTGATGAACCAAACTGTATTTGAAAATCTTTATCCGTCTTTGAGATAATAGCTTTTGAAATCAACCTCAATTTTTATGACTTTATGAAGTCAACAATTATCGACTATCATCTTTAAAAAATCGTGAAAAATCGAATTCTTAAGATATCTTGATGAAATATTGACAGTTTATAGAGGAAGATATGTACTTTTTCATGATCCAAACCGTATTTGAAAATCTCTATTCGTGTTTGAGATAATAGTTTTTGAAATGAACCTCAATTTTTATGACTTTACCACTAGAACTCATACTAGACCTACAACTAGAATCACTGTGCTAGTTAAAACTAGTTTTAATTATAATTCCGCGCTAGATTGTTATATATTTTTATTGAACTTAATTATAACTTTTGGCTATAACGTACATTCGCTTCTCCGTATTAATCCGTTATATCGATGTTTTCCTGTACTTGATTAGTTAAAAAAGTTTCGTAGTGAGTGTGGTTTGCCGATCTAGTGACCTTTGAGCTAGTACTTTTCAATGTTAAGTTCTGTTCAAGGCACGTTGTGAAACTCAAAAGACCTTGCGCGATTCCTTTTTTTAAATCGCGCTTTTTATGATAATTAGCATAATTGCCTCTACGATAATATTCTAAGTGCAAACGCAACAATCCAATTTGTGCATTAAGATATATGTTTTATGTGTTAAATTTATTTTTATTGATACGTTTTAGTGACGCACTCAAATCCAGGTATTGATGTAAAAAAAATCAAAGTAAAATCGTTTTTATTGCAAAAACATGGTGCGTAATGTCTTTATTTTTGTTGTGTCATTTGACAATACAATATCCTCAGGGGGGATTACTCCTTATATAAATGTTCGCTCACACTCTCTTTCTTCTTTCTGCGCGAATTTACGCAACGCTGACTCATCGTTTTATAAAAGTGAGTTGCACGAAAATTGGGTCGACGTATTCAGAGCGATTTTAATTAGTAACTTAGTATAGTAATTAGCAGTTTCTTTTTTTCTAAACTTCCTTATTTAGCAATAAACTTGTTAAGAACCTCATTAAATTGTTTGTAATCTTTGTAGACATCCATTACAATTTTTACGGTTATATTAACATAAGTTTTTTATTTTGGTTATCATGAGACTCATAACTTTTTCTTGTTTCGGTAACTTTATCAAATTTGGCGTTGTAAACAAACCAAAAAATTCTTTTGTAATACAATTTCGGTATCAACTAATTGTTTTTAGTAAAGTTTAACGAGGAAACGTACAAAAGATAAAACTCGTGTGCGTCTCAAGGTTTTACGTTCGCGGAATACTCATAAGATTAATCAGCATTTAATTAATTTCTCAATAAAAAAAAATGAGGTATTCTAACTTGAACAGATGTCGTTCTAATAAATATCTCGTTTAATTTAATTTTTTTGAACGAGTAAATTGATTGTGCAAAAGTACCTGAACCTTTCACGTACTTACAAGATACGACCTGATTGTTGTTCTTGAAGGGTAACTGCTTACGTAAATCTATTAAACTATTCGTCATTGTAACAATGGGAATTTAAATTAGAATAGATCACAATTAGTTATTAAATATATGCAGAAATAATTAAATGTTGGAATTTATTGATCGTTAAAGAAATCGATTTTTTTTTCTGCTATTTCTATAATTTAATGAATTTAGTGATTTATGAAATAGAAAATTTCTCAATTAGTATTTAAACAGTGAAACGAAGGCCATCAAGTGGCAACTTATCCAATTACAGAAAACATTACCGGTTAAAATTTATTTTGCGCGTAAATCGTGGTGGACAAACATAAATGAATGTATAAATTATTTTGCAAAATAATTTCTTTTTGTATAAGAAAATATTAAAAATAATAATGAAGTTACGAATACATTCCAATCGCCCATAAACGATTCGAATGGAGATAGTTTTGGATCGTTGGCTTCTAAAACTGACGTATTAATCGTTCGGTATTACGACACGTGAAAGTCAATGGCTGAACCACTTCAAAGTAATCGGAAGTAAATCGAATTTATTGCGATAAATCTATTGAAAAAATGTTTCCTCATTTTTTTAATATATTTTTATTAGATGTTACTGATGTCATTCAATCTTAAGAAAATCAATAATAAATGTGTTGAATAAGATTTCTTTCATTTCTTGCTATTTTACCTCATTCGCAATCTTTTACGATCACTTCCACCTATTCATTTATTTTAGCAACTTACAACAGCCAATTTTAAATTCATTCTTGATATTTCATTTCTCCATTCCATTCCACTTGCAGCTATTAGTGATCTGGTTCTACTGATTCAGTTTTTCAATCCACTACTTATCAATTGTAGCTTCAACTTGTTTATACAAGAATTATTGAGTTTTAATGTCACTATACTCTTGTAATTAAAACCAACAAGAATACTTCTGTCGTCATTTCGGGCGATCTTTTGAAATCCAGAACATAGAGATTGTAAGTAACTCAATAGTGCCAAATATTGTATGAGATTAGACTTAATATAAGAACCTGTATCTCTTTTGAAGGCAAAGCCAAGTATAAAAAATATGTAGTTTTACCATTACTAACTCTTATCTGTGTATGTGTTGTATAGACCTGTAGAACAATTTGCTTTACTGAGAGTTAGTAATTATGAAAAGCTCTTATTGATGGAGTTGCTGATTGCGAACTTGTATACTGCTGCTTGGTTCTAGACTTCCTTGGTCCTTTTCTCAATTCGATGGTAAAAACATTCCCAGGTAATAATGTGCACGAATTCAAATAAAAGTTAACTCCATACCGTCCCACAGAAACACCCTTCAATTTTTGCCCTTTATAGCTCTATTAATTTTATCATAATACCTCTAACCAAAATCATCATAATCAGCTACTAAGGTTTGCTCAAAAATTCAAGTTTATTCAGAATTCGGAACAATTCATAATCATGAAGTTGTTGTCCGTCTTATTCAACAACAATTGTTGCTCTAAGTTCTGGAATAAATTTAATCACAGGCTAAGAAATATAATTTTTGTACATAACGAAATTTGGGTTTGAGAAAAATCTCAAGTTCACAATTTTGTGTTTTTGAAATTAAAAATCTATTATGCACATTTCTTCCAATATCATTGTCACTTTCCTATTATTAAGTTTCTTCCTACTTCAGTATACATTCTATAAAAGCCTACCCAGCAATAAATCCAAAAACACACTGGTATCTTTGCTTCACTGCATATCTTTGAGATTATAACTAGGGCACGGAACTTTTGTAACAAAACGATACGATTTCCCCCCTCCACTCGTTCTGATTAAAAAAACAACATACTGTTCAGTGGGAAATTAAAATTTCAAGTTAAAAAAAAATTGTTTTAACAAAAATTGTTCCTGAAACAATTCTAAACAAACTTTGTCAACAATTTTTTTTGATTTAATCAATAATTAAGGAGATAACCTCAAAATAATAATTTTTCCGTTTTCATACATAATTATACTTAGATGCTTAATTAATAGAGATGTAAAAATTTTTTATTAAGATAATTGATTCAAAATCGAAATTGAAACAAATTTTATTTAAAACATTTTTTAATAAAAACAATAATTGTTGAGATAATTAATTTTGATAGCATACTATTCAGAGGGAAATTAAAATTTCAAGATAGCAAAAAATTGTATTAACAAAGGTTAATTAATAGAGATGTAAAATTTTGTTATTAAGATAATTGATTCAAAATCGAAATTGAAACAAATTTTATTTAAAACATTTTTTAATAAAAACAATAATTGTTGAGATAATTAATTTTGATAGCATACTATTCAGAGGGAAATTAAAATTTCAAGATAGCAAAAAATTTTATTAACAAACACTGTTCCTGAAGTAATTCTAAACAAATGTTGTTAATAAAAATTTTTGATTTGATCAATAATTAAGAACATAACATCAAAAAAAATTTTATATATATATTTTTATTGAAAAAATCGTTTTAGAATTTAATTTAGAACAACTTTTGTATGAAATTTTTTGCTGAGAACGAGTGGAGGGGGGAAATTGTGTCGTTTTGTTACAAAAGTTCCGTGCCCTAATTATAACAAACAGTTCAGCAGTTGTTTACCTCCCGTTTTTAGACAATTTAAATTTAAACTGGGCATTAATATCGAGGTTGAGATTATATCCTTGCTGGAAGTAAAGATACATAGGTACGAGGTTAAGATAATGGAATGTGAAGATAATTTCTGCAATTGATTAATATTACGATCTTAGACGAAGACTTGTTAATGGTTCACAGCAAGCATCTAATTTTACACCATTTCTTTTAACAACCTTTAACTACATCTTTTCTGCAAAGCACTATGCTATATTTTTTGAACCTTAATTAATGCTTTGATAGTTTTTGACAAAGTTTGTTCCAATAATAGTGCAAAATGTTTCTTCCTTCGAACGAGTTTTGCTAGACTTGGTACACTTTTTCCACCTTTCTTTCTAAGCACGAGAAATTGCAATATCCGTATGTTTAATACCATTTTTTGCAAATCTATTGATGTACACATTCCTCAAAACATTTCTTATTCTCTTTAAATACACGATTTATCTTTTGCAATATTTTTGCAGTTAATGAAAAGTGAAAATGTTAACCACGTAGAAAGTGAATCGAGGTCAATGTCGCAATACTTACGAGACGACACTCAAAGAGCCATAAACCTTGAAGTTCTCACTTGCCAAATTTCATATTTACTTAAACATAGAGCTCCGTTTGTGTCGCCGAACTTTACACGACGAAACCTTTTCGAACTCGCCTCTAGATATTTATAGTTTTCTTGCCATATTTAGAAGACCAACAGACAATGGGTTGCAATTAACCGAAGCCTAATTTCGTCTTTATGGACTATTAAAATTGTACAGATATGAATGTCATCAAGGTCTGCTTACGATTTTTTAATATATATTCCTTTGATGTGTACGGACATGTTTACTTGTCGATTTGTTGTGGAATCAGTAGTTCTAGAATTCTTGACCAGGATGGAGTGAAAAAATGTTGTGTTAAAAAAAATGTTGGTGTAAAAATTGATTTTCGACCATTTTTTAATTAATAACGTTAGGGAAAAAAATGTGAGTACTTTATTAAATCTTAATTGATTACAAAAAAAAATGATTATAAATTTTAATGCGAAAGTCTTGCTGTATTCATAAATATTAAAATCATTGTTTAACCCACTTTTATTCAGCTCATAATGTTACCTAACATACTAATTTTTGTGTATTCAAGTCTTGTACGAAGTGAACGCGATGGTACGATGCGACAACAACTTGGAATTCTTATAAAAAATGTACAATAGCAATTATTACTTTTATAACCAATTTTTTTATTAAATTCTTTTAATTGTTTTTTTCGAATATAAAAGATAAAATATGACATGTCATAAAAAAACTAAATTAAATTTTAACAATTAAAATGGTGTAGTTGATTGAAACATGTTTGCGGTATCCGCTATCCGGTATATTTTTCTATCTTGGGAAAATCGGTGACATAATCGTTTTCTGGGCGATTGGATCAAAGAAAGGTAAAAGATTTCCGAGAAATGCGTACAACTGCACGGTGAAAGGGGATTTACTTCTAAGAAAAAAAACGTAGAATTCAATCCCATTAGTAGGACATTTATGTTTGAGGATTTAGATAGTAGAAAAAACATATTTTAGAAATTAGAGAGGATTGTATGACACTTCCTTTAACATATTTTGAAATATTCTCGTTTTACTTTTTTATGGTAAAATTCGTTGTTTGCATTCACATCTAAATTATTTTTAGTCAAGAAAGTATTGTGACGAAATGTTACCTTAAAAGGTGAATTTCTTTTTTAATTCGATGGAATATAATTTTGAAAAATGACATTTATTGTGTCTAAAGATCTAAAATGTTGAGTAATAGTTATATACATACATCAAAGTCTGGAAAGTTGTCCATAGAAGATTTTGAGAATTTTATGGTGATGGGAAATCATCCTGAGTCTTATTTGTGATTGTGCCTAACTTTTTTGCTACCATCTTTTGGTTTAAGTTGTGCTTAGGTTAAAGACAATTTTTATTTAAAAGTCGTGAAAAATCGATTTCTCCACGTATCATGTCAAATTTTTTACTTTTTCATGAACAAAAAAGCAATGAAAATCTCTTTTTGCTTTTAAGCTAATAATTTTTGAATTTTTGTGATTTTGTAAAAATAATATATTTTTCCATCGTTTTTTAAAACGTGTGAAAAATCGAATACTTAAGATATTTTAATGAAATGTTGACAGTTCATAGAGAAAGATATGTGCTTTTTGATGAACCAAGCCGTATTTGAATATCTCTATTCGTCTTTGAGATAATAGCTTTTGAAATCAACCTCAATTTTTATGACTTTATGAAGGTAACAATTTTCGACTATCATCTTTAAAAAATCGCGAAAAATCTAATTCTTAAGATATCTTGATGAAAGAGTGACAGTTTATAGAGGAATATATGTGCTTTTTGATGAACCAAATCGTATTTGAATATCTCTATTCGTCTTTGAGATATTAGTCTCTAGAGACGGCTAAAGCCGAATGTTAAGCACAACGCTTTGTCATCAGCCGATTTAAAATATCAAATTTTAATTTCACTTGTGATTTATCTTTTTTGAGTTTGGAAATGATCATCAACTGCTAAAAGAATCAAAACAGTTTTGCAATTACAACATTACATGACAGTTTCAAGAAAAAACTTTATTTATATATTAATTTGTTAGACTTAAACGAAAACAACTATTTTAAAATATTTTTTTCACTGAAATAGAAATTGACTTGTTTACTTGTACTTTCCGTTTTGATTTGGAATTTCCTAATTGGCTATACACTTCCGATTAATCGGTGTCAAAATTACATTCATTTGCAAACTTTCCCTTTTTCTCATACGACCAGTTTCAGGAAGTAATAAAACTTTAACCATTACGATTCGAATAATAATATTTAACTGATAATGGAAAAACCCAAAACATTATTATTAAATTTAAAAGCTTTCCTTATTTACATAAACATGCGATTTCCAAAATTATTACATTAACAATTAACACGCGGAAATGAAATAATACAAATTTGAAATTATATTGAGGTGAAACTTACCTTAATCTGATTCACGTCGTTAAGTTTTTGCACTAATCCGTTTAAAGTAATTTCTAAAGAGATTATTGCTGTCTTAAAAACAAAGACAGAGAAACCTTGAGACACAAACTAAATTAATTATAAACAATACATGTTAAATTATTCGTAGAGAATGGTTTCTTCCGTTCTGAATAAAATGTGGAAAGTTCCGTTAATATTCAAGAAATTGCTTGTTTGTTTGTCGTTATTAAAATAATTTGTTTTGTTTTTTTATAACAATTCTTTTTCAACGTATTTAAATTTATGGTTTTATTTTCAGTGACGGTACAGCGATGGGAGAAATTGTTGAAGCGACCAACAATGGCCCGGATTTAGTTGGTGTCGAAATTCCACCTTTAAGAATGCAACAATCTTCCGTTTGGACCAGAAGTCAACAAGCTGTAAGCGTTCGGCATGCTTTCAAACATTATGGCACCAAGAAAAAACCTAATCATGTTCTTACCGATTTAAATATGACGGTGGCTAAAGGCACAATGTAAGTAAAATTTACTTTAATAATTTGAATACAATAAAATCTCGATATAAATGTTGGTGTATATAGATAGAATCTAACTCGGGTTAGATTTAGTTTTCTGTCAACAGTGGACCTAGTCTTGTATTACAAGTATATATTCTTCTATCAGTAGTGTCTAATCATCTGCAAGTAGTATCTGGTCCTTTATTAGTAGCATCTAGTCTTCTATTAGCAGACTCTAGTTTTCTATTACCATCATCTATTCTTTTTGTAGCAGTACCTAATCCTTCGCCAACTGCATCTAGTCTTCTATCAGCAATATCTAATTATCTGCCAGCAGTATCTGGTCCTCTATTAGTAGCATCTAGTCTTTTGTCAAGTGCAAATAGTCTAACATTTTTCATATAACGGTCTTTTGACTATAACGCACATTCCCTTCCTTGTATTAATCCTTTATATCGAGGTTTCACTGCAATAAGTTTTTATTTAAATCACTTAACTTTTTCATTAATTCAATACATTTAATGAAGCACTAGCGAAAAAGAAATTAAAACAATTTAATTGAATAAAAAAAGTAGAAGTAAGAAAATTAAATTAGACGATTGTTATTTATAGTTTAATTACTAAAACACGTTTACGACGTTATCGAGCAAAAAAGTAGAAATATATACATTATTTATTGTTAACTATGATTTATATACTGTTGCAATTCACTTTAACAAGACAGATCTAACCATTTAAGTACTCTAGAGAAAAAAAGTAAAGTCATTATTTCTCAATTTACTAGAACAAATTTCCATCTATAAATTTAGACAAGTTTGTATCGGTTTTAAACAAATTTCAATAAATTATTCTTGATATATACAAAACCTTCAATTTAAGTTTGAAGGTTTTTTTTAATGGACGGAATTTTTGGGTATAATTAAAAATAACAGCTCGTCTCCATCAATTTATTAATTCACTACAAACGCGAATAATGAATTATTCAAAGCAAAAATTTAAATGCGTGTACGCGTCCTCAACCGTATCATTACATGTCATGGGACATTAATAACACACGGCTTATCATTTTGACGAAAATGAAATAAATACATAGACGTACACATGGCATGTGTTAATTGCAGGTTTTTCGTAATTGCGATGAAACATAAAAGCACGTCAATTAGTATTGCTGAAACAGACATTATCAAATTAATTTAATCTTTTATTGTTAGATCTTTTCTAACTAATTTTATTGTTAGACAAGATATATCAATCAATATTTGTGTTATTTTATTTTTCAGTTATGGTTTATTGGGTGCTTCTGGTTGCGGAAAAACAACGTTACTTTCCTGTTTAGTTGGTAGGAGACGATTAAATGAAGGTGAAATATGGGTTTTGGGTGGAAAACCGGGCACGAAAGGTTCCGGGGTTCCCGGAAAACGCGTCGGTTACATGCCACAAGAAATCGCTTTATACGGAGAATTCTCTATAAAGGAAACCATGATGTATTTCGGGTGGATTTTTGGAATGGAAACATCCGAAATTATCGAACGGCTAAAGTTTTTGTTAAACTTTTTGGATTTACCTGGTCAAAATCGTCTGGTGAAAAATTTAAGGTAAGTTAAATCTTTTCTTTGGTCGAATAATTTAATTACATTACAATGTCTTTTGCTTCATGATGTCTTTGTTCTTGAATCTAAAGGTACAGTTTTTATCGTTATAATTTTTCATTTTGTTTCTTAACGTAATCTTGTGGAGATAATACTTATTCAAAAATTTAAATTAATTAATTGCCCTGCGGATTTTATTTGTTGGTCTTACCTAGACCTAAAATTATAGTTTCCAAGATCTTTGAATGTGAGCAAACACATAGCAAATAGGCCACCAATATCACACTATTAGTACTTAATGCCACGTAAATCCCTAAAAATTTTAATTATTAAGATTATTACAAATCCTAATAATACTATAATACGTAATAACTCCTAAATCAAGTAGTTCTACTTCGATTTTTTACTTTAAAGGTTCAATTAGAAAATAACTACGGTACAAACAAGTAGTTTATTTTTTTTCTATAACCTGTTAAAATCAATCATTTTTAGGGTTTCTGTTGGTATTACTTAAGGTCTCTATAAAATTTGTCATTTTCTAATTTCTAGTAGCTTCCGGTTAGAAATGTCAACGTCAATTTTGACATATTTGTAATTGTCGTGAAAAATCCTTTAAAATGATCCCAAACATGATAAGTTTAATTCCAATATTAAACTAATTTAACCCTAAATTCTTGTACATTTTAATTGATCTAAAAATTTTTTTTTTTTGATTTAATCCACTTACCTTGCTTATAATTTCATCCATTTACCCATTTTGAATTAAATATGACCTTTAAATCCAATTAATTATGTTTTTCATTAAAAAAACTTAAATTCAACGTGAATTTTGACAAGCAACTGCAATATTTGCATCTTAATCACCATGGTAACCGAGTCAAGCTGGATAACCTTAAAATAATAAAATTTTATTCCGATTTTTTTATCAATTAACATAATTAAAAATATCTTTTTTTTTATTTAACCCACCTTGTTTATAATACCTTAGATAAATCAATTTTGAGTTAAATACAGCCTTTTAAACCAATTAAATAAGACTCTTTCCTAAAAAAAAACTTAAATTCAATTTCAATTTTGACAACCACCTGCAATATTTGGATCTTAATCACCATGGTAACCAAGTCAAGTTACATAACCTAACAATAATAAAATTATAACCGTTAATATTTCGCTTTATATTTTAATTAAGTACAAATTTACTGTATAAACGTGCTTTAGTGTAATAAAATTAAACAATTATATGTCAAATTTCAATTATTCAGATATAAATTTAAACTATTTATGACATAACTTGATTTCAAAACATGACAACAAAATTCCCAGTTAATCTTACCAACTTTACAAAAATTTGACAGGTATTAGAGATAGAAACTGAGTGTTATCACAAATTCAGAACAAAACATTCATTAAAAAATTTAAGGATTAATGGCAAAGTAAAAAAAAAATTGTCAAATGCATCTTCATGATTTACACTTCTAATTTATACCTGTTCTTCTCACCAAACCTGTTATAATTGTCTTGAGCTATTTTACTATTGATTTTTCCCATTTCTTTTGTATTTCTGTATCTGAGGGCTTGTTTTATTTCTTTCTCTTCTTTCCACATGACTTTTAGTGTCATCTCCCAACACAATTTAAGCTTACTTCTTAAAAGTCCGATATATTATTAAACCAAACTCAACCTAACCCAGTCCATTCCAGATTCAGCACAATCTAGGTGTGCCTAAGACCACTCAGTCCAACCTCACCTCAAAAAACTTTATTTTCCACACGATTTTCAGTGTCATCTCCCAACACAACCTAAGCTCACTTCTTAAATGTCCAAGATATAACTAAACCAAACTCAATCCAACCCAATCCATGTCAGTTTCAGCACAACCCAGGTCTACCCAAGACCACCCAGTCCAACACAACCTTCTTTTTATATTTTTATACTCGAATTTTGTAAGCAGACAAGCCCCTTTTTGCTTCTTAAAAGTCCTCTTGTAATCGTCTAAAGCTCTTTGCAACGTCACATATATTCAAATCTCACTTGTCATATAACAATACTTTATTAATTTGAATTATTAATTTATTTATCATCTCTTTTAATTATATTTTTAGTGGAGGCCAACAAAGACGTGTGTCTTTCGCTGTAGCTCTCATGCACGACCCAGAACTTTTAATTCTGGATGAGCCAACCGTAGGAGTCGATCCACTTTTACGACAAAGTATATGGAATCATTTGGTTCAAATCACAAAAGACGGTCATAAAACGGTCATCATAACAACTCATTACATCGAAGAGGCACGTCAAGCGCACACGGTAAGTTATTAAAAAACATATTCGACGCGAAAAATATTCCAATGGTTGTCGCTAACAGGTTATGAGTAAAATTTACGTAAATAACTAAACTCGCGTTGATCAAAGTGCAAGGATAGTCCAATGAACAGTAAACAAACAACATTTTAAGACAACAAAATACCTTTTATTCACGTTTATTTTTGATGTATGTTTTTTTTTTTAGATTGGGTTAATGAGAAGTGGAAAACTCCTAGCTGAAGAATCCCCGCATGTTCTTCTTTCCATGTACGGGTGTCAATCACTCGAAGAAGTCTTCTTAAAGCTCTCTAGAAAACAAGGTCAACTCAATAACCCTACAGATTATCCTGTTAACAACATAAGCGCAGCGCAACTTAATTGGGATCGTAAAAATGACTCTATTTATGTTACTGAGGAAAGTGGTGTAGTAGGACTTAATTTTCATCAAAGTAAAGAAGTCCTTATTAATGAAGCTACTCATAACGGTATTCCTGATGTAAGCAAAAATTTTATCCCAAAAAAACATCTTTACCATACCATTTTTTTAAATTTTAGTTAAGAAATCAACAACCACCATCATCTAAAACACCATCATCTTCCGACGATTCTTGTTCTTGTAGTAACGTTACTTCTTGGGGTAAAATTAGAGCACTTCTTCAAAAAAATTTTCTACGTATGTGGCGAAATGTTGGAGTGATGTTGTTTATTTTCGCACTTCCGGTTATGCAGGTTATTCTATTTTGTTTGGCGATAGGAAGAGATCCGGTCGGATTAAAATTGGCCATTGTTAATCATGAAACGATGTTTTGGAATCGATCGTATCAAGAATGCAATTTTGAACAAGGCTGTGTAACAACGAACTACAGTTGTCGATATTTGCGACATCTAAAACACGATACGATAGTTAAAGAGTATTACGAAGATCCCGGGGCTGCAATACAAGCCGTAAAATCTGGAGATGCATGGGGGGCTCTTTATTTTACTGAAAATTTTACGGATGCTTTGGTCGCTAGGATTGGTTTAGGTCGAACTGCCGATGAAGAAACTTTAGATCAAAGTGAAATCAGAGTTTGGCTGGATATGTCAAGTAAGTTATTAAAACAAAAAGAAATTTGTTATGTTAAATTTATTGTTAATTTGTAGATCAACAAATTGGGATTATTCTTCAACGTGATCTACAATTGAGTTATCAAGATTTTGCGAAAGATCTATTAGTTTCGTGCGAACAAAATCCAGCTATTGCAGACGTTCCTATTTCTTTTAAAGATCCAATTTATGGTTCAAGTCAACCCTCTTTCACTGATTTCGTTGCTCCTGGAGTTATCTTAACGTAAGAAATAAATTGTATTATCTTTATTAGTTTGTTTTTAATTTTTATTTTCTTTTTTAGCATCGTATTTTTCTTAGCCGTTGCTTTAACGTCATCTGTATTGATCGTTGAAAGAACCGAAGGATTATTAGATAGATCTTGGGTCGCAGGTAAAACAAATTTTTCCTTAATACTAATAATAATATAAAAAAAGTAAAATTGTTTGCTGTGTCATCATAAAACTTTTTGCCCATCCCAAACTGGTTCTTTTAAAAATTGTTAAATTCCACTTTCTCTTAAGCCAGTTTCTTAACATTAAAATTTTCCATATTAAGAAAAAAATTTAACATTTTTTTTTTGTTTTTAGGTGTATCTCCGGGAGAAATTTTATTTTCACACGTCGTAGTACAATTTGTAGTAATGTGTGGACAAACTGCATTGGTGCTAATTTTTATGATGTTGGTTTTTGGTGTACAATGTAAAGGAGATATAGGTTGGGTTATTGTAATAACAATTTTGCAAGGTTTATGTGGAATGTGTTTCGGTTTCGTAATTTCGGCGGTTTGCGAGTTGGAAAGAAACGCAATTCAATTAGCCTTGGGTAGTTTTTATCCAACACTTTTATTAAGCGGTGTTATTTGGCCTATTGAAGGAATGCCTATTTTACTTCGATACGTTTCTATATTTCTTCCGCTAACGATGGCCACAACGTCTTTACGTTCTATGTTAACAAGAGGATGGTCTATAGCCGAACAAGACGTTTATATGGGTTTTATATCAACTATAATTTGGATTGTTTTATTCTTATCCATAAGCATGATTGTACTAAAGACGAAAAAAGGATAAAATAATTTAAAAAAACAACAAAAAATTCCTTCCTTAACGAAAACTAGTTTTTAGATTATATTTTCTTTGTCTTCTGGTATTTTTCAGTTTGGATTTGTCATCCGTTTCACACATCGCCCAATTTTCTTCCATCTATCTCTCTTTTCTTTGTACTTACGTGTAGATGTTACCATAGTAAATAGTTTTGTATTTCTATCCAAAAAGTTTACTCAATACAATAAGCAATACTTATTTAAGTATTAGCAATTACGACGTGACATAGATGCTCAAATACGTAGTTTTTTTTATTTAGTATTGATTAATTATTTACTTATCTGTTAATATGAAGAATACATAAGGTTATGTGATTGTACATTTTGTTACAAAATAAAATTATTTCAGGAAAAATTGCATTGTTTCATTATTACCCATCGAGTAAAATTTATTGTTAAAAACATTACTGCTGTAATTGCTCATTTTCTGCTTGTCAAGCTGCTTTTGTCAAGTCTATAAGTGTCAACAATATCTTTGAAACGAATGCGTTCTTTCTTATAAACGAAGTTACTATTCACTAAGTTATTTCGGACTCTTTACAATAAATGGGGGGGATCATACAAGGCTACATATTTGGAATCTCCTCTGTAAAGTACAGCTTTTTTACATCCAAACTTGTAAATTATTTTTTGGTTAGTCGTGGATCGATCGCACACAATGGCAATAGGTTTTAGACCAATTATCTTCAACTTCTGAAGCTTGTTTGGCATATTTTGATGTTCTACCAGATTTATTCATTTAGATTCCGACTTTTTAACATCAACCGTTTTGGTGACTAATTCTTTTTCCCAATTCTTAAGTTGCACAGCACAGTAAAGCTATTTTTAGCACTTTTCACAATAGTGAATTCGAACTAGTTTTGTGGATTTTCCTCAAACCCATTGTCTCTTGTATGCACCTGTTACAAAATGGATCAAATTTGGCAATTTATAATCGAAGAACTATTGACATTACTCATTCTCTTGTCAGAAAACTTTCGTTTACTATCCACATGATTTCCAGTGTCATCTCCCAACACAACCCAATCCCACTTTTTAAAAGGCCGACATATTATAACCAAATCAAACTTAGTCCAACCCAATCCATGCCAGTTTCAGTACAACCCAGATCTATCTAAGACCACCCAGCCCAACCTAACCACAGAAAACTTTATTTTCCACACAATTTTCAATGTCATCTCCCAACACAACCTAAGCTCACTTCTTAAAAGTCTCATATATAACTAAACCAAACTCATTGTGGCTAAAATAGAAACTTTTCTTCAATGCAATGCTCCTGTATGGTTTAAATAGCAGATGGCGATAACAAAATAACGCTGTTTCTTCTTAGAAACTGTCTGTCTGCTGCTCATCCTCAAGGAAAGGTTGCCGATTTTTGTGATATAACTGCATTGCTACAAGAGATCTTGCAAATGTTCGCAATTTGCTAGCGTTGTTTGGAGTGAAACTCTTTAAGGCAGATTATGCATTGTTGAATGACAGAAAAATGAAAAGTATAATAAAGCAAAAGAAATTTTAAATTAAAACATATTTATTTCAAAGAACAACTTTGTTTTACAATATTTGGAAATCAAAAATACTACAAATAAGTACACCGTTACTAAAAGTTTTCAAATTGCTTTTTAAGGCCAGACAGGTTTAATATACTCTTTTCCAAAGTGTTTTGTCACAATTACATATTTTAAGTGAAGTGGAGTTAAGTACCTGGCCTTCAAGTACTAAAAGTTGAAGAATTAAAATAAAATACCTACAAAATGATAAGTTCCTGCCTATTGTTTTCTCAGCAATATCAAGTAATTTATTTTGTTAAGAAAAATATTTGGAAGGGATGATACAATCACAGACTTTTATTACATATTATTACCATGTTGTTTTTTTTTCATTTTTAAAATTCTTTTAAATTCGAAACTAGCACTTTTATTCCATTGTACAAACATTGTAAGTGCAAAAATATATTATAGGCAATTCAAGAAAAATATTGTTACAATATCCATTTTTTTAAGTATAAATTTTGCGAATATCGTTATCATATCGGGTGTCTCTTTACATCAGGTACCCGTTACAACAAGTCATAAAAGAATTTCTTTTAATTTCAAAAGAATTCGAGAAAAAATAGTTAATGTACATTAATTACATTGTTATTAAAATTGTCTTTTTTACAATAACTTAAAAGAAAATCATCCAATAAATTTTTATCAATTTTGTTGTTGTTAATTCTCTTTTCCAACTATCTACAATCGCTCTAAGTCAAACTACAGGTAGATAATACGTGTTTACAATTAATACAATTTTAACGCCAACGATTTTACTTTTTTTTCGACGATTTTTTTTGGTGTTACATCGCGACGAGTATTATTTAAAGAAAAATTACAATATTCACTGAAGATTGAACAACAAAAAGACCCACAAGAAGAAAGACAAAAAACGACTAAGTTTAAAGGTACACTACGTGCAAACTTAAGGTGTATATATAAATTTTAATTTAATTTCAAAAAATTCTCTCACACCTTTCCTGCTATTGGAGCACTACTTTGTATTGATTTTGAATCCTTTCCATTTGCACACGATTGAAAATTCTCCAATCCATTCGAATGGCCATTCATTTTATGACTATGAGCTGGTAAATCTTCCGCATCTTTAATAACTAATTCAAAAAATAAATTATTATTTATATTATTAAGAGGCTACTTTACCATACAGCTCGGCAAATTACAAAAAACATACATTATTTATGAAAATATTTGGATGAAATTTTGTACATAGCTTCTTCTAACAATTCTACATAACGCATGGTGAAAATTTTTAAAGTTTTCCAAAAAAAGGGGTTTTTTTCCTCAATATTATAGAATTTGGTCGTTCTTTTTTAGCTTGCATGATAGTATACTTGAAAATAGTAACATTTTTCAAATAAATTTTTTCAAAATTTTTAGTTATAAAGGAATAGTTTGTAATTTGCTAAAATTGCAATAAGGTAGCGTAAAAATGAATATTTTCCGTCAAGATTCCCACGAAGTATTACCACCGCGTTAGTCCCGCCTCCTGCCGACTGAGCGGCGCTGACATCGACTCTCTTCATCGAAGCTCCTTGTTTTATCTATTACTTTTTAATGTGGTAGAGAAAATAATCATTTCCAAAAGTACGTTTTGAACTTTATTTTCCGTGATTTTCTACTAATGATTGTGTAATTTAACAAAATTTTTGAATTTATAGTCAATAGTTGTTATTTTATTGTGTACTATAGTGTTAGTTTAATTTAGTTTGTGTAAAGTTTTTATAAACAATGGGTAAGTATGTTCATCTAAAAAACTACCCCTTAGCATTTGAAGATGTTCTCGAAAAAGGAGTAATAGACGGTAATAATTTACGATATAAATTTTTATAAAATCTAAAATTTCATATTTTATAGTCCGAGATTCAATTGAAAAATGTATTCATTCCGAAAGGTAAGTTAAATTTTATTAATTTTATTGTATAAACTGTGGCACACATAAAAAGGACTTATTTAAAAAGAATAAACCATCACAGTAAAAATTAAAACGATACATTATTTGAAGCGATACCATAAGATAAATAATACAAATGATGCAGAACCAAATACTGATGGTGGAGAATAATTCATTCAACTGCAACAAAACTCGCATTAAATTTATTAATGAGTCAAAAGCAGGGCTTAGCAGCTCATTTCTTTTATGTTTTATGTGCGGGATAAAAAAGAAGCTTACACTGAAGAAAGCAAAGAGTCTATTGAGATAAACTCTGCTGTTGTTTCTGTTATCTGTCGGTACCGGATATACACAGGCTGAAGAATTATTGTTATGTGTTTGTTATTTATGTTAACAAAAACATTCCAAAAATATCAAGAAACCGCAAGTGACATGGCATAGCAGTTTATGAAGAACGCAGGTAAAGAAGAATTAATTTAGTTACAGCTTCAGGAAAAGTAAATAAAGACTGAATAAAGACTGTAAACGCTAAACGCTCGAACAACATCAATTACGATGCATCATCCGGAGTGGTACTGCTATAAAATAATTGTATACAATAAAATAAAATACTCGTGTATACAGGGTAATTCAGGTAGGTAGCGAAAGCCGATCAGGGTAATGATAGCAATTCGGTTATAATTTATGAGTGACATTTCACACGAAGAATATAAAAGAAAGAAGAATTTATTGGAAACTTGCAAGATGGATGCATTAACAGAAATAAAATACAAATTCTTACCAGAAGCTAAAGTACCAATCAGATATGGATCCAAGAAAGGTATCTGTGCCTAACTGCATCGAGATTTGGTGATGTATGTAGGATGAGAAATGACACGTCTTGCTTAAATAAAGTTAAATCAATCTTGTACTCGAAATTTGCTAGAAATAATAGCACTAACATGGCTAAGACTATGAATGGCTTGCATTAAAAAAATTTGAAAGTAAATATAACTTGCCAGCAAACTTTTGAGCTCTATTCATCCGTAGGATGTATGGATTCTTAGTTGCAAGTCCAAATGAAACAATAAAAAACGAAAATGCCATCGTCGAGGTGAAGTGTCCAGCGAATTTCAAGAGCTTACATCTATTCAACGATGGCAAATTAAAATTTCCTAAAGATTTTTCTAGTCAGGGCTGTTTTATTTATTACACTATTAGCCATATTTTGTATACTTGAATCATTATTTAATATTATTATTAATTAGGTATTACATATTATTTCATTTACTTATACAAGGTGATGCAGACCATGCAGTCCATTTTTTTAAACAGAAATATTAAAAAAGTTCGAATGAAAAGTAATAATATTCATAAAGGAACCACATTTATTCAGCTATTTTTTCTTTAATTTTTGTAACTACCTGTGTTTTCAAATAAAATTACTTACACGGTTACTCTGAGACACCTGTATATCAAACGAACGCATAATAATACAACAAAGATATAATTTATAAATGTTGTACCGAACTTTTCACATTCCCTGTATTGCAAATATATCTATTTTAATATAAAATGAAGTTATAAATGTTATTTTCGTTTCAAAATGATATAAATGTTTTATTGTTGTGAACCAAAATACTTAAAAAAACAAACGTAGTAAAAAGGTGGGCTACGACTACGATTATTAATAAAAAATCAAAATAATAAATAAATTGGAAAGTCAATAAAAAGATTGATTGTAATTCGTAATTAAGAAAAATTGTTAATAAACAATAATATTTAGAAGAAGTCGTTTAATTTCTTCATTAACAACATCGACGAGAAAAAGAATCGTAATAAAATAAACACGATGTTTTTTTTTATCTATAAAGGGTCGGGCCTAGTAGAAAATAAACTCCGCCTCGTTGCTTCCGAACGTCCGTCGTCTGCGCCCCTCAGAAACTGACCGACCTGGTAAAGTGGGCTCTTAAGATAATATTATAAATATTGTTGTTAATGATAGCGATGTAAACGACATCTAACGGTAGAAAAGAGAAACTATTAAAATGTTAAGTTAGATACAAAACGAAATAAGTTAACTTTGTAAAAACGAATTGTTGTATGTTTTATAAAACAAGTCTTAATAAAACTTTTAAACAAAACAGCTCAGTGAAACAGTTGTGTATTTGAAGACCATAAAAAAATCCCAGAATAACAAATATGTTAAACTTACTTGTAAGATCTTTACAAAACTTTTTGGTAGTTTTCCAATCTTCCTTAAGCGATAGATTATACATTGAATAATTCGGATCCCCCGTTACTTCTTTTTCAATATCTAGGAACGGTGGTAAACATTTTCTAAGAATTGCTTCGTCTAAAGCTGAATAAGTTTCTAATAAAATCAATCCTCTACATCTACACAAAAAAAAATTTTTTAGTTCTATTTTTAATTATTTTTGCAATATCTGTACCTTGGATGACTGGGTTCTTGATAAACATCAAGTTGAAAGTACTGATTATTAACCAAAAAACATCTTCTCTTCTTATAAACGGTTAAATGAGACTTATCCCTCTGTGCAAGTAAATTAATGTAATCCCTGTGATTGATTTGCGTTTTTACCTCAACTACTTGACCTCCTGGTTGTGGTTGCCTACGAACTGTATGGATGTAACTGAAGTTTCCTGAAAAATAAAATGTTAAAGAAAAATGTAAAATGGTTTTTAATAAAAAAAGCTTTTCCACACGTATTTATATACTTAATAAATCCTCAACAAAAAAAAAACACACTAAAAATTAATATAATTACCTTTTTAAATATTTTAAAACTCTAAATATTAAGTACTTATTAACCTAGAAAAGATTTTTTTATTATAAAAAGAAAACAAGGCTACTTTATGCAAGTCCAACATTTACTATAAAATTCTTTACAAGTATAACAAAACGTTATGGTATAATAATTTAATGGCCATTTACGCACAAATTATATAACAATAATCAACATAAATACAAAATAATAAATATATAAAATAAATTAAATAGCGCGAATGGCTGGAAATACATTATTTGTCTTTTTCTCACCTTTTTGACCCCGTTTTCTTAATCGCACTTGATTAGGAGAATTTGAGTGTAAATAGGTATGGACAACTTCGAAGTCTTGGAAACGGGGAAACAATCTTTCTTCAGGTAACGGTCCCTTAACCAAGAACTTCAATTTTCTGGAGTTCTTCAATAGACGATCTCCCGTATCTATACCCATTTTTTGACAAACGCTCCCAATCATGCGACGCATTTTTCCTTCAAAATCTGTTGAATTATCAATCACATCAAAATATGGATGGCCAACCCAAGCTGAAGCTGCATTTGCATCTAATTCACGTGCTAATTCAACACCTTCTGATCTACAAGAATGATCCTTAAAGAAAAAACAAGAAAATATAAATATCTTAGAAAATATATATTTTATTTTAATTTTTTACCTCTGTTGTATAGAATTCTTCAGCACCGTTAGCAGCGGAAACCATGTGGACAATTTGGTTGTACCTGTTGTCCCTGAGCTCAATATTATTCCACTCATTATCCGCTAACATCTTCTCCCATTGTTCTTTTGGTATGACTATTAATATAATTATAATGAGGGTTTAATATTTTAGAGGTTATTAACGTTGATTTAAGGGAAATGGAAAATTTCTTACAAGCTGAAGCGTCCATTGCACCTCTGTCACAGATAATCAAGCAATTTCCTCGACATGATTTACCCAATTCAAAGAAGGTATCTTCAATTTGTAACATTGTTTTCAATAGGTTTTCTTGGAATTTAAAAGCTGCAAATAATAAATATTATTAGTTATTAATATAGATATCGATTATTGAATTGATTTAGAGGGTCTAGAATTAATGATAATGTATATCATTTAAGCTTAGCAAATAGAAGCGAAGTGAACAGTAAGAGATAAGACGCCCGCTTTGTTTTAGTGTGTTGATTTGTGCTTTCATAAAGACAAAAAGTAAAATAAAATAAAACTAACTTCATAAAGGTGATCTTTAATGACTAGCTCTTATACGCGGAGTAACGATTTATAACATATGTTTTTCGATTGAAGTTAAAATGCAAACGTTTTCGTCTTGCACATGGATATGGATATACAATAAGAACACTGATGAAGCTGCAATTAGGGAATTGGTATTGTTTGAAACATAAGATAATGACTGCTAATGCAATAAATCATTACCATAAATAATCATGTCAAGAAAAAAATAAGGGGGTGGTTTTGTTGATATGGATCAAAAATAAGGTATAGAAAAAAAAAATATATGAATATAAATTGATGGAAATGTCATTAAACAAGCTGCATTTAGCTTGTATAGAGAAATTGCAGAAAGAAAACTAATAACTCTGAGACACTGAATATGGACAAAGAACTCTTCCTAGCGTTCTTAGATTTGAAGGCGGGTTTTGATCAGGTGGAAGCGCTCCAAGAATTACTGATAAAAGCAATTAAAAGCCTGTATAGCAAAGAAAAAGGAAAGGTAAGACTGAACAGACAGCTATCCAAAGCATTCCATATAGATAAAGAAGTAAAACATGGCGATAGCCCATCAAACACCAAACAACATCAACATCGAGAAATTTGTTATGTGCAGATGACGACATCCTAATAACCAAAAGCTAACGTCAATTACAAAAAAAATTAGAAATTTGGAAGAACAGCCTCGAATAAAAAGGAATGACCTTGAATAATAGGGATAAAAGCAAAATGATGCACATTATGAAGAAGTAAAATGAAACAGCTAAGAAATGAGAATGAATGGAAGAGCAATAGAAAAAGGAAGCGTATTGGTAAAGAAATAAGAAACAGAATTAGAAAACCCAATAAAATGTATTAACAAATTAACAAAACACTAACAGGAAAAGAGGAAGTAAACTCCTATGCAGAAGATCCGAACAACTTTAACCCTGAGTTGTATATTTTGCAATATGCAGACGACATCTCATATAGCCACACATTGAACAAAGCCACACCAAACCTACAAACTCAATACAACCAAGTATTGAAATGGTTACATAAATGGAGACTTACTTCCAATCCAGGAAAATTCCAAGTCATGGTTCTATACCACCGTATTCGTGAACACTTATGCATAAAACCAACTCTATCGGTTAAATACCGGGGAATAATTTTGGATAATGCCCAAAAATTATCCAAGCATTATAAAACCAAAAGAGACGAAGCAATCAGAAGAGCTAAATACTTCCGAACACTCACCTACAAAAACAAAGGGATACACACCAACACGACAATGAAGATCTACAAAGTCATATGCAGACCAATTCACTCTAGGATACTTAACCAATAAAATAACCATAGTAACTAAATGCGCGCCGGGCCTGAGAGGCCCGGTTTATGCATCCTAGGGTTAACTCAGCGAATAAAACTAAGAATATTATTGATAAAGCAGAAAGGAGATGCATAAGAATAATAACCAAAATGCGACATCCTAAAAATCTTCTGCAAAATATAAGTAATGAAGAATTATACGTTCGAACACAAATAAAACCAACGCGACTAAGGCACGAAGAACTAATTGGAGAAAATATGTTTGAAAAAATGTGGCCAATAAATAATGATTTCTCTCCATATATATGCCAACCTTAACATACTGAGCCAAATCATGGAAGGCAATAGAGAAACATCGATTAAAACAACTACGTCAGAAATGAAGTACCTACGACGGGTGGTAAGAGGGACAAGACTTAATAGGATGAGTAACAGAAGTATCATAGCAGAGTACAGATAGTACAAATAATAGAGAAAAAGAACTTCAGTGCTACAACAAGAGCAGATACCCAAAGATAACCATGGAGATGAAGACAGAAAGGAGAAGGCCTCGAAAAAGACCAAAGCAAAACCTAACAAGACAACATCGAGGAGAGAAAAAGAGGGAAAACGATGAGACAAATAAAGAAGCTAGCCAACAACAGGCAAGAATACAGGAAATGGCTCAACACCACGACACCGTAAGGTAATTGGGAGACGACAAAGTAATAAAGTATATATTATTATCGATATCATATTATTACTTAAATTTTCAAGTCAAGTAAATACTTTATCTAACATATAAATTGCATGGGTGACAAGAAAAAAGGGTCTAAGAAAGATAGAGTTGAAATGAAGTTTCTAAGAGCGATAAGTAACAGATTAGATCATATCATAAACGAAGATATTAGAGAGGAACTGGAAATTTTCGCAGTTAACGATAAAATGAAGGAATACAAAGAGAAATGGATGGACCACAGAATGCAAGATGACAGAATACCAAAATTGGCACTGCAGTATAAACTAAGAGGAAGACGATCAGTGGGTACAGGTCAACCGATAAGTAGACGATGACAACGACGACCACATTTCAATTAAAAACAAAATACCATCTGTAAATGAAACGTATTTCCCCAGATACTGCAGATGAAAGTGGTATCTTCTGAAAACGATTGCTAAAGAGAATCTGATTATATTGCTACAAAGTTTTAGAGGATTATATGTTGAACCTATAAATAGTAAATTGCGCTATAAAGCCACGTACAATGCAAGGTAGATATCAACAACATATGTAGACACACTGGTTGACTAAATGATTAAAACTTGTTTTGGTTACATGCTCCTTGTTATCTTAGAACACCCGAACAATCAAATTGTATTTCAGGACAATATATTAAAATTATTTTTAAAAGACTCTTAAAAGAGTCATAACTAGATTCTATGCAATTCATTAGGAAAATCAAGGTTGCAAATTTAATCAAAAAAAAATACATTATTATTTATGTTTAATCATCTTTCCTTATCACTTCGTTCTATCCTTATCTGTCTGGCTGTAATAAGGAATTATTAATACAAAAACTTTTGTAATCTAACAATGGTAATAATACGTCAATGAGGCATTTTATTTGTAGACGCATTTCCGTTATGATGTCTAATGAAGACTCATCACAATTGATTCAATGACTAAACAACTTTTATAATTACACAAGAGAAATTTGAGAATTAAAAGACAACCTTGAAAAAAAATTTCATTTTCGTTTGTTGAACAATGGAAGACAACGAAACAAAGAAAGATGGAGCTATAAAGTTTATTGATAGGGGGAAAACCTACCTATTTAGTTAAAATTGCAAAGTAACAAATGTGTTATTTTTAATCGAGGGTATATCCTTCTTGGGAGATCGCCAAAACCTATTATAAATTCTTTGGCTGCCTGGTACGTGTTAGAATTGGTGGGTGGATCAGACTGAATTCAAAGGATTGTATTAATCCTACGTTTTACTACGCATACAATTTACTTCCGTGGACGTTTTTATTCATGGAATATTTTTGTGTAATGTAGTAGAAGCAAAAAAAATAAAGGAAATAAACCCCGTAAAGAACAAAGCTAGAAAATCTAATAAAACGCATAATTTAGAAGAAATTAAAAATAGATTTAAAATAATATACATAAAAACTGGCTTTAAGCCAATAATAATAAACAAATAAAACCTTGCCAGGTGTGGTGAAATGACAAAACACCTCAATGACTAATAAAATAAAGAAAATTATTTCTTTAAAGCCACAAAAAGAAAATGTTTAAGATTAAATTAAAAAAATGATTAAAATTCCCAATTTTTAAATAAAAAACAAGATTTCGAACAAACAATAACAGCATATTTCCAGGTAGATTCCAATAATAGAAAAACCCAATGATTCATGAAACGTAAATCCGGTTATTTTGTTACTTTCGAGCCAAAAAAGGAAATAAGCAACAAACATAACTCTAGCTTATTTAAATATCAAGCTTATTATTTCTTATAATCTTACAATATGTGATATAAGGACACCAATTACAACTGTGATCCCTTAGATTTTGTTCATTTAGAAAAGCTACACAAAAAAAAATTGAAAACATTTTTCAAAAAAAATTCAATTTTATCTACCTTTGTATATTTACTTCAATCAAGTTTATCTCGTTATCACTACTAGTAAATATTTGTTACAGCGTAGCTGCGACATTTCTGTTAGTATATCACTTTTTTACATTTATTGCGATAAATTTCATCTCATTGCGTCATTCTAATATCAAATACTCCATTAAAAAAAAGATGAACCACTTTATAATTATCACCTATCACAATTTTGATTAGGAAATAAAACCTACAATTATAATTTAATTTTACCGCGTGCAATAAAAAACATCACACGAAATAAAGCGTTTTTGCGTCAAAAAGCGATAAAACGGATCCAAACCACGTGTTTGTACTCTAAAATCGTGTACGAGCGCGTGATTTAACGACGTTGGTATAAACGGTGATGTTAATCCAATTTGAGCTAAGGCGATTTACACAGATTTCGCACGGGCTCGGGTTTTACCAATCGTAACATCAAAAGGATTCACAACACGATTGTGAACATATACTTGATTTCTATTATTAAAAAGGTGTGGCGTGGCACGATCCGGCGGAGGCGCACGTTTTGCCATTTTCTTTCCGTCCAAACATGACAGGGTTTCAGATCGTTTCTATTTTTGAAATGACCCATAGTAAATTTGCTTCATCAGCATCGTTACAATACGACCTTGCACTTGACAAATGTTGTAAAGAGCAAAGGCGTATTGTATCGTAAATTTGTTAAAAGTAAATTTACACAAATAAATTAATATATTAAAAATAAAATATTCAAAGTACAAATAAGTCTCGTAGTTGCGACTTTTCAAAAAATTAATAAAAGAAGCTTTATTTGGTTTTCGCTTTTGAAAGAGTTGAATATTGAAGTATCGTTTTAGAATGCAATTTCTAAAATCAAAATTCTAATTAATTTCACTAAATTTGCTGTTGTAGATAAAATAATTTTGAACCTATTTTTCAACTTTGACATATTTGAAGACGATTGTGCTGTTTGACGGCTAAACACCAAAAGGAGCTTCATTTTATGTGCTTGTTCAAAAAATTAATTACAAAATTTGTAATCGTTTGGTGCATGATGAAACTGACATAATATATGATAGAAAGCGTAAGACAAGTTTTCGGAGATCTGTCACTCTTGATACATGCTCACTTTGTATGACATTTATCATATTTACAGTAATGTGGTAACAGGTGAATTTGGTATTTTGGCTAATTTAACATTGATGAAGAGTTAAGTAGAGACTATGGACAGAAACTTGACTTATCAGAAGAAAATTTGACGTTTTTGCTGTCAATGTTAATGATAATATATGAGAGGATAAATTCGCGTTTCTCCTACATTTTGGTTGGTTAAAGTTGGATTTTTACCAAAACACATTTCGTTCTAATATCTTAACGCTATTTCTTACAATTATGGACCAAAGTCCTGAAGTATTACATATTTCTGAATTTGTTATTGAATTATTAGAACGAAAATATTGAAAAACTGGCCTCCTTGGTAAGGAGACTACACACATGTTTTAATTAACTTAAAGGATCCTGAACTGTAATACCGTAATCAGAGTAATTCAGAGCAGCTGTTGCATCTTTTTGATCAAGCTAGAGTTTCTGCACTGTAATCATTTCTTGTTTCTCGTATTTTACGTAATACCTAAAGTAATATAAGTCATAAATTGTTAATTGTAGAAATCGAAGCAACTAATTGGAAAGTTTTTTCATTGTAACATATCGCGATGAGTTTGCTAATGGAGTGTGTAAGATAGTACAGTAAATGTTCATTCTGTTCCTCTTTGTTCTTTGTTTCCTGGATATCACAATGTTCCCCGGTAGTCCTATTAGATATTCCCGGAGTTCTGCCACAAATTTCTACAGAATAATGATGATATTCTCTCTTTTGATCCCTTAGAAATCTTTGACATTGTCTATAAGAAAAATTTTGCAACTGATGGAAAAACAAAGATGACTATACAGAGGCAAATAAGAAGCAAAATACAAGTAGCCAAAGAAGGAATTGAATGGTGGAATTGCAAACGAGGTATGATGACTTCAATCTACATAAAAAGGATTAAGGGATTAAAAAAGCAAACACAACCAGTCTTTTATTAAACAAGAATGGTAAGATGATCCCAAAAACGAAGGGGAACCAGAAACTGTTTGAAGATGAGATGCCACAGAAACCACTTAATGAAAATATCCACAGTGATCAAGGATCAAACATAACGAAGGTTATCCCTACTAAAATTAAGCTTCAGGCCCCGACGAGGTCCCAACGAGATAAATTTATCATTTACCAATTATGACATTTAGCACAATTTAACATATTGATAAACAATTTGATATATTACAAAACTATTATTACTTATTACGGTTTTTTTTCAAATTATACACATTACAAAACAATTTGACGTTAAATGTAACTTTTTTTAATAATTATTTACTTGTATGAAAACTTTGACATTAATTTTGTCATATTTGATTTTTCAGCAAACAATTTCGACATACACTCGTGCCATATTTCCCATTTCGGGTCACAATTTGACTTTTACGCCCTCACATTTAAGGCTTTAAAACTTAATTTGACATTTGATGTCATTTGTGACACTTCGAATAATAATTTGACATTTACTCCGTCATGTTTGACATTTTGGATATAAATTTGATATTTAGACCCAGTTTATTCACCTTTGGTTACATTTAACTACTCAATATTTTTCATGGTTACTGTAATTTCACTTGCCATGATTGGCTATCTGACCAGTAACTATGTTAAATATCCAATAGTTAAATTTAACCAAAGGTGAATAAACTGGGCCTTAGAGTCTATCATATTTGATGTTTCAGATAATAATTTGAAATATACTTGGTTGTGTTTAACATTTTAAAAGATAATTTGCCGTTTACTCGTTTTATCTAACATAAATTGGATGGGTGACAAGAAAAAAGGGTCTAAGAAAGATAGAGTCCGCGAAAATGAAGTTTCTAAGAGCCCAAGGGCTGTAACAGACTACATCATATCAGAAACGAAGATTATATCGCCGTTAACGATAAAATCAAGGGATACAAAGAGGAATGGATGGACCACGTGGCTAGAATGCAAGATGACAGAATACCAAAATTAGCACTGCAGTATAAACCAAGAGAAAGACGATCAGTGAGACAAGAAAGAGGTGGTCTGAAGGAGAGGTACAGGTCCTAAAGATTAAGTAGCCGACGACGACATTTGGTTCGTTAAGACATTTTGACATTTATACTCAAAATCAATGGGAAACAATTGCATTTCAATTAATAATTTGGTATTTACTAAATTTAATATGTGGAAGATAATTTGACAATTTAAAAGACAAATTCGTACATATCTTAAGAATCAAATTAAATTTTAAATAAATTGGGTCGTTTTAAAGATAACCTTGATGTTTATTTTTTGTTGTTCTGATTATTATGTTGTGAAATACTATGAGAAAGTAAATCCAAAAAATTTCAAATAGTGATGAGTTTGTTTTTGTTTGACAAGAATTGACTCAAAATTTGTTATGAAATGAGGTCAATCAAGATAATGTCATAACAAATATCTAATCCCAGAAGATTTATATCAACAATTCTATCAAAATTATGATAAATTGTTATCAATCCTTTATCTAAATGCATCAATTAAAATTATTATTAGTGTTGAATGATTCCATAACATTTCTGATTTAATTAAAAATGATATATTTCAACAATGCATGTTAAAAAACAGATATTTAGGGTTTTATTTGGTGATGAACTTTGCTGCAAACATTTTCTATACCAAAATATTGATTTATTTTAAATCTTGGCTTGTTAACTTGTTTTGATGATCTGATTGATTTATTTTTACTCAACTAACTACATACAGTTAACTAAACCATTAGAATTTTCAATGCAAAATCAATTAATACCAAAAAAAAACTTATGGAACTCAGTCACGAAATATTGCGTGACTCTAAGCAATAAAACAAATATTAATAATTGCATTCTATTAAAAAAAGATTGACAAAGCTTCAAAATCTATAGTTATTACGTAAAATAGAAGTATAGAATAGTCGACAAGGAATTATTTGGTGAACGATGCCAAAAAAGTTGTTTGAGAACAGTTGCACTTGCAAAAACAGCAGCCAGGATTTTGATCCCAAACCTAACGTGTATTATTTGGACGGTGTTCGAATTGAAATAGAATTTTCTAGCGTTTCTTTACATAGCTGCTTCTCCCAGCCTAACTAATAACCGTTTGCCCGAAAAACTAGTTTAAAACGAAAACGACTAAAAATAGTTATGATCACGTAAATATTTAACGCGACTCGGTTGGTTACGTTACAAATTATTTGGGGATTCGCGGTTGGTAAGTGGCCAAAAACCGTACATACATGAGTGACTGTTTATTTTTGGTGCAAATCCCGGCGGGAATTATTACTTCATTCAAGACTTTGTTTAAAAAAAAAGCAATTTTTAAAGCGAAATGAGAAATAAAGAATCTAAAGAAACTCACCTTCAACCACACTCAGGTCGCTGAACTTTATGCCACCACTGAAAAAAATGAAAAATCACACAATGAAATACAGAAAGTAACTTTCTTTTTAAATATAAACAAAAATCAACATAAAAATGAAAACGCGCGTTTTTTTAGATTGATATTTTAGGCTCATTCATAGATTCATTATCAAATTTAATAGTTACTAGGTCAAAAATGAAAGACTTTTGATAAAAATCACCATTAAATTTTAATTAACTTGGTTATATTTGAATGTTTTGACTTTACAAAAAGATAAATGATATAAACATAAAATAAAAAATGTTATATCTACAAGGACAATTGATTAAGGCTAAGCACACAGGGTTGACTTTTAATCAGCCAATAGTTTAGTTGATGGATATAAATGTATTAAGTTTGCAACAATTTTTACATGTAAACTTAACATATTTATGTCCATCGACTAAACTATCAGGCGATTGAAAATCGACTTTGTGTGGCTAGCTTAAAGAAAATGATTTATCCCCAAATTTAATGAGGGTTTCTATATGTACAAGAACGAATCGCGTCGATCTACAATACTCTCGACGTCTGTACATTTGAAAAACCTACCTCAACAATACGCTTGCGGTCTCTGGGACCCGGAATACCTGCGAACAAGGGACTATTTCGAACATACCCCCCAAGTACAAAATAGTAAAGAGGCAAATTTACCTGAACCCAATTTTTATATTTTTTCTTTTAACCAATTAAAAACTATAGCAACTCACCTTCCATCCTAAATTCTCGAAAAACGTGCATAAACGTGACTGTCCTGTTGTTTTACCACCGCAAGGTCCTACATTTGAAAAAAAAACAACAAATTTATATTAAAAACTTTAAAATCATGTGATTTAATATCATTAAATTTAACCTCAATCTAAAGAATAAAAAACCACGTTTTTATTTACGACGCAATTTAAACTTACGACTATTGATTTACTTGAAAAGTACCAAAGAAAATTTGTAATTTTACGGTTAAGTTTCCTAATTGGGTTTTATCATCGAATCCGAATCACTTACCGCCTGTCAATACTAATTTGTACAGCCTTTTATTGGTTTGCTTCTCCATGTCGATGAATTCTTCTTTTAAAAAGTAAAATAATTCTTTTTTGCCGGGTGAACTGTTGATTCCTGGAAGTAGCTCCCGGGAGTTTGATGTGTTGAGTTATAATTTGAACGGTTAATTAAAGGAAACTGGTTACAGAGCACATTGTTACATCAAAAGAGTTTCTGGCGGGTGAACATCATTATTCTCTACGAAGGAGCGCAGAACGCACCGGGGCGCACTAACGTGCGGTTTAACGAAAAGTGACAGAGAAATTTTAGACGGATATATTTTTCCAACTCGGTTGGTAGCAATGATTTGTGCCAACCGTTGATTATAAAAGTCACTAATCAATTCAAATTGATTTATTAAAGTGTAAATACATTTTTTATTTTGAAACACATACTTTTACACAAATAATATTATTTCGTTGAAATACAAAGAATTGTTAATTAACGCTTTATTCGAAAGATGAGTTCTGTTATAAGTCAATGTTTTTTTTGGATACATCTTACAACCAATAGATGGCAGAATTACAATTATCTGGTTAAGTACAAAAATCAACCCTCACTATCTGAATACAATAACGCTAAACTAATTTATTTAATCATTTATGTTCTTCAATACGCCTTTAATATTGGGACGAACCCAATAGTTGCTTCAATTTGTTATGTAAAGAAAATCTGTTTCAACACTTTCTGTGATGACTCATCACAGTCACCACTGATATGCCATAAATTTGAAGTCAAAAACATTGCTTTTGATCAATTCCTTTTGGTGAGTTAAGCAATTTAGATCTGATTGCAATTAACAAGTAGGTAATTAACACAAATAATTTTGGTTCATATTTTATTAAAAAAAGGGAAATAAAAATAAACTTACATTAACTCATTTCTTCCATAAGAGTAACCATTATGATTATGATATATACAAAGATAATATTCAACGTTTTCATAATGTTACATCTTTTTTGCTTTATTGAATAATCAATTAGATGATAAAATATATCTTTTTTAACCCTGCCAATGCTGTAGAACTCTAGATTTCTTATTGAGGTGCATCGCATAAGGCTACACTAACGTATCTAACAGCGAAAGGGTTAATCAAGCATTAATTATCAAGTACATACTTCAATGTTCATAACCACTGCCATCATACAACACCGTCATCTAGTGATCATACGCCACAGCTAATAATTATTTTACTATATAGACAGATTCCTACATTAAAGATCTCCAATTTTTCGAATTTACATTAAAATTTAACGTTGAAGTATTTAACACGACTTCATTTATGGAACCAATTAACCGTGATTACTGCAATTCATAAATTTAGTTGGGTAATGGTGATAAGTAAAGAAAGCCAAAAATTGGTGTACACAAAAAAGATCATGCAGCAGTAAAAAAATTGATTTAGAAACGTATAATGTTTATTTAAGAAACAAATGTACTACAAAAACTTTAGAGAATGAAAAAAAAAACTAAAAGCATAAAAAATGCGTTTATCCCTTTTATTGTTCATCGTAATTTGGGAGGGCCAATTTTAGTAGAACATATCACAGATAAGAGAAAAAGGATAACATTTACAAATTATTATGAGTAAGAAAATCGCTTAGCGTTAAACTATAAACAAAAACGATATAATTTAAGTATTTTTTTTTACTATAAATAATGGAATTAACGGTTGGAATACTGAAATGACGAAAAAGAAAAACATTTTACTTACGTTCATGTGCTGAAAGTAACCTAAACAAAATACCAACAAAAAGACTATTTTATTATAATTATTATATACACGTTTTATATAACATATTTTTTTTCTTAAGGTTTGTTTCAGTACATTAACGATACAATTACAAAAGAAAACATCAGTAGTAAATTATTACAAAAGAAAAACGGATCAAATTATTTTTTTAAAAGCCTATTACTTACTTGTTCGCGGTCTTTTTCGGTATTCGATTGGGGTGAAGATACCGTTTGATTAACGGTAACACCCGATTGCATCGAAACCGTCACAATAGGACTATTTGTATTAATTCCCGAGCCAGACGACGTCTGTATACGAACGGGACTACCTTGTCTTACAACAGATTGATTTTGTAACGCTGCTGTTACTTGCGACAATAAATGAGTTGGTGATGTTACATTTGAAGGTACTTTTAAACCTGCCAATGCTCCTGCAAGTGTTGAAGATCCTTGAGGACGTATTGTTGTTGTTATACCTTGAGATGTCGCAGCTACAACCTTTATAAGACAATTAAAAAGTTATATATTTAATACAAGTAATTAAATATTTACTTGTATTGTTGGCTTATTTCCTTGTCCAGTATTTACAGGAATAACCCTTGGTGTACCTTTTGCTAACACCACAGGAGTTTGTTGCACAGTTAGAGGTGTTTTAATAACTTGTTGGAATTGTTGCATATTAAGTGGTCCAGTTAAGGGTTTTGATCCAACAATTAATTGGGTCGACACACCAGGTTTCCCTGTAACTTGAGCGATTCCAATTTTTTGATTAAATATTTTCTTCTGGGCCAACATTTGTTGTTGAAATTGAATGTGTCGGATTTGTTGGGGTGTACTCGTTTTTATAGTGGCACCTGGTGCTAAGGCTTTAACTTGTCCCAAAGTTACCCCAGTTACAGGAATTGTCACAGTCTGTGTTACCCCGGTGCTTGATACTGCTTTCACCAAAGTCGCAACTTGCGTTCCTGAACTTCCCGCCTGCTGTATAGTTTGTACAAAACTTTGGGGTGTTATACTTTGAATACTCGAAGGTTGCGACGAAGCTGTTAACACTTTTTGATGAAGTTGTCTTTGTTTTAATAACTGAGTTACTTCACTATCTGCTACTCGAGCGATCGCTTGTTTATTTATACCCGCTGTTCCTTGTTTTACATACTAAAAATGGATAAATTTAATGATTTTGTTTAAAAAAATTTATTAGATGTAACTTACACTAACTTGAGCTCTTGGTTGAGCTTGAGTGAACTGAACTTGTACAGCTGGTTGTCCAGCGATTGTTACAGTGGTGGTTTTAACGGCTTGAGCGGCTGTTAAGCCACCCGTTTGTAAGCGAAGCTGCTGTTTCAACATTGCTTGTCGAATAATTTGCTGTTGAGCTGGAGTTATTGTTTTACCAGCAGCAGTGCCACTTACGATGGCTTTAGCTTGGACTGGAGTTCCAGAAACGATTAATCTTTGAGTGGTTTGCTGAAGTTGAGTGGCGTTTAAACTGGCCACTGGAACTCCAGCTGTTGTTTGAAGTGGGGATGCTACTATGCGTTGCGTTCGAATTGTAGCTTGAGCTGAAACAATAACCAATTATTTTTCTATCTTATACAAGGATGCATTACATACCTGGAGGTGTACTTGGAGTAATCGTTGTCGTAGAAACAGCAACAACATTACTGGTTGTTTGAGTAACAACATGACTAACGGTTGAAACAACAGTTTGTTGCGTACTATTTGAAGATCCAGCTTGTGATGGGGTTGTTTGAGTTTGTACGGTTCCAGCAACACCTTTCAACAACCTAAAAATGTACGTTTAACCAAACAAATTCTTTCTAAATATAATTCTTCATTTACCTTTGCGAATTTTGTTGATCTTGCGGTTTCTTTTCTCTAGCTAACCGTTCAGCGCGACGCGTAGCAACATCTCCTGGTAAAACGGGGTGGTCGATATCGATGCCGCAATCGTTTAATAAAGCGGCGTGTTTGGGATGAAGTTTCACAGTTCCGGAAGTGGATGTAGACCTGGACGTGGTAGTTCTTCGGGTTGTGTTTACTTTCAACGCGTCGAAACGTGAAGTCATAATTTGTGAAAATGTTGCATTGTTGTCCTGGGCATAGAGTTGGGAAGTCCTAAGAGGTCTTCCAGATTTGTTCTGCGTGGGAAATTTGTACGGTAAGTTACCCTTGATTTTCTTCTTTCGTGAGGACGTGTCTAACACCTAATGACCATTGTACAAGACTACAATATACGCGGAGATCGAAGAAAATATTTGTGGCTTTTTAAAGAAATATTAATAAAAAATAATGTTTAAAAAAAAATAAAGAAATAAGATTTTAATTCCTTATGGAGAAATAAGATTTGATTTAGAAAATCATTAAGATGACATTTTAAACTTAACCATAAAAAATTATGCCATAAATTTTCTTCAAAGAACAAAAAAAGAAAATGAATATGCGAGGGATAAACAAAATAGGTCAACAAAACGACAAAAAAAAATGGAAAAACGACAAATTTTTTAATTTTATTTACCTGTTTTCCTTCTTCTCTAGGCATAATAACCGATTCATATCGATGTCTGCATTGCTTAGGACTTCTATAAGTCACAGAAACTGTGTTAACGAAATCAGAAACAAAATCCCAATTAGGCGTATGTCCAGGATTAATCAAACTCAAATTCAAAGGCAACATTTGGAAGTTTTGTATCACTTTCAACAGAGTCATATCTTCATAGATTGTCCAATTGTGGAAACACGGCGGTTCCACCGTCGGTTTAGACGGTTGTAACTTAACTCCAGGTAAAGGAACCGGCGGTCGTATAATACCTCGATACTTTTGCAACTTATGATCTCGACGCATTTTCATTAAAGCAGGAGATGGACGTTCAAACAATGATCTAGGCGGAGCATACATGGTATCATCTTTTCTATGAATTTTAAACGGTCTTCGACTGTCGACCAAACCCGATTCGTGACGATTACGTTTGTTATCTTTTTTAACGTAAACTGGTGGGAGTTGACTTTCAGACATTACGTTTATATCATAGAGGAATGCCATTGTTTGATCTATGTAAACATCTGTGTCTTGTTGAGGCGGAGTTGGTGGACACCACATCTATACATTAATAAATAAATTAAATTTTGGAAAGAATATAAGATATAAAAATTAAGTTGCTACTGAAGTTTCCTGGGCTTCTACACAAAATCATTGGTTAAACCATCAAAATGGTTTTTAGATATGTTCATAGGGTTACAGATTGTGTTTAATCAATATCATTTTAGATCATCATATCTTATTAGTACCTTATTCTGTGTCAATTTTTGTAAAATTTACACAAAAAAATTGACATGGAATAAAATGGCTCTAATAAAAACATAATTGTATTAAAACTGTACTTACAGGCATAAGTTCCATTGTATTATCCGAAACCCAAACCTGAAAAAAAGAAATTTTTAATAACTATCTAATAAGATATTAATTAAACATGAATATTAAGCACATAAAATACCATACATACCAAAAAAAATTAAACTGTTTTTAAAAGAATAAACATACACAATTCTAAATTCTAAGTAGTCACAAAGGTTTTTAAAGGATAATTTAGAGGAATATTATTGATGGTAGTGGTTGAAAGGGTAAGGAAAGCGTAGGTTCTGTATTCCACAGAGAAAGAAGCCCTCTTGCTCGTGTCCAGCGGGGCAGTGTTTTGGTGCCCGCTGCGGCACGCCGGAGCAAGATGGCACCAAAACCTACGCCTTTACCCCGCCAAATCAAACGCAATTATACGCAAGAGAACTTCTTTATTGATTTTTTTGCCTTACACTATTTACAGTCGGGAGGTACCTTACATTTAAACAACAGACATAGTGTAGCAGCAACACATTCGCAACTCCGACATATACGCGCGGAATTCTCTCTCGTTAAATTTTTTAAACATGTTTTACACGGTACATTCACACATTTTCAGTAATTTTTTTGTTTCTTTTCTATTTAAATTATGTTGTTTACTAATTATGTAAAAAATAAATCACAGACAAAATGTAAGAATATGTACTCTTCCGAAGAAAAAAAATATATATAAATAATGAATTTTTTGATTAAATTCAGAATGTTTAAGTTGGAATTATAGTAATAATTAAACATACAACATTTTAAAAACCATTATTTAACGTGAGCTTTCAAATTTTACTCAACTTTTTGTGAATAAACTAAAATATGTAGACAACCAATTCAAGAAACTAATTTCAAATTTTAAGTTATAAACACCTGAGAATGATGAATTAATAAAGATAAAATGATTAATGTAACATTTTCGGAAGAGCTAAATCATACTCCAACATTAGCGCAAGGTTGTCGTTCACACTCGAATATAATTTACAAATGTGTACAATAAAAATATTTCTCAGTAAAAAAACTATAACTCTAGTATTTTGACTATGTACACTTGCGATTCCGTTCCAGATTCCGTTTCTTCGAGAATCGCACTTCGATTGCTATTTAATAGTCTATTTGTAGAATAAATTAATAAAAGAGGAAAGAGAAACTAAAAACTTTTTTTTTAACTTTCCGCTCGTCCGATATTGTCAGGACTTTTCGCGTTTTTGCACACGTCTTTTTTCTCGTCCGCCGAGATATCGTTAGTGCTAATACTATCGGCATCTTTTGAAACGTCATGTTTAGGGGACCTCGTCACCCAAGTATCCAAACTACCAATCTTATTATCTACACATTTTCTAAGATTTCGTTTCTGTCTTTGAGGCGTTAATTTCGTTTCAGGCGATTTTAAAGTACTCAAGTCAAACAATTTTCTTGTTTTTACACCTTCCGAAATACAATTGCCCTTTGAATCATCTTTACCTTGATCTAATTTCATCTGCTGCACTTTATCAGCATTTTGTAACGTAAGTTTTAATTGTTTGTTAATTTGTTGGGTTATAGAGTCTTTTTTGTTATCTATATCGCTTTTATTTTTCGAGTTTTTGTTTAAGGGTTTTGCGGAATCATGATTCGTTATGACTTCATCTTTGCCATCATATTTTTCTTCATCTGTGCTACTTATGTGAGCATCGTCTTTCGAGGAATTTTTTGTTGATTTTTCAATTTTAATTTGTATCTCGACGTCTTTGTTACCGTTTTTCTTTCTTAGTTTACGTACAACTATTTCTTCATCAATTTTATTCCTCAGTTTCCTTTTATATTTAATAGCCTTATCGTCCATTTTTTCAGGTTCCAATTCAATCTTTGCTTTTTTTGTTTTGTCAGTTTTGTCAGTCTCATTAAGATCTACTTTATCTTTTTTTCTTTGATTCATAGGAGTACTGGTTTTTATTGGTTTAACACCAGGCAAAATAGGACTTACATCTAAAGTCCAAAGATTTATAGCCACAGTTCCTCTTGATCTTGTTCTTGGTGAATTATGATCAATATGATTAGTAGCTTTCACAGGTAATTCAACCGAAGAATCACTTTCAATAGAATCATTACCCTCCTCCTCTTCATCTTCTTCGTCATCACTTTGTTTACTATCATTGTGCTCATTATCACTTTCATTGGTTTCCACCCTATCATTTTCTTTGCTCACATTACTGATTTCATCCACTTCGTTTACTTCTGGTTTTTCTTCCTCCGATTTTTCATTTTCCTCTGGTTCCTCCTCCTTAACAACCAGTTTCTCCGAATCAGATTCGCTCTTGTTTGCATCCCTTTTCATTTTTAACCTACTCGAAATAACCCTCGTCCTGTAAGTATTAACTCCTCTTGCACGGTAGTGATTAGTTGGCCTAAGATTACTTTTACCATTTGTCGTCTTACCGCCGACTAAAACTTTTCTTGACGTCCTCTTACCAGAAGCGTTAGTACTCACAGAAGAAGACGATTCATTGCTTTTCTGGAATTTTTTATTTTTTGTGCTGACCTGATTGATAGCGTCCTCCCTGCTGAACGTCAACAGCTCGTTATCCTCCTCCAGCTCGCGTGCCCTCCTCTCTTCTTCTTCTTTCATTGCCGCTAATCGATTGCGCTCCCATTCCAATTTTTGCTCCTCGATCTCGCGTTCTGCTGCCGCTAGTTGTTCCGGTGACCACGCCGCTTCCGTTTCTTCAATGAATCGCATCGCGTAACGTTCAATAGGTCTTAACTAAATAAAAAAAAAAGTTTTATATTTGGGTAAAAAACTTTAATTGAATCATACCTGTTTAATTAAATTCTCCACTTCTTGTTCAGCCTTGCTAATTTCTGGTTCTTTATCTTTTTCTTGATCATCAAGTGGAATATTTTCGTCAAATTCAGCAAGATCGGCCACTGCTTCAGCTTTAGCTGTCCTAGCAGCTTGTACATCTTGGTCGTCTTCACAAGCAGCAAGGGCATTTTCTAAAGCACCTATAGCTGCTTTGTCCTCAGGAATAGTTGGAGATGTACTGTTACTTTCAATGTGATTTTTCTCACGTTCTCGGTTACATTCAATAACTTCAGACATTCTTGTTGTTGCAGATTCTTCAGAGTTATCAATGTTAAATAGATCTTGAATTGTAGACTGCAATAATCAAATAAAGTCATAAGAATGTAATAGACAAATAAAATAAATAAAAAAGTTGTAAATAAATGTTTGCAAGGTTCTAGAAAGCTCAGAGTATCAATTACAAAACAGAGCATGCTGGCCATTGCAAAATAATATTGCACCAATGCAAAAGTATATCAATTATTAATAATTTGATAAACTGATCGTTAGTGCTTCATAAATAAATTTTTAATTCTTATTAACTTACACTTTTGAAATAAGCAGTTGTAAAGTTTCCACCTTCAATCGCCAAATCGCCCAACAATCTCTTTTGATTAGCTTTCTTCAAGATATTCTCCTCAATAGTTCTTTCACTAATCAGTCTATAAATATGAACATCTCTAGTTTGGCCAATTCTATGACACCTGTCTTGCGCTTGCGCATCCATTGTGGGATTCCAATCCGAATCATAAAATATTACAGTATCAGCGCCGGTTAAGTTGACACCAATACCGCCAGATCTTGTTGATAAAATAAATGCAAAAATTCGTTTATCACCATTAAAACGTTCCATAAGCATTTGTCTTTGGTCTACTTTCGTCGTTCCGTCTAAACGAAGATAAATGTGACCATGAAAATTCAAAAACGCCTCCAAAACGTCCAACATTTTCGTCATTTGCGTAAAAATTAATACCCTGTGACTTTCGTGTTTTAATTTTCTTAACAGATGATCGAGAGTTTGTAATTTACCGCAATCATATTGTATGAGTCTAGGATCGGGAAATTGGGTAACCATTGCAGAAACGATTGGGTGTAATATTGTTGTTGGTTTTAACAATTTTTGGGAAAGCTCAAGTTTTTCAACTCTCAAACGATTGTAAATGCTTGGAATAGGTTTCCGCACATGTAGATCTGGTTGTGGTGCGTGCACCGATGGCACAAAAACAATGAATCTATTAAATATTTCCGTCATTTCTTCTATACGTTTTGCGGGGTTACATACTAATTCTTGAAGACAATTGGCCGTGTCTATGTTTAAGTTTGAACTATAACGTTCTGTATATATAAACCCATCGCCCCATGGAGTCATCTTAGAATTTGTTGTAATTTTAACCGCATCACGAAAATCTTTACCGTATAATGGTATACTATTACACCGTTTTGAATTTACTCTCGCTAATAAATCAAGACGATTTTTTCTTGCACACTATAAATTTTAACAAAAAAAAACATTACTTAATAAAATCGACAAGATATCCTTATTTAAAACTTACAATGATATCATTATCCTTTTTATTTTCATCATTTTTCAACCATCGAACGTCCAATTCACGTTTGTTAGATTTGTTAGCATACAATTTCTCAATGTATTTAGATGTAACAGTTTTGGCAGGATGAGAATTACGATCTTCAATTTTAAATTCTGGCGCCGAACCGGTCTATAAAGGATACATTTTATTTTTCTACAAGATATAAATTTGTTAATTAATTACCACTGTTGTACTTGTTGTTGTAGGAACTGATGACAAATGAACTTTTACTACAGCTTTCGTTAATACTTGAGGTTGATTGCATACTGAAGGTGATATCACAAAACGTTGATCTGATGTCATTACTATAAAAAAAAAGGAAATTCAATAAAAAATCCCATCGATTATTAAATAAGCGTTAAGTTGCTAAAAGTTAAATAAATGTTTACAAACATGCACCCAAATTGATTATAATAAAACCAATTTGGTTGGTATGTTGTGATTTTACTCTCCTTTCTATTAAATTATGAGAAAATATAATTATTTACCCACATTGGATATAGAAAGGGGTGAAAAATTATTAAAAGTTGTAATATAATTAATAAAACGATTCATTTTCATACCTGTAGGATTTATTGGTAAATTTAAATTTGAAGTTGAAGCGACCGATGATGGTGTAAACAATATGTGTTTTCCCATAGACGTTTGAACTAAACGTGCAACCCCCGAAGGTACCGTTATTTTATCAGTTGGTTTTAAAACGCTGGACAAATTCACGTTAGTTGTTGTTGATTGGACGGTTGGTGCCTGGGACACAACAATACCTGCAAATAACAAAAAGATTAAAATAAAACCCAAAATTTCGAATATAAAAACAAACACTACAAAAATAATAATCAGACAAATGCCTCATTGTCACTCAGTAAAGAACAGGAATTGAATGGATTTCCTGTTCTCAGTAAGTGAAAAGTTCATCATTTAAATTTAACTTATATCCATTCTATACTTTTATTTAGTTACCTTGTGGAAGGATTTGGACGCTACCAGCAGGAAATTTCATTTTCGTATTCACTGGAGTAATAGACTGTACAGTAGCTTTAACAGTTTCCTCCTTAGGTTCAGTCTTAAGTTCTTTATTTCCAGAATCGATTTTCCGAACCTGCATACTTAATCTTGTTGGGGGTGGACATGGAATTTCTTCAACATCACTAAAACCAATCTCTTCAATAAGTCGTTTGGGCGATTGGTATTGACGCATTCTGTAACATTGGTAAGCGCTGAGATGGATTTCCATGGCGAGTAGATTCAAATTCATAGCTGTCAAATTTATGTGCTACAAAATAAATTAACAGAAAAAAATATTTTCAGCTAAAATTATTTAATAAATACCTTTAATGGATTATATTCAAATAAACTGTAGACTAAAGACGGAATGTGTTGAACTATTCCCTCACAATGAAATGGAGATATTGTTGGTCTCACTTCAAACAGATTTGGATGATTACAAACTTTTCTAAGTTGCATTAAAACGTTGATTACGCTTAAAAGATTTCCACTTGCTAAAGTTTCTCTAGTTCTGAAATCAATAAAAATTATTGTTAAAAAATGGATCACAGAAAACATTTAGATTATTATTATTCTTTTAATAATCAGACAAATGCCTCATAGTCTATCAAAAAGTAGATTGGAATTGAATGGATTTCCAATCTTCAGAAAAATGAAATCATCATATTTTTTTTTCACTCATACATTTATTTGAATGTAAAAAGGAACACTTACTTTGCCCGTGACATATAATCATCATAAAGAAATCGTTGCCTTTTTGATAATCTGCACATAATGATGTGTTCGTATTTCTTTGGCATTTGTTTTTCAACTTCAGATTTTAACCTTCTTAATAAAAACGGTCTCAACACCTAAATAAATTAATTAATCAATAACTTGATAAGAAAACGAGTTGAAGGTAACAATAATACCTTATGTAATCTTTTAATAATGCTTTCATTGTACTCAGAATTTCCTTCTATCATTCCTGTAACAGGATTAGAAAACCACTCTTTAAATTCTCTGTGAGATTGGAATACATTAGGCATTAAAAAGTGCATTAAAGACCATAATTCCATTAAATTGTTTTGAAGGGGAGTACCAGTTAGTAATAATCGTCTAAAAAAATTTTATTCATTCAGTTTCTTTTAGATCAAAATAAAAAATTTCAAATCTTACTGTTGTGTTTGAAAGTTAAGCAATAACTGCCACCTTTGCGATTTAAAATTTTTAATATTTTGTGCCTCATCCAAAATTAAATACTTCCATTTTTTCCTTCTAAAACTCTGATGATCTTGAATAACTAACTTGTAGGATGTGATACAAATATGAAAAGCGTTCGGTTTCGTCCAACCAGTGCGCTTCATTTTCCGTTCCTTTTGCGATCCATAATAAGTTAAAATTTTAAAAGCTGGACACCACTTCTTACATTCCATCTCCCAATTTAACATCACTGATGTGGGAACAATAATCAAGTGTGGTCCCCAATTTTCTATTTAAGGTAATAATAATACAAAATAATAAATGAGTTTAAAAGTATCAGCAATTAATTCTTTACCTTTTTCACATGCTAAATGAGCTAATAGTGCTATCGTTTGAATTGTTTTACCTAAACCCATTTCATCAGCTAAGATACCATTTAATTTCCTTTCAAACATTGTAACTAACCAATCTAAACCAATGTGTTGATATTCTCTTAATGGTAACTTTAATAAAAAAGGAACAGGAGTGACAACCTGCAAAAAAAAACAAATCAAATTAATTCCTTGTTTAATTAAATTGCGTTATTAATAAGTCACTAAATTTGATTATTAGTCAGACAAATGCCTCATTGTCGCTCAATACAGAACAGGAATTGAATGGATTTCCAGTTCTCAGTCAGTGAAAAGTCATCATATATACATAATATTCGTTTTTATACTGCATTCGAAAAATTAATTGATACTTACACTAGTGGAAGACAAAGTATTCCCTTTCGGTTGTATACTTTCCGCTATAGCCGCAGCGTCATTGATAAGATCATTATTATCAGTCTTTTTATCCTCTCCCTCATCATCCTTTTGTGATTCAACAGTCATTTCATCATCATCTAACAACAATTTTAATCCGACTTCATCTTCTTCGTCATGTTCGCTACTATCTAAAGGTTTTTCATCTTCACTTGAAGCTTCGTCAGATGAACTGCCTTCATCCATAGACGGAACAAATTCGTCTGTAGATGCGGACATATTCGTGTCTTCATTTATAGGCGGTAAATTTGCGTATTTCTTCCTTAATTCTTCTATACTCATTTCATTTTCTGCTTCTAAATCGTCTAATTCTTTTTTATGGTCTTGTTGACCTTCGGCGTCTTCTTGTTCCTATTAAATAAATAAGAGGAGTAAATAAAAAGGAGTTAATTTTTTTTTAAGGTTTATTTTTAATATTACTTGTATGGTATCTTCGTTATCTTCATCACTGGAGGAGTGGGCAACAAAATCGCCATCTTTATTTTTAGATGGTTTTTCAGATTCTTTAATTTCCGATTCGTTTTCCATATCAGATTCCGCATCACTTAATCGAATTTTATCTCTATTTTGTAAATAATCTTTGGGTAATTCGTTCAAAAACGATTCAAAGTCCATTTCGGATTCTCTTTGAAGCGCCGCCACTTCCGCGCTTTCTTCTTCTTTGTTAGTGGCTTCTTCTTGAGCGATTGTTTCTTCATCATCTGAACTATTTTCGCTATCTGGACGAAATTCCTCTGAAAATTGAATCCACTTTCACAAACTGAACGGGAAACAATAAATAGATTTCTTTTTATTGTATACTCACCATCTGAATTAACCCTAGATTCGGAACGAGACGATGCGTTGCTGATTGGTACGACGGGAGCTGCAGGTTCTAGAGGTTTATTCATACCTTCAGCTAACAACTGGGAATACTTTTCGGTTTGGTCAACAATAAAACTGAGATGTTGGTCAAGAGCCTTTTTACGTTTTTCTTCTAACCGAGTGTTAAGTTTATATTCAACCAATTTCTCAACGTTACTCCAAAACATTTTAATTTCTTTCGCGCAAAAATTCGCCAAACGTCGAATATTCTGCTCTTGGGCTTTTTCAGCCTTTTGAGCAGCTAGTGCTTTGTCTTGGAAATATTTTTGGACCATTCTCGCACATTTTTTTGCTGCCGCTTTTTTCCACTTGCGTTCCTGCGCAAAATCCGTCGCTAACCAGGCCATCTCCTCCAGCAAGAAGTCCCAGTGAACTTTTCCTCTAACTGTCTCTTGTACTTTTGGCAATCGCCTTTCAGACCAGAGACCTTTACAAAACAATTATTTTAATTTCATTTGTACACAAAATAATAAGTTATTAACAATTTTATGTAAGAAACCATTCAACCCAACCCAAACTATGCTCAATGAACACTCTAAGCCTTAGATATGTCCACACAAGCATTTATTAATTAAATGGTCATTTGGCATTTATAAGGCTTGGTGTTTCTTGAGTGAAATTTAGTAACCCTTTTTTAATGGTTCCAAGATGATGAATTATTTAAGATATTCATTTTATGCAAAAAAATGGTATGGTTTAGAACTGAATATGTAAATAAAACAAACCTTCTTTTTGTAAATCACTAATTCTTTGTACAACATATGCTTCTTGTTTAGCTCTTTCAACAATAAGTTCTTGATTTCCGCCACCACCTCCACTAGAATTTGTAAACCCACCAGTTTTTGTTTTATTCCCTACACTTAATTTAGGCGTTGAATTCACTTCTGTTGGTGTAGCAACTGCTTGAGATACATGTGAAGTAGTAACCATGGTAGAAACTGGTGTACTAGTCGTAACTGTACTACCAGGTAAAGAACTAACTGCGGTTGCAGCTGGAGGTGTGGGGGGAACATTAACTTTTGCGGTAATATCTTCGACATGCTCCTTAGGATCAATGGCATTTTCCTTGAGATAGTTCACAAACTGCTGAGTCCTCGGCCGCTTTGCGAATTGATAGAGATCAAGTATATTACCACCGCACTCGAGAAAAAAGCACTCAAGCAAATGCTCATTGTACTTTTCTTTGACGATTTTCGACCGAACGTTCCGATGATTCATCACTCGTTGTAATTTCACCGAGTATGTGTCCTTTTTTTCGGGCGATGTGGATGAAAGCGAACGTTTTACTGGTGCCCTTGGTTGCTGCTGTTGAATGGTGTCTGTGCTACCACTAGAAAATAACTGCAGCCGTACGTTAGTATTCGAGGTGCGAGGAGATTTTGTTAGCGCGTTCACTATGCTTTGATTTGTTAAACTCGGACGTAATGTCGTCGCTTGATTTCGAACAGGACTTAAGTTAATTAAATGTGTTACATTTCCGGTAGTTATCTAAAACAAATAATTTTCACTTAGAATTCTATCAAGAAAATCTTGTTTAAAAGTGGTTGTAATTTAATAATCTTGTTAAAAATACAAAACATTTAATGCAAAAATGAAGATGCAAAAACACAGATTCGTTTAATGATTTTGTTGTGATAATGAAAATGTAGGGAATTAATTTATGATTACACATAGTTGCATCATGATTACAATTACACATAGACACAGGACAATTTAAAATTACAACCTCTTTTAAATCATTAAAATAAAGTGAATTTGAAAAAAAATTAAATAAAATAAGTGAAAATTATAATATTGTTTCTTTATATCCAACTTAATTCTAAATATAGTGGGAACTCGCTAATCCGAATTAATTAAAACGATTCGAATTATTGAAAAATTTGGAATACTAAATCATCATTATAATAATTTAAAATATTGTTTTAGACTATTAAACATTTTGCTATGTAGAGGTAAAAGGTCGTCATCTCCAACAATCCGTTCGTTAAATTCAGTTTAATTATGCTGATGACTATCAGACGAAATTTATTGCAAGATATTTCTGATTTCAGTAAATTCCTGCCAATTATCTTGAGTAAGTAGTTTTTCCTTCCTGGCAGTTAATGGATGATCATCATCTCAATTATGTTCAGATGATTTTGCCACAGAAGCATTATCACTAGAATAAGAAAATATTTTTTTCCAGCATTTATTTATTGTACAGTAGACATGATATAAGAGTGCGAGTCCATGTTAATATTTTTAAGGGCGTTTGAAATGTCTTCCACAACAGCTAGAATGTGGACCAAAAGACTTTTTCGATAATAAAGGTTTATTAGCCTTATGGCATTCTGATTCATTGGCTGAAGTAACGCGAGCATTAGTAACCGCGCCTTCCCATTAAGATTGTTGTCTTTATGAAATGTTTTTACTTTTTTGTCAAAAGATGTATGAAACCATTCAACTAATAAAGCGGATGTCATCCAAGCATTTTTTGTTGAATAGTACTCAACTGGAATATTAGCGTTTTTAAAAGCTCTGGAATTTTAAGCTTTGCCAATAACCATCATTTGGGGTTTATAAGCACCATTGGCACAAGCAAAAAAATTTACTCTTTCTTTGGAACCTTTTCGCCCTGACGTTTAACTTTCTTTGACGTGTATTAATGTAGTATCTGGTAGCAGCCTCAAAAATAGTGCTGATTCATCAGCTAGGGAGTAGCTTAAACTCGTTCATTTTTTCAGAAAAGGCTAAATCACTGTAGGATTGTTTGATAGCTTTTCCCCCTCTACCTTTTCATATGAGAATGCTATACCTTTCTTTAAAACAGTTATGTTTTTATCAGTTATCTATTTTTTAATTCGAAGGAGTGTTTTAAATTGAAGCGCCAAAAAGAAGAGTTGCTATTGGTCAGTTTAAAGCTAAAATTACATTAGAAAAATTCGAGATGTTGCCGGCCGCCATATTGTTACAACAGCTTCTCTTTAAACTTGCATTGTAATAGTAAACTAGTTCTTTTAAGAACTAATTGGGTGACATACTCTTCGTGTGAACATTTTCACGACGTTTTTCTTCAATATGGACGAAGTACCAAGTACTTTTGAATTGCAAATATCTCCGCCAAGAAAGCGAAAATATCTCAAGTTACAAGACATCTATCTGTGATTGAGAAGTAGAATATATTAAATATATGATTTTTTAGCTCACCATGATAGCTAATTCAATTATAAAAAAAATGTTAATTAATGTTTATTTTTCATACCTATATCAAAGTTTGAAGGTGAGCTAATAAATCCCTGCATATGTATATTTAAAATGTAATATGATGTGAATATGATAATATGTTCAATAAACAATTATTCTGCAGTGTCTTTTATATTTAATTTAAAAAAACAATATGTTTACCTATCTACCGCCTTTAAAAGGTTTGATTTAAATATTTCACCTGTAATAATCAGCCCTTCTTACTACAGATTAAAAGTATATATTATTTTTCAATAAATAAGTAATTAAATTCGTAACTACACTTTATTTAAAATTCTCTCTGGTTTTAAAACTCCCGCCAAAAAATAGCTTTTCTTAAAAATTGAAAGATGGTAAAAAAATCGGATTATTGGGGTTCAGTTTAGCGAGTCCCTCCCAGTATATAGTGATAGAGATAATATTATATCTAATTCGTGGAAAATATTTACCTGTGCTAAGGCAGGCATGTTATGACTCTGCGATGTGGCTAATGTTGAAGAAATAATGTATTGGCGCCCACCCACTTGTGTATATTGAATTGGTGGTCGCGTAGAGACGTCTTCCTTTGGGGGCTGACCACTTTGACCAGCCCCCACCGCTTCGTCACTCATCGTCTACACTTCTAAAAAAAATAATACATAAATAAAATTTAATTTTTTTTAATAAATAGTAAATGAAATGTTGTGTTGGGAAACAGTTTTCCTATTGTTTTAAATGGAAAGTTAAGAATTAATTATGATTACACTTAATCTATGGAGGAATAAAGGAGAAAAACGAAAAACAAAATTAAGATGTTACTTCTATGTTCTTCTATATTCCACTTTTTAAAATTGTAAATATGTTCACATTAAATGATTGTTTGGATAAAAACTTATTAAATCTAATCTTCAATTAGGTACATTACTCAGACATCTTACTCACCTGAGATTAATCTGATACATTTCTTATTTACTTGGTATTTAAAAAACTTAACTAGTTAAGACTTTAATAAAAATGCGTTAAGTAATTGATTTTCAAATGACTTCAAAGTGAATTAAGTAATGAAAACAATATCAAACTAACCTAAAAATAATAAAATTAAAGGGGTAATTTGTTTCAATTAAAAATTAAAATTTCTATAAAGTATTAATAATTAGTACAAAGAATAAATTTTTGTGAAAATACACATTTGCACCATTCAAAATTTCCAAAAATACATTTTCAAAGTCCATTAGAATTTTGTTGTTGTTGTCCAATTTAAAACTGTACTAACCGGAATCGATATAAACCTATGACGTAAAAATTCTACAGACCGTACGGTTGTGCGTGCGTCGGTCGACCGACGCTAAAAATCGAGGCGTTTTCGAGATTTTTGAGTAAAAAGCCATAAAAGAATGGTAATGCTAGATTTTTCAAATCGTAAGTAACCGGTTTAGCGGTAAACTATCAGAAATCTCGATCCCCAATCAAACGAAACCGAACAAAGGACCCGCTTACGCCGTCGCCATATTAGCATCGATAGAAAACGACCGTTTGCCCGTTTGGCACACTTACCATCATGTATCACTAAATTTCCACGTGAAAACTGCCCATCCGACGAAAAAGTCACGTTTACCGTTTATATCGCGACGGGCGCAACAATTGGATACTCCACGTAAACGGTCAGTCGCGAAATTCGTACGGAATTTTGAGCATTTTACGAGGTCACAACGACAACGCATCGCCCTCTTCAAACATGGCGACTGCCGTTGCGCTACGGAGACGATCGGCCTCGACGCCCGGCTCGGCCTACTCGATGGCCGCTTAATACCCTCAATACGCATGCGCACGCACATGCGCGCTGAATTAATTTTTTTTTAACATATCCGTTCATAGCCGGCTAGATTGTTGGAGGAGGAATTTAATTAACGTATAAACAAGAATTGTTTATATACGATCCGTTTGTTTGCTAATGTTGGTAAAATTTTGTCGGGTGAGAATTTAAAAAAAGGCTTATTGTTGCGATCAATGAAGTAGGTAATTCCTTTTAATTTTTACTACTTAAGTGAGTAGGAATAAAGGAAAATAATGTTTATGAGGCGTTTTATGTTTCGGCTTTGGCAAATGTGGTACAGTAATTTAAAAATGAATGAATCACGAGGGTATTGATAAACTAAATTGAAACTCAATTCATTCCAACGTAATTTCATACTCAAATAAATTACCGATAGAAATGGTAATTTAACACTTTTCATTCAGGAAATTAAACTACTTATTTAAATTTTGCTTCATGGGATGTTCATCTTTAAAACGGACTTCAAACTTGAGTGGTCTCATCTTTCTTACATTTTTATATTGCAAATGTATCAGCAGATAATAATTAATCTAATAAAAGTGCAGCAATTTTGTTGTGCATTTTTATGCCTAAAGCTAAGTTCACACCCAAAGGAACACTGCTTGTTCCTGGAACTTGTATCTCAAAGTTTCTGGATGTTCCTTATTGTTTATAATTGCAGAAACAAATGTTTCTACAAGTTGCTTGTTTCAGTATTTAGTGATAAATATCATTTGGAAACATCTGTAAACATTTTTGTTTGCGCAGTATGGACAACATGTGTGCAGAGTATCTGTTAAAAGCAGAAAATATGTCGTTCCAGTGGTCTACCGAAAATTTTATACATTTAATTGTGATATACAAAAATGCCGACTGTTTGTAGGACCCACGGGATAAAAAGATCGTTACAAAAAACAAGATTTGTGGGTGATACTCATATGACTAAAGTTCTTTATATTTCCATTGTTGATCCTGGATACTGCTATTAAATCATCTTTTTTTAATGGATTCATAAGGTGCGTGATACCAGGTGTGTTTCTTTCTAAAAGAGTCTGCCTAATAGTGCAATTTTTCGGTTTTTGCAAAATAATAATAATTACCGCCACTGCTGCCTGTAAGCAATTTTCTTCATTAAATATGGTGGTTATTATCTTATAAAGAAAATAGTCAAAATGCAGTTGACCACACACTCTGCAAGCTGATCCAGTCAACATGTAATGGTGTCGTCTTCACTCAAATTTAATCTCCTTTATGAATACATGGGCCACAGTAGTAATAAAGATTCTGCAATTCTTACCCATGCTTGTTCATGCTTTTCAGTTATACCTATTGAAGAATTTATCTAAATCACTACTAATATTTGCAATAGACACCAACATATTATTTTATTAATGAATGCTAGAGTTGCGTGAATCCGTATAAATACAAATGTTTAAGCAGAAATATCATAATATGAAATGTATTTACACACGGTGAATAATAATTAATATTCAATTAGACTATTTACACTATTAATTACACTATTTTGTTCAGGGACTATATCAAGCTTCATTTTTTTGTTATACTGGGTACTCTAAAATTCCCCTTACAAAGTTCTAGGACTTGTAGTGGTAACTGAATAGATAATACTTTGAATTGAAACTCAGCTACAGCCGTTTGAAAATAAGTTTTTAACGCGACCACTTTTACCAGTAATTGGTATGGATAGAGTTGTTGTTCATGTAATGCAGTATGGCCTCTTCCAATACGGGAGTGCGGCGTGTCGTTAGAGCACCACAGTCGTTCCTGCAGGTGGTGAAGGTCATACTATCGTCATACTATGTTGCTTTAACACTGAAAGACATGTGAATGAGACTCAAAACAGTTCCGAGAGGTGAGAGATGTCAATTGAGATCAGGTTTTCAAACGGCTATAGTACCGAAACTGTGCGTTTTCGGACATGGGTTCCAATTCAAAATATTATCTACTCGTAGGTAAGTTTGTAAGGGGAGTTTTATAGCACCCATGTCCAAACATAAGACTTTAAGCTTTTAGCATAAGGAAGAAGAAGGAGAATAGTGTATGTGATGTCTTCTAAAACTGTCAATAATTTCAATAAACAAAGATAAACAGTCAACAGGAAATGAACATGGGGTTAAAATGAGAGTTATGCACTTGTTCCATCATTTTGGCGGGCACTGTATATTTGCCTAACTTCATTTATAAACAATGAACGCGATAAAGATGAATGTCCTTCAGACAACAAGAAATAAATAATTTAATCATAAATAATATAAATAATAAATAACTACAAAATTATGAATAAAGTCCCTTACTTTAATTTGAATTCTATTTTTAGATGTGAAATTTACGGAAACGACCAGATAACATAACAATTCTTAACAAACAATATAAAAATGTCACGTTTATCTACTGAACAACACAAGTTATTAACAGAATGGATGATCGAAAATCTGTTTGATAAAAATATCTACACAACTTTCGATTTTGTTCAATCTGATATACAAAAATTAATGGGTGCAACCAATCTCTCATACAAAGTAAGTTAACCTTATCACAATTTGTTAATTAATAAAAATCTATTTCAAAACTTTTTTAACTTTTTAAAATATTTTTTCAAGGACTCTATAGATATAAAAAAGCATCTTATTAATAAAAATTCAGGTATCCTGCGAAATGGTTCAAATTATCTTAATAATTGCATTAAAAAATCATCTATTTTACCAACAGGAATTAAAAGGTAATCACATCGATACACATAAATATAAATCTACTAATAACTTTTGTAGTATTGATGAAATATTAGGTGGAGGTATTTTAACAGGTGAAATTTATGAAATTTGTGGACCACCAGCTTCTGGAAAAACCCATTTTTGTTTAACACTGGCTAAAAATATAATTAATCAAACAAATCAAAATGTCTATTTTATAGATACAAAACATGAATTTAACTTTAGAAGATACAAAAAAATTGTATTGGAGGATAACATCAATAATCAAGTATATATACACACTTTTTCTAAATTATTTTAATAAAAACTAATTAATATTTTAGGAACACATCATAATGGCATTTAATAAACTTTTAATCAAACAAATATCAACAATACACGATTTAATTAATTCACTTTTTGAAATCAAACATGAAATTGAAAATGGTCTGAACGTAAAGGTTATTATAATTGATTCTTTACCAGCTATTTTATATCAATTTGAAAGAACAGTGACGGTTAATCCGTTTTTGAATCATTTGGTTAACATTCTTCGCTTTGTAAGCGTCGAGATGCATATTTCTATTGTTGTTACAAACATTCTTACAAAAAAATACGTTAAGTGGTCAAATAATTCAACTGAAGCGAGTTTTACTGAAAGTATTGGTTGTGGAAAATATTGGATAAATATTCCTAATAATAGATTAACATTTCGAAATGAATTAGGTAATGAAGAAATCCAAGTTACATTAGAAGGAAGTTTTATTTCAAAAATCAAGAAATGTAATTTAAAAATAATCAATAATAGAATTTCTTAAAAAAGGAATTGAAATTTATTGTTGAACTTTGTGTACTGTAAACAGCAACTATATCAAAATACCATTATTTTGGATTAATTACATCAATTTGAATAATAGACGTTTTTGTTGGCAAATGTTGGTGTTAGTGTCCTAGGGAAATAAGATGAAGTTGTTTCAGCCAACCATTTAATAGTGTACAATTACACAAATTTATAATTTAAATAAATAAAGTATAAAAATTGTTTAAAAATGATTATCTTTTTTGTGACATATAACCATTGATTTCATCAATGATAATCAAAATTACTGATAGAGAGCTCCTTCTTAGAAAAAGACAGCTTGACAAGTGTCGCTTTTTGATTGGTCGGATCCTGTTTTGATTCAATTTTATATTCTTTACAAATTAAATACATTATATTCAATTCTATTTATTATATAATAGATAATTTCCTTTTCATTTCAAAAAATCAATTTATATAAATATTTAAATTAAAATAAAATTGTTTCCTAATCTATTTTCCATTGTGAAGTCTATTATTGTTTACACGCATTATCCGTCATTTATACGTCAAGCACAATGTGCGTGTTTAGTTGGAAATCTTTTTGATATTTTAAGGTATTGTTATGAGACACATGTTATTATTTACAGTAAATATTCTCATAAAAATTAATTAAATTATAGTTAATCAACAGGTAATATTTGTTAACGGAAATTTCAATATTGGTTGGAAATATTTTGAATGAATCCAAACAAAAAGAAATCATCAACGATTAAGAGAAAATTAAGTATTATGAAATGTCCCTTGTCCCAGACTATGCAGTTTCCTCATCTGAGTCATCAAGTAGCGATGATGAATCGGAAAGTTCAAGTAATGAAATTGTCAGGTAAAATCGTTTCTATGAATATTTAAAGATCAAAAACACAACTGTGCATAACGTTTTAAGTAAATAAAAAAAGATTACGTCTTTGAAAATAATAGAAATAAATCGTTTTGCAAAGTTATTGTTTCGAAATAAATTCAATTAAAAAAGATAATTAATCACAAAATAACTTTAAATCGCAAAGTGATTACTTTATCTTTGTTATAAAATACCCATAATTATTCACCAATTAGCAAACCTCTTGCAAAAAATCTCCCAGGTAACCTTTTTCAGTGACACAAAACCCGAAAAAGTAACAACATATGACATTGATATAAATTCAAAGTTACCAACACCCGGTTTTATTAATGAAAAATCTGATGGATCACTTACCTCATCCGTTTTTAAGAATCCTTTTGTGGAGGCTGAAAACGCTGAAAAAGCGATTCTTGAGAAACACGTCAAAATGGTCGTAGCCAGTGAAAGTCGTGATTTCTTAAATGGGAAGAAGGTGTGTTGGAATTATCGTAAGGGAAGGTGTCGTTTTGGGCACAATTGCAAGTATGCCCACGATTCTGACCTCCAGAAGACCAAACAACAGCTAGATGCAGAGAATAAGGTTCAAGAAACTGTCGTTTGTCAAAGTCCTTCTGCTCAGCCTACTAATCGAGATTTACAACATATCAATCTTGAATCAATTGGACAGATACAGAAAAGAAAAAGACCCGGATTATCACAAGGATTAGTACCAGGTAAAAAAGTGATGAAGAATTATTTTAATCAGAAAAGTTAGTAATCAAGTGTTTAGGTTATGTTAAATTTTTTAAAAATAATTAATCTATTTTATATAAATGTATTTAGTTATGTGGAATGTGTTTGTATTAATATTAATAAAATAATAGTGGGATTTTTTAAACTATTTTTTTAATGTTTTTATAAAATTAAAATTGAAATTTAACACTAAATTTTTTAAAATACCACTGTAAGGTGGCGCTTTAAAATTAATTATTTTTATATATTATTTTTAATTATGTTATTTTAAACATTAATTTATGAATTACTTTGTGTTTTAAGTGAAAATTTAAAAATTTTAATAGAAAACTGTAATTATTTGTGAAGTTGAATACGAGATGTAGTTAGTAACATTTAGTTTTTCCCCTATGTAAACTTGTCAAGCAAGCAAATGACATGCCACTAGGTTCAGTTTCGAAACAGCTGTTGATGCTGTTGGTGTGCTTTATCCGACGAACTTAACCTTAAAATTGTGTGCTGTCAGTCGTCTATTTACGATAGCATCGAAATTCCTGACAGAAAATCATTTATTGAGCACCAACATTCGTCAAGACAGGACATGAACGCTGAGAGTACAAGTAAGTTTATCTTTTATATTCAAAACGTTTTTCTTTCCAATTTCTTATTTTTTCAAAACTAAGAAGATAGTTTGTAGCGGAATTTATAATACACAAACATTATAACGGTTTAATTCCTGGTTTGTTTGCGTGCGTGTTTAACACGTATGTATATTTTAGTTGAAACAATTTATTTCGTCTGAAAAAATCGTTGTCATTTAAAATATACAAAAAAATTTTTAAATACCTGCGTTTGAACACTGAATAAGATAATGTCGAGTATTTACGATCGTTTCATGCTAATGAGCGTACATATATAGACTGTAATGAGGATGGTTTAAAGCACGGTTACGTTGCAAATAAGTCCGTTTAAATTAAAACCTTGCGTGTGTACGTCTTAAAAGTGAAAGCGTATTGTTTGGTACACACAATATTTTTAATTACGTAGTTTTTTCTTTATTTGTTTCATCTCCGACTAATATTCCGAATATTAATAATAATGCATCTATTAATTCTGGTTGAAAATCAGATATCGGATGTAATAATTTATCGTTTCGATTTTAACTCTAATGGAAACCTAATTTAATCCAATAATGATTTATTGAATTGTTAAAATATAAATTAGTCACTGATTAATGTATAATTTTGAATATTATGAAAGCTTGAATTTGGAGAAAATTTTAATTAATAAAAAAATTAGAAAGTATTTTCTATTAATAATAAGGTAAGAAATGGTTAAGTATAACGTCATCACTTGGAAGGTTGTATGGAAAAGTCCTGAAAACTAGGATAGAAAGGGAAATTAAGGAGGAAGAGGAATAAAGTGGTTTTAGATCTGGAAGATCTTGCGTAGATAATTTATTTATGCTTAGACACCTGGTTGAGGAGAAGCTGTCAAAAGGAAGCGAAATACATATTGCCTACCGGGAATTTCATATAACTCGCAATATACGAATGCAGTAACCAAATTTACGAAACTGCTATCTATGTACTTGCATTGGTAGTTTTGCAAATGGTCCCGCTTCAGAAATTATGGATCCCCTGACAGATACAGGCATCAACAGAACTTACATCCTTGCTGTGAAACTGATGGACGACCAAATTTTTGAGTCAAGTGCGCGTGAGAAACAAAGAGACTCGGAGACAGTTATCAGCAGAGATGATGTTTTGGAGAAGATGCTGCGGGATAATCATGCTGGACCGAGTTGAAAAGGAGGAAATAAGAAGAAGAAGGACGGCACCAAACTCAATAATAGACGCCATAGATGAAAAGCAACTAAAATGGTATGGACATCTACGCCGAATAAGTAAAGAGAGAATCCCACATAAGGTTTCGAACTGGGTGCCAGTAGAAAGATACAAAATAGGTAGGCCTAAGAAAATATGGATCCGGGATATCAATGTGAAGAAGAGGAGAGGACTGAGTGAAGATGATTGGAATGATGCGAAAAGTGGCAATAAAAAAGAAGCTGCAAATACTCGCCAAATAGTTTAAAGTTGAACTATTTAAGGCTAGAACAACACAACATAAATAAATTGAAACAGAATCTTTATTTTTATTTATTATATTTATAATTTAAAAATTAATTCGTGTTTTCAATTATAAACAAATCATTGATATTAAATAGTAAATTAGTATCTATGTAAATTAGTGTAAACTTGGCCGATCCTAATTTACTTTGTCATACTCCGCGGAGTTTGGATTGGGTCAGTCAACAAATTCTATTTACACTGGTTGCGAATTCGTTAAAGATGTTGAACTAACTTCGGAGATTGTAGACTTTGTTTCCTTTACACTTAACTTTCATTTTATGAAAGGAACTACTTCGGTAGAAAATTGGACTTCCAGAATGGATTAAATGAATTTACCTAGTTAAGTAAATTACAAGTAAAAATCTAAAAAATTTATTTTAATTCCACGGAATGTAATTTTTAACTTGATTTTTTTCCCAACTATTTTAGGTTTGTTTTTATACGAACCTCAGTCGCTTCTAAAAATAATACCGCAAATATCAATGTTTGCTTTCAACAAAGAATGTAATGATACAATAATAAAGGTTGTGTTTGGCGAGTTTAATAATAAAATCTGGTTTGAAAATTGATATGTATTTGGTTTAGAAATTCTTGTGTTAAACATGTACCGTTACAAATGGCATTGACAGTTCAATATCAATCATATTACAATATTAGTTCTTCAAAAAATTAAAAATTTTTAAATTCGCACTTAACATTTTAAGAACGCATTTTTAGATAAATTTGTGAATTTCAATTTATTTTGTATCATTGGTTCGATAATAATATGTTTCCAGTTTTGCAACATTCTGTGATTAAAGTTAATATCTTAAAGCGGCTTTTAGAAAAATTGCACAATAAACAAAATACAAAGTGCATGCGATAGAAAGAAAGAAAACTTGGGCCATGCAGTCGTGTCACGATTCCCTGAAAGCAACAGCTACAGTAATGCTGGTCGACAAAAATGCAGAAGGGAGTAAAAAGGAACGAGTTGTAATTCTCAAGGCACGAGCCCGAAAAATTATTTTCGGTTACCACAGACATTTCTAGATCCAACACGACACCGACACGTAGCAAACCCACTATTCCCTCAAAACTAAACGTATATGACACATCATGATTCTAAAAGAAATAGACCATTTTATGCAACAGGCCACGTCATCATAAAAATTGTAGCCTTCAAAAAGATTACGTATTTTTCGTTACGCAAAAAGAATATAGTAACAATAAGTAGAGCAATCAGATTTAAACTTATGGGAATTGCGGTTGAAGAACGAGACTAATGAAATCAAGTTTTTTATAACATAAAGAATAAATTTTCTTACTGTTTCGAAATAGGTTATTATCAATTTAATTATTGGTATAATGTATGCGTAGGTGAAACAATGGATCGTAAACGTTATGTTACAAGACTTGGGATAATAAAGAAAAGTGGGTTGATTAAGGATCAAGTTAAAAAATATATATTAAAAATTAAATTAACAAAAATTCTTTTATTACACATTGTTGAAGGAATATACCTTGATAGCCTTATTCTATAAAATAGAATTTAACTTAAACTCTTCAAAACTTAAATAAGCCTTCTAAAACCAATTAAAATACTTGAGATTTCCCTATAAAAGCCATTCTCAAGTGAACCTTCTCCCCAAAGGCTAAAGTGAGGGTTTCTAAACCCACCAATGACGTCACACTAATTAAAGAATAGATTAAATGGCACATAATTACCGAGATCTAGGTCAGAAACGTCCAACCAGCCGAACTTTAATCCAGTCCGAGAGACGTAATGAAAGACCCAGAGAGCTCGAGGATCGATGAGATCTTTCCCGAAGAAATAGTTTCGGTGGCGCAAAGCTCGACGAATTCGGACTCGTTCTCCGAATTCCGTTTCCAGTCGGTGCCACCGAATGCGGAAACGCAGATATCTGAACACAATAATCAAACTATACGGGAACAACGGCAACGTTGCGCCATTGCACCAGTATTAACTGAGAGGGGAGAGAGAGGTTGAGAGCGCAAAGCTCACATCAAAGGACTTTACCCGAAGAGGAACATAAAGTACAACAGAATGGTGCCCAACATGGCAAAAGTGCCCCAATTAGAAATAGTTATTTGATACGATTGCGGACTTTGTGGTAGTCTAACAGTACAAGTACATAGAATATGACATCAAAAGTTAAAGTTGAGGTGTTAAAATTTTGTTTTGTCATATGGCTTATTTAGGAAGAAAAGTTTGTTATAGTACCGGGTCCTAATTTACTCAACTTGACCTAAAGGTGATCAAAGGTTTAAGCTTTAATTATGTGGCGGTGATTAGTCTATACAACGGGAGCATGAAACCCGATAAAATCCGAATAGTCTTTATCGACATAGATGGTACCTTGATTATAGGGAGAACAATATACCTAAATGAGGATTGAAGGAAACCCCTTTGACATGAATGAGCCCGTATTATTTGAAAAATCAATATTGTTTTGACTCGTTAAACAAAAATAAATTTTATATCTAAAATAAACAGTTTGTAATAAAATATAAAATATATACAATGCATACATATGTTTGTTTAGGGAAAAACCCACATCATCAAACCATTTAAATTGACAGTTAACCGGTATACAGTAATGAACTACCGTCGGGACACACAGGTAATCCACTTCGATTTATGTAAATTGCAAGCCACCTGAGCTATAATGGACCCCATAATTTCCCCTATCACGAATCTGTTTAGACAGTTTTTCCGTCAACGTTAATTGACGCGTGTACTGAACCGTCAATATTAAATTGAGTGCGTGACGTTCTCCGAAATTCGACCTCGTATGCACATATTGGCAAAAAAAGAATCGAAAAATAGTCGGAAAAAAACTCTTTTGGTCTACCGATACCATTGAAAATTGGGTTTTTTGCTTTTCCATCTGCGAACGATATTTTTACTGAATCGCTGTCACGGTTCCGTCTGAATCCAATAATTCAGATACTCATCGTTGCGTTATTTCATTAATTGGCAGTTCAGTTACTATTTGGTTTCAACCAAAATTCTATTACAGACATTTTCACTTCGTCGTAGAGGTATAGACAGCAAATGGCCGTCATACATAATCTTCTAAAGTAATTGAGAATTGGTGAGATATTGTATTGAGATGTAGTGAGAGCCTTTGGAAGTGATTCGGAGCAATTGCGATCTATCTTTTAGATTAATAGGGAACCGTAGTAAACTATTTTGAACTCTAAATAGATTAGAGACTTATAGATATGCTGAGAGCCATTAAAAGAGTTATTGAGGTTCTTTTAAAGTGCATTTAGAAATTAGTAAAACCAAAAACTAAATTGATTGCTATTGGAAGCTATTCGGAGTAAAGGAGCGGCATTGGGATGTACTGAGAACTGAAAATTTCGATGGCGAATAATATTATGGATCGTTCTTGTGAAATGACTCATAAGAATGAACGAGAGAATTTTAGGTAAATTTTGAGGTTTTGATTAAAATCTTATAACGTTCTGTAAGTACCAGCGCC